GAATCCAGTTATTGTTAGTATGCCTTTGAAAAGATAAAGAAGGGATAGTTCCATAATATTTTTTTATTGGTCTCACAGGGAACCTTTAGTGTAGAAGCATCATAAGTATTTCACAGATATTTTGGTGTCTTGGTGACTGCCTGGACAAGTCCCTACAGTTTTCTAGGCAACATATTCAGAAGTGTTTGTCATTTCTGTATATGTTTTCCAGGGGTGACATGCTACCGGTTTGCACCAGTTTGGGCAAACCAGTAGTGGCGGTGGCGAGTGGTTCAGCGAATCAGTAGCGGCAGCAGTGCGAAGCTCTGCCCACCCGCCCGGATGTTGTTATTTCCTGGTTTTAACCAGGAAGTAACCTGTTTTTGACCCTCTGTGCATGCACAGAAGGCTTTGCGCATGCGCAGAGGGTCCAAAATCGCACATGAGGCATGTGCGCACACTTCCAAACCGGTAGGGAAGGTAAGTAGATTTCACCCCTGGTGTATTCTAGGGGAGAGATAAGAATAACTGGCCCAAAGTCGCCCAGCTGGCTTTGTGCCTAAAGTGGAACTAGAACTCACAATCTCCTGTGGTTTGTATCTTAGTGCCTTAATCACTACACCAAACTGGCTCTTACAAATCCAAGTAGATTGCTATCCTTTTGTTTGGCAGTCCTAATGCAATTTATAAAAATGGGAAGTAGAGTATCAGGTAAGAAAAATATTACTAAAAAGAATTCAAAAGGGATCCATTTGTATTTCATACGCATAAACAATTTATCTGTTTACATATAAAATTGAAAACAATTTCTGTGTTTCAAAAAATAATACTGAGCAAAAGGACAGTGTTACCCATTGAAATGTGACAATAGACTTGTGGCCTAGATTCCTGCTTCAGGAATTTTCCCCTTCAGATTATTCTTGGAGCCAAACTATCTTCCATGGAGAGGATGCCTTCAGAGATCTCTCCTCTGACAGCTCCAGGAACAAAATTCTTCTTTATAAATTAATAGTCATGGCCACCCGAGTAAGAATTAATTAAAAATCAAAGTACTACTTACAAATTTTAATTGTATTGGGGAGAATTGTATTGGGGAATCCAGGCAGTGGTGGCTGGAAAGGAGGGACGTTTCACTTTAGGAGCTCCCGTTCGGCTCACTCGGCTCCTGGGCGCGGAGAGGGCTTAGGCAGCAGCAGCGGCAGCTCTTCACATTGCTAGGGAGTGAAGTCATTGTGACCATTGTCTGCCCTGAGCTGCCCGCTGGGCAGCCAGAGGGGTGACCAGCTGCAAATCGCGACACTCGCCTTGTATTCTCCAAAGCAGCCGGGCAAATTCTCCCCCCCGACCGTCCCAAAGAGGTTTGTTCTTCAGGCTATGCTCTTTCCCTCCCCCCAGAGCATGTGAGGGGTCTCTTTGGGGGAAAGCGAGTAGTCCCTGCAGATTGCAGGAGCACCCTGATAAGTTTTCTGGAAAAGAACTTATCAGTAATCAACACCCTCTTTCCCAGCCGACTTGCAGGAGGAGGAGGAGGGCGGCGTAAAGCAGCGCCACCTTAAATGCTGGTAGGCAGAGGTAGAATTCTTGTTTCCTTGTTTTCCTCCCCCAAAATTAAGGTGTGTCTTATACTCCGGTGCGTCTTATACTCTGAAAAATACGGTATGCATGTGTACAGGGTAACGCTACCACAGAGAGGCTCTGTCTGCCTATTATTGCTACTTATCTGTGGGGAAAAGACCACCTGAAACAGAGCTTCAAACATTGGCTTGAGAAAACAAGCAGGTCTGTTATAATATGAAGGCAAGGCAGGAGCTGCACTGGTTAATTGGATGGTGAGAAAAATGGAAAATATTAGAGTTGTGAACTATGGGTGTAATTGAAATAACAGAAGTGCAACCTCATAGCTATGCTGGTCTCTGAGAAGGATGATTGTCAAAATAAATTAATGGGTGCTGTAACTCATTTACTTTTAAAGGTTTCCTTTCATTCTATTATCCTTTTTGAGTTAAGCCTTTCTGTTGTTTTTTGTTGAGCGGGGAGGAGGCATTGCAACAAAAACAAATCTGGAATAAGACAGGATTTCAGATTCAGAGAGGATATTTGAAGTCGCGATTAAAACAAATCATGGTGCTTTTGGCCTAAACGTAAAGCAGTACTTGCTGCTTAAAAGATGGTTTGCAGGAGCATTTAAACCCAATCAGATTAAACAAATCCTAAATCCTATGCATCTCCAGTGTTGATGGAGGAACTAAAGTAATTGTACAGGAACTTAAAAAAAAAACCCTATCTATTTAAACTTGGCTGATGACCATTCAATTGCTGATATGAAACTGAAATTTAAGAAACTAACTGGGGTTCTATTTATGGAATAATCTGGTTAGAGATAGAATTGCATTTTGTTGTTTTTATATTGGAATTTGGCTTCATTTTGTTATGGCTCATTGATGAGAAAATGTTTTGGTTTTCCTTGGGGAATATCTGCTTTCAGCAGAGCTATATGAGATTGACATGCATAATTTATGTTTCTAGGTTGAGGAGAGAAATAAAAAGAGGCTGCATGACTGCTTTTATTGAGTGGTCTTTTTTTTCCCTTTGAAGGACTATTAAAATTTTAATAAATACAATGAGGCATAAGTTGCAATGGGTTACTATTTTAAACCAAGAGGCTCATTTGTGTGTGTTGTTTCCCATTTATTTGCCAGGAAAAAAAGATTCCTCATTGCTAAGCTAAATCTCATGGATTTTTTAAAAAGTCTGACAATGAGAATTCCTGCATGTTTTTCGGAATCTCAGCCTTCACAGTATTTCAATCAGTTGTGCCTTGTAGCAGGAACAACATTCAAACAAGTGACTGGAGCTTCCTACAGATTCTGAGGATCTGACAGAAAACAGTGCAAAATGTCACTTTAGACTTTTCCCTCTAAGAGGCTACCATCTAAGTGCATTTCTCAGCAAGGTTATTTAAGGTTAACTATGGGTCTTCCATATTTTCTTGGCTGCTTTTACAGATAAACAGAAAAGACTACCTAAGTGATGTTCTGGGATATTTTTTCGCTTTTACTAAATAGGGACCTAAAAGTTTCTGTAAATATATATGTTTGAAAAATATAGATGCAAACTGGCAAGATTTGAGCCAGTTTGGTCTAGCAGTTAAGGCACCAGACTAGAAACCAGGAGACTGTGAGTTCTAGTCCCAGTTTATGCATGAAAGCCAGCTGAGCCTAATGTAGGTAAATGCGGATCCAGCTGGATGATCATTGAAGGGCCCTCTTTATTCATAGTATTGTAAGAAAGGAAATGTGCTTGTTTGAGGGAAGCCAATTGTCTCCAGTTGAAAGGCAGAGAATTCCTTTGAAGTAGAAACATTCACAAGAGGGGCCCCTCAGTTGCCAGAGATAGAGATATTTGTTTGAAGGTTAAAACAGATCAAAGGATGACCACATGTAATATCAACAAGAGATAATTTGAATCTATGCTTCAGTAATTGGCAAAAAAATGATGACTGTTGGCAAAGAAAAATGTAAAACTTAGTAATTGGGAAGTGTCAATTAAATATGACAAATGTATATGATCCCATAAACTGCTGAGTTAACAGAATCCTTTGTCTTAGAAGGGTATAAAAACCATTGTAACTGATTTCTGTCTTTGTTCAACGCTTCATGTACAGAGCTTTGAACCTATTGCGCAATATACAATGTCTCTGGCTAACCCTGAAAAGTCGTGTTGGTCTTATTAATCCACAACAAGCCAGCCACTCACTTTCAGCCTAAATCATCTCATGGGGTTGTTGTTTTGAGGAAAATAGAAGGAGGGAAAGTGTATTATGTTCGCTGCCTTGAGTCATTTATAAAAATAATAAAGGTGAAGATAAACAAAAATATTTCTAGCTTTGTTATGGGTACTCTTTTATTTTTTTAAATAGTTTTAACCAGGCGTATGGGATTGCTTAAAGATATTGGCTAACAGTTTCTCTCTGTTGATCAAGCTGACAGTTGGTTTTCTTTCTGGCTGGTAAAACTTGTTTTCTTCTGTCATCTTCAATCCCTACAAAATATACTGTAGACTTTCTCTCACAATCCAGCCAGCTCTTTGTCTTCAGCACCATCTTCCAGTTCATACTATGCTTTGTTTCAAATATTTTCTGCAATCCCAGAAACAAAATAAAGTTTTAGCAGTTTAACATTGCACAGTAGAATTACCAGTTGTCGATGCATTTTTCTAAAACAAACAGGTAATCAACTGCCAGGACTGCCTATATCCAGTGGTGGGATTGAGCCAGTTCGCACCACTTCGGGAGAACCGCTTGTTAACTTCCTGAGCAGTTTGGTGAATTGGTTTTTGGAAGAAATCATTAGGGCAGAGAACTGGTTGTTAAATTATTTGAATCCCACCACTGTCTATATCCATCTTAGATGCCAGCCTTTACATGTTTTCATTCAGTTCACTTTCCTCAGTTCCCAGAGTTCTCTGGTAATTTAAGACTGCCCCTCCAATGCCATGTCAGAGCTCTTCTTTCTCCTACAGGAACATTTTCCTATGACAAAGTAAACTAACACCTAATCTCAGTTTCTGTTGTCAGTTACTACGCTAGAACAAAGCATTTGTCTGCTTTTCCAACTATATATATGAGCAGCTAGCAAAAAGTTATAGAATATAGAACAGTGGTTCTCAACCTTCCTAATGGTGCGACCCTTTAATACAGTTCCTCATGTTGTGGTGACCCCCAACCATAAAATTATTCCTAAAACCATTGAAAATATGTGTTTTCCGATGGTCTTAGGCGACCCCTGTGAAAGGGTCATTCGACCCCCAAAGGGGTCCCGACCCGCAGGTTGAGAACCACTGATATAGAACAAAGAAAGATAGGGTTTGGAAGAGACCTCTCTCTCTCTCTCTCTCTTTCTCTTTCTCTCTCTCTCCCCCTCCTTCCCTCCCTCCTTCCCTCCCTCTCCCTTTCTCCCTCTCGGGGTGGGGGGAATCCATAGTGATACATTTATGTGATATACCATATATCTTTCCAACAGAGGCCTGAGGATGAGGCGATTGTTGATTTGGGAGGCACCAGCAATGTTGTTAACATTCATTATGAACCAGAGGAGCTGGAAGGTAAGACAATCATTTTCTAGTGTTTTTATCTCTTCCTCTTATTTTTCTATTACATCATGAGTCATTTAAATATTTGAGAATGTAACTAAATGTGTTTTCTATTTGGAGCTACCTTTGTATAATGAAAAGTATTTTACGAATCACGCAACCAAAAGCATTCTACAGTTGTTTAAAACAAAGAAAACCCATCAAAATTATTACCAAAAAATATCGAAATCTACTTTTGGAATGTTGAGTTGTTTCATTTTTAAAATGGTAATTCTTTATTTATGTCATGCAGAACAGTTATAAGGGCCTTGAGGCAAGAAGAAATTCATGATAGATTTTTTTTCATACTGAAAAAGCATTATCCGCCAAATATTATATTTGCATATTATAAAAGTATATAACAGCTGCTGAGGTCATTCATTGGAGAACAGGATCAGTTCTCATCAGTATGTTGATGATTCAGCTGTATATGTAGACCTCTAGTCAATGGAGTGATGCTGTTAAGATCATGTCCCAATGGCTGGAGGCTGCTGTGGTCCCAGTGCGGAGTAACAAACTGAGACTCAATCCTAGCAGGATTGACTGGCTTTGTGTACTGGACAGCTCAGATCAGGGGCTTTTCGTCTCTAGTTCAGAATGGGGTTCCAGATGCAACAGATACTCAGTTTGGGAGACTTCTAGGATCCTCTTAAAGAGCAGGTTGCATCTGTAGCAACCCAGGCCTTTGTACAGATTCCTAATTGCACCTATATGTGGATAGGGAGGGCCCTTCTCATGGTCACTCTTGCCTTGGTTACCTCAGGTATAGAATATTGTTCTTTGCTTTATATGGGTTGCCCTTGAGGGCTACTCAGAAGCTTCAACTGGTAATATCAGCAATTTCTAGTATGATCCTATACTGGGGTTAATATGCAGTTTATTCAAAACTATATTCGGGGAAAGCTGCATTTTAAGTATATAGCAGTTACTATACTATTAATAGCATACAGCAGCAGAAGTATGTTTTCTACTGATTTAGGAAAAATGCACAGAAAGCATGCAGTGGAAGAGTCACTGAAACAAATCAAAATTAAACTGAGTCCTACTGTTGAATCAAATAGATAACTGAATCTATACAATAGAAGAGAATCTTCTGACTCTATACATTTTTATAAAGATCAATGAAGTGGACTGAATGCCGCTAAAAGCATACAAAGAAAAGGTGTGGGGAGATAGAGATACATCCATTTTAAAGATGTTCTCTAACTCACACGTTGTTTGTTGTCTTTAGTCTGTAGCTGTTACTTGTGAATTCTGCAGGTGAGAGTCTTGCATACCAGTAGTGATTTGATCAGAAGGCTGGTTACATTCCCTCCTATGGGGTTGATTCTGATTGGAGAAAAACACCTCTATTTAATAAAACATTCTTGTTACGAGATTCAGAGTGGTAGAATGGTGGGCTTATGCCTCAGTACCTTGCTTAAGAACATGCTTGTCAGTGTTTTAATTTAAATTTGTAACTTATACTTAAGATACCGATTTTCTTTATCGATTTAGAAATGACTTATGTATGTTGCCTGCTTCAGGTTTTTATCACATCCTCAAAAGCAAGCAGGTTGTCAATTCCAATAAATAATTCTTTTTATGCCAAAAGAAGCATCACTCTTGAGAGTCAGTACAAAGGGGAAATAAGTAATTATTTCTGTAGCTTATACTTTATTCTCTTTATACTTGTTCCGGATCCTGCCTGGCACAATGTGTTTAAATTAGTAATAAAGAGCGCAGCCACAAAATGTCACAAAATCTTTCCTCTCTTGTGAATTCAGAATCTGTTTTCATTGCTGTTTTCACTGAATAATAATAATAAAGGAAAGAGAGCGCATATCCATGAACTGAGTGAACTTTCCTTATCCCTAAAAATGTACAACATGAATTCTGTGAGATAAGGTTTTACAAAGTCAAAAGAGTATTGCTTCCAAGTAGATTTGCATACACTTTGCTTTTTTATGTTTGCTAGAAAGTTAAACTCCGGATAGGTGAGGTATAGAATTGTATCTGAACAAACTACCACCTTGGTAGAACAAAAGACAGCAAAAATGAACAATCTATATATTGTCTTGAAGCCACCTTGTTCAAGAATACATAAAAGGAAACCCCACTATAGGTGGTCCTCGACCTATGACCACAGTTGAACCAGGGGTGGGTTCTACTTACCTTTACTACCGGTTTGCAACGGGATCCCCTTGCTTCTGCGCATGCACAGAAGCTTCTGTGCACTCACAGATCACCGACAGTGATCCAGGACAGTGGGCGGGGCCTCCCACCAGTTTTACTACTGGTTCTTGCGAACCGGTCCAAACCGGGGGCAACCCACCACTGAATTGAACCCAAAATTTCTGTTGCTAAGCTAGACAGTTATTAAGTGAGTTCTGCCCCATTTTACAACCTTTCTTGCTACAGTTGTTACTGATTTGATTTATATTGCTGCCCACCGCAACCAAGGGTGGTAATAAAGAATAAATTAAAACCAAATTACAATCACAATTCAAAGAAGAAAATTAAATAAATATAGCAGTTGAGAAAAATAACTATCGTTGAAAATTATAATTCATAGATGGTAACATAACCAGAAAATGAAGCCCTTCACATTTTTTTTTTGCTAGCTACCTCAGACTGCAAAAGCAAGGAAATTGTCAAATACCCAAGAGGTTATTATGTGTTAAACAGTTAAAACAACTGTGTTTAACTTGATGACTTATAAAACAGGTGAAAATAGATCCCTAAAAAATGGTTGTCCAGAAAATTGTGGTCTCCTTTCCTGCTTATGAATGCTGATCCTAATCTACGCAGATAACTGGATGTTTTTTTAATCAGTATGCACCAAGCATAGCTTTCATTGTCTTTTCTTCCAATCCAATTCTCCTGAGTGTATAGGCCTTTTTACGAGAAATTTTCTTTCTCCTTGCACAGTGGACAGGCAATTACAAAAGAGACTCCTACTCTCTCATTTCCTATATTAGTATGATTCCCCCTGAGCCTGCAACATGTTTTCACCATTAATATCAGGGAATTCTCACCAGGAGCAAATGTGAAACTCTTGGTAGCATAATCATCCTGGCTAAACTGATGCCTGAGCCGAGGCTCTTAAGAGACAGAGAGGGAATGCTTACAATTTTTCTGTCAATGGAGAATGTTAAGTGGTATGAACAAAATATACAGAAAGGCAAGTCCGAAAGATGAAGCAATCAGACTATGTTCTCAAATGAGCAGTTCACCTCATAGTCATCTAAAAATGGACTTGTGCTTCATGGGAACTATAATTCATAGTAATTATTAAAGTACCGTCCACATGGTAATGTTGGATTTCCCTCTTTTAGTGCTAGTTTGATTGTAAGGTTTTATTTATTTATTTTATTTTATTTTATTTTATTTTATTTTATTTTATATATATATATATACATACATACATACATACATACATACATACATACATACATACATACATATATATATATATATATATATATATATATTGTCGAGCATATATAAGATAACAGGTAAAAGTATAAACATAATTTGAATACATGAAAAGTGTAAGTAAAAAGGAATATTATGACAGGGACGGTAGCAGTGGTGAGTTTCAAATTCTTTTACTACCGGTTCTGTGGGTGTGGCTTGGTGGGCATGCTTGGTGGGCGTGACAGGGGAAGGATACTGTAAAATCTCCATTCCCTCCCCAATCCAGGGGAAGGATACTGCAAATCCCCATTTCCTCCCGACAGCTGGGACTTGGGAGGCAGAGAATAGATGGGGGCTGGGCCAGTCAGAATTTTTACTACCGGTTTTATTTTATTTTATTTATTTATTTATTTTAATTTGATTTATATGCCGCCCTTCTCCAAAGACTCAGGGCGGCTTACAATGTACTCAGCAATAGCCTTCATCCTTTTGTATATTTATACAAAGTCAGCTTATTGCCCCCACAACTGGGTCCTCAATTTACCTACCTTAGAAAGGATGGAAGGCTGAGTCAACCTTGAGCCTTGGCGAGATTCGAACCCTGCAGTAATTGCAGGCAGCTGGTCTTAATAACCAGCTTAATAACAGGGTGCCTTATTTATTTATTTATTTTTATTTTATTGAATTTGTATACCGCCCTATTCCCGAAGGACTCAGGGCGGTGAACAGCCATAGAATAAAACATATAAATACAAAATTTAAAATAGACTAAAACGAATTAAATAATTTGGCTGAACAAATTTAAAACCCCAATAATTTAAAACCAAATTTAAAATTTCCATTTAAAAACGGGAAAGACTTAGGTCAGGCTGGCTTGATGAAATAGGAAAGTCTTGAGCGTGCAACGGAAGGTACGCAGATCTGGGATCCTCCGTATCTCCGGGGGGCGCTCGTTCCAGATAGTAGGTGCCCCCACAGAGAAGGCTCTCCCCCTGGGGGCCGCCAGTCGACATTGTTTGGCCAGAGGAGCCCCTCTCTATGGGAGCGTACTGGTCGGTGGGAGGCTATTGGTGGTAGCAGGCAGTCCCGTAAATAACCAGGTCCTAAGCCATGGAGCACTCTAAAGGTGATAACCGAAACTTTGAAGCGCACTCGGAAGACCACCGGGAGCCAGTGCAGCTCACGCAGGAGAGGTGTTACATGGGAGCGCCACGTCGCTCCCATCACCACCCGCGCGGCCGCACTCTGCACCAGTTGGAGCCTCTGAGTGCTCCTCAAGGGGAGCCCCATGTAGAGAACGTTACAATAGTCCAGACGGGAGGTGACGAGGGCATGAGTGACCGTGCGTAAGGAGTCCCGATCTAGAAAGGGACGCAACTGGCGAATCAGGCGAACCTGATGAAAAATCCTCCCGGTCACGGCCGTCAAGTGCTCTTCTAAAGGCAGCCGTGAATCCAGGAGGACACCCAAGTTGCGGGCCCTTTCTGTGGGGGCCAATGATTCGCCCCCAATAGTCAGCGATGGCACCAGCTGACTATATCGGGACGTCGGAAACCACAGCCACTCGGTCTTGGATGGGTTGAGCCTGAGCCTGTTTCTCCCCATCCAGATCCGTACGGCCTCCAGGCACCGGGACATCACTTCAAGGGCATCGTTGGGGTGGTCTGGGTTCTCCGAACTACTCAAAATTTCCGCTACCGGTTCTCCAGAACTGGTCAGAACCTGCTGAAACCCACCTCTGGACAGTAGGCACGCTGATGCACTTATGCACGCCCCTTACAGACCTCTTAGGAATGGGGTGAGGTTAACAGTAGACAGTTTAAGGTTAAAGGTTTGGGGGTTTGGGGAAGAAACTACAGAGTCAGGTAGTGCATTCCAGGCATTGACCACTCTGTTACTGAAGTCATATTTTCTGCAATCAACTTTGGAGCGGTTTACCTTGAGTTTGTATCTATTATTTGCTCGTGTATTGTTGTGGTTGAAGCTGAAGTAATCATTGACAGGTAGGACATTGTGGCAGATAATTCAGATTCAGAAACCAACAAGCTTGCTGTACTGACTTAGTTTGTACATCACACTATATAAACCTGGGGTGAAATCCAGCAGGTTCTGACAGATTCTGGAGAACCGGTAGCGGAAATTTTGAGTAATTCGGAGAACTGGCAAATACCACCTCTGGTTGGCCCCAGAGTGGGGTGGGAATAGAGATTTTGCAATATTCTTCCCCCATTCAACCACTTAAAGATTTAGCAGATGAGAGACAAATCAGAAGGCAGATAGGTAAAAACTCATAGGAAATTCATTTGAACAGTAATGGGAATCCATCCCTGGGCTTACTTTGAAGTTGTGATGGAGGCCAGAAATATTCTCTTCCACTATTTATCCTCTCACTGTCAATTATTGGAAGTCTTTCTGGGTAATTGTGGTGCTATCCAATCCAAGTTAGAGATCATACAGAATCTTGGTAGCTTTCTGTGTGACTAACTGGTAAGACGCTTTGAAGACAAAATAGGTCAAATATAGCAAAAATCAGCTACAGTTTCAGCAGTTTGGCCCTGTGTGAATTAATACATATTAGTTTATGTGATTTCTATGCCATTTCTATAGAAGTCAAATTAGTAGTCTGGAGCACTTCTAACCCATCTTTGACATTAGGCGCCCAGGTGTTTTTTTTTTTTTTTTTTTAATATATGAAGTACCTTCCATTAGCTCAGGCTCTACTGGGATAGAGATAGCTGCATTACAAAAATCTATCCCTTGGAAATGTCTTGTTTAGATTACTGTAATGCACTATACCTGGGGCTGCCATTGATGATGATTCAGAAATGTCAATTGTACTACAAAATATTGCAGCAAGATTTGAACTGTGAAGCAAATTCATCACACCAGTCCTTTATTCTTTTTACTGGCTTGCAGATCAATTCCAACCCCAATTATAGATTTTGGTTTTAATCTATATAGCCCTTCATCATTTGGGATTGCAATATCTTCTTTTTACACTTCTTTTTATATGTTCCTACTCTTTCCCCTAAGGATATCTATAGAAAGCTTGTACTCTGGGTGCACTCCCTCATGCTGAGGTGTAACAACTGGCTGAGGACAGGTGTTTTCAGTCTTCACCATTTTTATTGCCTTTTCTGCCTCTGGCAAAGTCATTTTTATTTACCAAGCTTTTAGGAACAAGATGATGTTACTGGGGATTTTAATTGCTTTAGTACTAATTTTACAGTTTTAACATAGATTTTTATCACTTGTTTTATCCTTTTAAAATTCTTTTTGATTGTAATTTTTAAGTGTAAATTACATTGGGTTTTTTTTTGAAGGAAAGCAAGCAAGCAAGCAAGCAAGTAAGTAAATGAATGAATGAATGAATGAATGAATGAATGAATGAATGAATGAATAAATAAATAAATAAATAAATGCGTATTTGTTGTCTTAATGTAATTCGCAAACTTCATTGTTCATTTTCAGTCAAGGCTGCTTCTGACTGCAGGATGCAATCCCCCCCCCCCCGCCACTCTCCAAATTCAAAAGTTTTAATCACGTTCTGTTAATGGTTTGGTTCCTCAGTTCATTCTGGATGGAATCATCCTACACCGCATATTTAGATGATATATTTAGCTTTAAGAAAATCATGGATAGGTATTTCATTAGCTACTTAAGAAGGACAAGAAATTATGAGCAGTTGTTGTGTTGTAACAACTCTAATGAATTAGTATGTACAAAAACTGGTGTAGTTTGCCTGGAGTGTAATGACAGCTTAAAATATAGTTAGTCCTTGTTTGATGAATGCTTTGTTTAGTAATCATTTGCAGTTATGACAATGGTAATTTTTTTTACAACCAATCCTTGCATTTGTTTTATTTATTTATTTAAAGCATTTATATAGCTTCCCATCTTCTAACCAATTCTGGGCAGCTCCCAAGGACTCTCATATTTGTAGAGCAAAGGAAAGCAAGATTAAAAGAAACAAGATCATAAATACATTTGCTTCACTTAGCAACTGCTTTGCTTAACAGCTCAGTTACCGATTCCAAATGTGGTTGTTAATTGAGGAATACCTATCTACAATTTATGTGTATAAGTAGTCCTCAAGTGACAACAGTTCATTTAGTAGGATCATTCAAAGTTACAACGGCATTGAAAAAAGTCACAGTTATGAACATTGCAGCATCCCCATGATCAAAATTCAGATGCTTGGCAACTGATTCATATTTATGACGGTTGCAGTGTCCTGGGGTCATGTGATCACCTTTTGCAACTGTCTGCCAAGCAAACTGAATGGGGAAGCCAGATTCAGTTAACAACCATGTTACTAACTTAAGACTTAATACCTATAACAACTAGACAGACAGATAGATGATAGATATATAGATAGATGGGTGGGTGGATGGGTGGATGGAATTCTTTATTGGCCAAGTGTGATTGGACACATAAGGAATTTGTCTTTGGTGCATATGCTCTCAGTTACATAAAAAGAGAAGATACATTCATCAAGAATCATAAGGTACAACACTTAATGATAGTCATTCTATGGCAAGAAAAGCCATAAAATAGGACAAAACTCACTTAATAAGTGTCTCGCTTAGCAACAGAAATTATGGACTCAATTGTGGTCATAAATCAAGGACTACCTGTATATATTGGACTGATGTTCCAAGGTCTACATCAACATAATGACCAAGTGTGGCTTTAACAAGGAAGATGACTTTCTGTATTTCTGATGGTTTGCTGGTGTAATTTCAACAAAGTCAAAGCCATAAATACCTAACAATCTGCTTTTGTTCCAGGGCATAGGACATTATATGTTGGGGTACGGATGCCTTTGGTTAAACAAGGCCACAGACACCACAGACCCCATGGCCCCAAACACAGGAAACGAGATCGGATAAAGGAAAGTATATTGGAGGCGCATGAAACTTACGGTAAGTGTGTGTTGATAATAGAATCAAGCGGGAGAGTGAGCCATAGTCTCCTATCTGCCATACTATTGCTGTATATAGTTCTTTAGGATCTTACGGAGGCATGCAGAATACGGCTGAGAACTTTTAGTAACTCCAAGTGCCAAAGCAAATCCTTAATCTTTGGAGATGGACAGATGGACCTATTATCTCTGAAATAGCAGGATTACCCTAGGCCTAGAGTCACACAACCACAAAGGCATTTGCAGGCCATTATTCTAATCCAGTGTTTGATTCAGAAACTAAAATTGGTGGTAGCTCATCCTCTGCTTCTCCTAATGGAGAAACCTGAACCTCCAGCCAATCAGTTCTATTATGGAACTGCTCTTAGAGCAGCACACTTAATGTTCAACTAAAAGTTGCCCATTGCAGCTGAATTTTGTATAATCCTGCCTTCCTGGTAGCAAAGGATGTGTTTGCATGCTAGCCTTTTAGGTACATTGGAAAGTATTGTTATGCTCCCCTCCCCCATCAGTGTTGTGTCTATTGCATGGGTCTGCAACCTTAAACACTCAGCCATTTGGACCCGCTTCCCACAGAAATCACCAGGAGCCACAAAACCTGGATGGGTGTGGCCAACTCGATGTCACTCACTCCCACCCAGTCACATGACACCCCCAACCATACTTACCCAAGTTTTGTGGCTCCTGGTGTTTTCTGTGGAAAACAAGTCTTTCTCTCTCTCTCCTTCCCTCCCTCCTTCCCTCCCCCCCTCTCGTGTGTGTGTGTGTGTGTGTGTGTGTGTGTGTGTGTGTGTATTCCCTCTTGAATCATTTCCAAAAACAGGCGAGGGTTGTTGTTGTTGTTGTTGTTTTTTGCTGATGTTGTTCGTTCTTCTTCTTTGGGTGCTTTGGGTGCATATTTAAATCAAGAGTCATTTCAGGTTCCCAAATAAATGAAACTCTTTCATTCCCCGGCTGTGGCTCCTGTCAGATGAACCCACCACTGGCTAGCCCTGCCCCTCGCCCTCCCCTCCCAGTCACTCCTCCCCTGGCCTGAGAAGGTAAGGGCAATGGCGGGCAATGGAGACTCGCTCCATATTCCAGAGTGGGAGCGAAGCACCCCTGTACTTGCCACATCTTGCAGGCACTTCTTCCAACCCTTGTTGGTGCTGTGCACACCTTGGTTGCTCAGGGAGATGCGCGACTTGCTCTCCGCCCCGAGACAGTGGCTTGGCCTGGCTGCAGCCACTGCTGCTTCTGTTGCCACTTCCATAACCTGCCCGCTGTTCTCACAGCGCCTTGCACAGCACAGTTAAATTTAGCGTGCTTCACAACAGGGGAGACAGTGTCCCCTCCTCCTCCTGGAGCCCATTACAATGTAGAGCATCGGCCGCAACTGGGCTGGGCCAGTGTCTCGGGGAAGAAAGCAAGTTGCGGGTCTCCCCGAGCGACCAAGGTGCCCGCAGCACCAACAAGGACCAGAAGAAGCATCTACAAGATATGGCAAGTACAGGGATGCTTCGCTCCCGCTCTGGAATATGGAGTGAGTCTCCATCCCCCACCGTCGCCCTTACCTTCTCAGGCCAGGCGAGGAGTGACTGGGAGGGGAGGGTGAGAGATGGGGCCAGCCAGTAGGACCATGCACGCGTTCACATTTGCAAACCGGTAGGGAAGGTAAGTGAATCCCACTGCTGGTGTAAACTCTAAAATAGATAACATTCTAAGTATTTTTTTAAAGTTGTAAAACTCGCCACAAAAACAAGGAAATGGGAAATCCCACCTGTATTCATCTGTGATGTAATCCCATACACTTTGCATCCTTAAACCAATCCAGTAAAAGTACATTACATGCGATGCTGAGCCTGGAAGAGACTTTCCACCTTGTTACTTAGATCACAGCTCATAGAGTGCCACCAGGGACCGAACATTTAGATATCAGTCAGACAACTGACTAAATGCAGCTAAGACATTCAGATAATATGTTGCCGGAATAAGGAATCTAAAAGGAACTGAAAGATTAGAATGGCACATCACAAATGAAAGATACTTGGTACGAATTTACTTAGCAAAAACAAACAAAATTGCAATATAATCTAAAGTGCAAGACGTGGGCATCTTTGCTCATAGGTTAATTATTGACTGATCTTTTCTAGGCTCAGAACTAAGTAGAATTCGTTTGATTAGAAACCTCCAGGAAACCGAAGGCTGTAAACTACAGAGGGAATTATAAATAAATCCCAGAAGAAGGAAATATTAACCTACTACTATGTAGCCAAATTATTAATAATGACTTTCATTATTAATAATATTCTTTCAATAAAGAATAGAACGTCAGAAACAACAAACTAAAAGAATCGCATCTTTGACTGATATTTTTGAGAACTGATGACCTTGCAAGATCTTTTCTGTAATTTACCCCTTTTATCTGTTCGATATCTCTCTGTATACAGGTAGTGCTCAACTTATGACCACAATGGAGCCCAACATTTCTGTTGTTAAGCAAGGCAGTTATTGAGTTGTGCTCCATTTTACGACCTTTTTTGCCATAATTATATTAAGTGAATAATGGCTGTTGTTAAGTGAATCATACAGCTATAAAGTAAATCTGGCTTCCTCCACTGACTTGGCTTGTCAAGCCAGCTGGGAAGGCTACAAATGGTGATCACATGACCTTGGGACACATCATAAATACATGCCAGTTGACAAGTGCCCAAATCTTGATCACATGACTGTGGGGATGCTGCAACGGTCATAAGTGTGAAATCTGAAGAATAACTGCAGGAATTGGGTATGGCCAGTCTAGAGAAAAGAAGGACTAGAGTGACATGACAGCAATATTCCAGTATTTGAGGGATTGCCACAAGGAAGAGGAGGTCAATTTATTTTCCAAAGCACCAGAAGGCAAGACAAGAAACAATGGATGGAAACTAATCAAGGAGAGAAGCAACCTGGAATTAAGGAGAAACTCCCTAACAGTGAGGACAACCAACCAGTGGAACAGCTTGCCTTCAAAAGTTGTAGGTGCTTCATCACTGGAGGTTTTTAAGAAGAGACTGGACAGCAATCTATCTGAAATGGTATATAGTCTCGTGCTTGAGCAGGGGGTTGGACTAGAAGACCTCTAAGGTCCCTTCCAGCTCTATTCTGATTAATCGGCCATACGTAATTTTTTTCCGTGCTGTTATAATTTTGAACAGTCACTAAATGAATGGTTGTAAGTTGAGAATTGCCTGTATGCTTTCCAATTCTTTTTCCTTGATTCTGCTGTCCCTGGGCGTTTCCATATCCACAAAGAATACATTACTATTGTCTTCATCATTATTAATACAATGTTCCACTTTGTTAGATACCCCATCTCAGCGAGTTCACTTTATCCTTGGTATGGAAGAGGATGAGGAGCATGTCCCCCATGACTTATTCACAGAAATGGATGAAATCTGTGTGAAAAAAGGTGAAGAATCAGAGTGGAAAGAAACAGCAAGGTAAAAATAAATATATAAATGTATACATACAACAAGGTTGGGTTCCACCTTTCTGTACAGTTGGTTTAGTTTTATAATCCAGAAAGAAAGCAAAAGAACCAGGGAATTATTTTTTCCTGCATTTTGATTGTTAATGAGGGACAAAAAAAATAATAATCACCTTTTAAATATGGAGGGAACTGGTACAATAGTCTTCAGTATGTTTGTTCCAATTTTATTTGGACAGAATTTGTCAGGCCAGGATTTCTGGTCTAGAAGCAGCAGCTGCTCCTGTGCAGAATCTGTTCTTGATTCCCTAATTTTACCTGCAAATCTCTGAATTTGGTAGTCTGTTCAAAAGTTTTTTGGGTTATTTTGAAGTGTACAACTGGTTTTGTGTCAGCATGAGACAATACCATGTCAAATCAGGAGACTTCTGTGCATTCAGTAGCTCACCTTACAACTATGGGAAACATTTAAAGCTTACATCATTATCTTTGGATTCAATTAAAGTCAATTTCTGGAGTCGTGCATTTTGTTGGCTATCTCACTGATAATTACTGTGCCAAATACCACTTTGAACAGAGTTCAGAAATGGTTTTATTGTAATTCCAAACTTGTTTCAGGAGTACATTTAATGCACGACCAAACATAATTCAAAATATATGAGTAAATAAATAGAAAATAACATTTGGAAGCTGATAGCAACCTTACAATGATACGTTTATTATTGGCTGGGTTGGTTGTAAAATGATGCCATCTTCTGGCAGATGGAATACTAATGCTTGCTACTACACAACATTGCCTATTTATTACTTCTATAGCTGCTGTTGTTACTATGACTGGTAGCACAGTAAGCCAAATTTTAAACTTTGTCATTATTATTATTTAAATCAGAAGGTTGAAAGCTGAGTCCTAGGTAGCAAGCAAAAATTTTTCTCCTACAGTAGGATGAACAAAAAAAATATCTGCTCCAAACTCCATGTGGCATCAGAAAGGGTATCCAGCCAGTAAATGCTCAGCTCCATCCAGTCACATTCCAACTCTACCCTGAATTAAAGGATTACAGGGTTGTAAAAAGGGAAATTATTATTATTTATTTAAAAATAATAGGAATTGAAATGAAACAGTAGTGCCTTCTTGTAAATTTAGCATATTTATATGCTGAGATTGAGGGCAAAGCAAGAAATCTATTGAGGTTATTGCCAGGCTAAATTTAAGTCAGGCAGCATTCTATGAAAAATAGCAATAGCAATAGCACTTAGACTTATATACCGCTTCAGAGTGCTTTACAGCCCTTTCTAAGCGGTTTACAGAGGCAGCATATTGCCCCCAACAATCTGGGTCCTCATTTTACCCACCTCGGAAAGATGGAAGGTTGAGTCAACTTTGATCTGGTGAGAATTGAACTACAGGCAGCTGGCAGTCAGCAGAATTAGCCTGCAGTACTTCATTCTAACTACTGTGCCACCATGGCTCATTAAAGTTGTTAAAGAATCAAACTGTTGAAAAAAACTCATTCCATTCCTATTCCATAGTCTGTTGTCTCAGTAGTTCAAATATATGCAAAAAGGGATCTGCGGAAAACCTTTCCTAGTTGCTATTATTTTTCTAGCACTCTTCAAAGAGAGACATGTTGCAGTGTGAAAACATACATTTGGGTAAAGATGACACCTTGGGGGGGAGTAAGGTAGATTCTTTAATCATGGTAAAGGATATGTTTTGTATCTGAAAGATCCCCAATGCAGGTAGTGCTTGACTTACGAGCAAAATTTCTGTGGTTACGTGAGACATTTGTTAAGTGAGTTTTGCCCCATTTTACGACCTTTCTTGCCATAGTTGTTAAGTGAATCAGTGCAGTGGGTAAGTTAGTAATCCGGTTGTTAAGTGAATCTGGCTTCCCCATTCACTTTGCTTGTCAGAAGGTCGCAAAAGGTGATGACATGACCTTGGGACACAGCAATGGTCATAAATATGAACCAGTTGCCAAGCACCTGGATTTTGATCACATGATACTGCAAAGGTCGTAACTCTGAAAAACGGCCATAAGTCACATTTTTCAGTGCCATTGTAACTTTGAACGGTCACTAAACTAACTGCTATAAGTTGAGAGCTATCTGTATTATCTGGCTTTTTTAAAAAAAAATAAGGCCTTAAATAACAGCACTAGAAAATTTTCTTTGTGATGTTTTGGAATTACATTGTATAATCACTCTAGGGAATATTCATGTAGTCAAGCAGGGGTTCATTATGCATATATCTCCAGCATCAGAAAAGCTACAGCAAGTGTTTCTCCACGCAGTCAGGTTTGCCTATCTGCTATATATGAAATCCAAAACTGAACTCAGTTGGATTATTTATCAAATATATTTCTAAGTTAATCTTCCATCTTAAAAAAACAAGTCTGTTTAATTCCTGTTCTGTACCGACTCTTTTTAAAATATGTCTATCTCCTTGAGGTATATATGTGGCTTTTGACACTGTGAATGAGCCAGTGGTGGGTTGCTCCCGGTTCCCACCGGTTTGCAAGAACCGGTAGTAAAAATTTGTAGTAGTTCAGAGAACCGGTAATAACATTGGCTGGCCACGCCCCCGAACCGGTTCCCGGCCCAGTCGCTGCTCGCTTATCCCAGCTACCTCATCAGAGGTTTTTTTTTTTTTAAACTTTTAAAAGCATTTTTTCTACCTCTTTGGCCGAAAAAATGTTTTTAAAAGTTTTTTTTTAAAAAAAGCCTCTGATGATCGCGCGGCTCAACTGGGATCGTCAGAGGCTTTTAAAAGTAATTTTTTCTGCAACCTCTTCGGCCGAAGAGGTTGTAGAAAAAAAAAATGCCTTTAAAAGCCTCTGGCGATCCCAGCTGAGTTGCCTGATCGTTAGAGGCTTCTAAAAGCATTTTTTTCTGCAACCTCTTAAGGTTGTAGAAAAAATGCTTTTAAAAGTTAAAAAAAAAAAAGGTTGGCCACGCCCACCCAGTCACATTGCCCCCAAGCCACGCCCACAAAATAAACCACACTCACAGAACCGGTAGTAAAAAAATTTAGAACCTACCCCTGGAATGAGCACAGGGTAGCTTGTGGGTACTACAAATCGGAATAGTTTATACCAGGTAGTAAACACAGCTTGCCGCACGATGTCTTGTTTTGAATTTCTATCCGTCATTGACAGATAGGATGTCATTTTTTTACAGGTAGTCCTCGACTTACAACAGTTTGGTGACCGTTCAAAGTTACAACAGCACTGAAGAAAGTGATTTATGACCTTTTTTCCACACTTATGGCCGTTGCAGCATCCCCATGGTCAAAATTCAAACGCTTGGCAACTGACTCATATTTACGACAGTTGCAGTGTCCCAGGGCCATGTGATCAATTTTTGTGTCTTTCTGACCAGCAAAGTCAATAGGGAAGCCAGGTTCACTTAACAACCGTGTTACTAACTTAACAGCTGCAATGATCCACTTAACAACTGTAGCAAGAAAAGTCATAACGTAAGGCAAAATTCATGTAACAACTGTCTCACTTAGCAACAGAAATGTTGGGCTCAATTGGGGTCATAAATCGAGGACTGCTTGTACGTCTGTATTCATTTGTGATTTCCGTGGGACCTGTAGACCCTTTTGTAAATAAAGGTAATCATAGAGACTGGTGTTTTGCATTGCCTTCATTGATGTGGACAGGGCCTGGCAGTTTTTGAGGGATATGTCCACTGACTCCCCATTACAGTTCAATAATATTAATGCATAAAAGCTTGCTCGGCTTCCAAGCCATCTGGAAAAATAAATATTATGTATTGATCCTGAAACCTTTTGCTGTAGTATTTGATTTGGGATGTGTTGGTTGCCTCACTTGCAGATGGCTGAAATTTGAGGAAGATGTGGAAGATGGAGGAGAACGATGGAGTAAGCCATACGTGGCTACTCTCTCACTGCACAGTCTCTTTGAACTGAGGAGCTGTATCATCAATGGGAGTATCCTTCTGGATAAATCTGTAAACTGCACTGAAGACGTTGCAGGTGCTATTTTTAACAATTTATGAGAATAAAAGTCAAGGAATCTGTTCTCTAGGCCTTCTTCACCTGTGTATAGAGAACATCTTTCCCGGATATAACCTGCCCAGATGCAAACTTGGATTAGACAGAAATTTACTCCAATTCTGGAAATCTGTTTCAAGGCAGAATAATATAGCAGTCTTCCTTAATTTGGTGCCCTCCAGATGTTTTAGGGATATGACATTGGGACTATCGAGCCTTGCACATGATGACTAGGAATTTATGGAGTTATATTTCCAACAATCTGCAGGACCACAGTTTAAGGGAAGGTTTTGTTTAATTTAAAAATCAAGCTGGTTTGCCCAGTTCAGTGATTCATTACATTTAGACCCTCTCAGCCAAGGCTTCTGGTAGCCAACTGTTTATGATGATACTTTCCCCACGTCCTTTTGCCATTATATCTGTATTTTGGTCTGTGACCGCAAATAAAAGTTATTATTATTATTATTATTATTACATTTAGAGAATATTAACCCCCATTGGATTAATATTCTCTAAATGTAGGTTGGATGGGTGAGTGGGATGATAGGATGCCAAAGTAGCACAAATGGTTGGGAAAAGAGTGTTTATGGTGCCTGCTGTTTTTTTCCTTTAACTATTTTTAAAATGTTGGATAAAAAAAATGTGGAAGCCAGAACAGATTTGGCCCTTTTTATGAATCTCCCTCCTATCACCATTACTCATGGAATGGAGCATCCTGGATAGCTATTCTCAGAATTAAATATGGCAGTTAAGAATTTTCCTCTGATTGTTGCTTTGGGATGATTGTATTGTTTCTATGTTAGATTTTTTTTTCCCTCAGAAAGAAATAGAATGCATATTTTTAGTATCCTTTACTCAAGCATGCTGCTGCACTGTCTACCCAATCCCAGATCTAATTTAAGAGAAGAACAAGCATGAACTTCTAAATCAAAAGTCAATAAGATTGCATTATCTGATGACTGAACCCTTCTCACATTGAAATAAATGCCAGTATCCTTGAAAGAAGAAATACATTTTTGTTCTTGAATATGATACTACAAAACTTGAAGGATACAAGAAATGAACTGATATTGCAAATACACTTGTGTAAAAGTCTTTATATTATACTTTTTAGAAACCATTTTGGGAAGTAAGGAGTCCCATATATAAACACTTTTCTTAGCTGTTTTATTTTGGCATTTATAAAAAAAAATATTGGGAAACATTTCATAATAGCAATAGCAATAGCAATAGCAATAGCACTTATATACCACTTCACAGTGCTTGACAGCGCTCTCTAAGCAGTTTACAGAGTCAGCCTATTGCCCCCAACAATCTGAGTCCTCATTTTACCCACCTCGGAAGGAGGGAAGGCTGAGTCAACCTTGAGCTAGTGAGATTTGAACTGCTGAACTGCAGCTAGCAGTCAGCTGAAGTAGCCTGCACTACTGCACTCTAACCACTGCGCCACCTTGGCTCTATATAATATAAATTATATAGAATATAATAAGCATTATAATTTAAAGAGGAAAAAGCTTTGGAAAAAATAGAGGTTTTTTTCTGTTATTTTTGGAGTGTCTGTATGTATGCCTTTGACTTCATATTTCAAATTATCTGACCATTAATATCTCTGGATGGGCCTGATGAAAATTGTAGTTCAAAATATCTGAAGGGAACCTGAGTTGCAGATAGCTGGATGATATAAATTTCTGGAGGGTAGGTTTACCAGTGCTTTAAACTCAGGGGTGAAATGCTCCTGGTTCGGACCGGATCGCCCGATCTCGTAGTGACGGCGGCAGGTGGTTCGGAGAACCGGTAGCAAAAATCCCTGCCCCCGCATGCCCAGCTGAGCCGTGCGATCATCAGAGGCTTTTTTTCAACTTTTAAAAGCATTTTTTCTACAACCTCTTCGGCCAAAAAAATGCTTTTAAAAGGAAAAAAAAAGCCTCTGAAGATCGCGTGGCTCAGCTGGTGTCATCAGAGGCTTTTTCTACAACCTCTTTGAGAGGTTGTAGAAAAAATGCTTTTAAAAGCCTCTGAATCCCAGCTGAGTTGCCTGATCATCAGAGGCTTTTAAAAGCATTTTTTTCTGCAACCTCTTGAGGTTGTAGAAAAAATGCTTTTAAAAGTTAAAAAAAGAAAGTTGGCCACGCCCACCCAGTCACATTACCCCCCACCAAGCCACGCCCACAGAACCAATAGTAACAAATTTTACATTTCACCACTGCTTTAACTAATATCATAGCTAAATCGAAACTCCATGTCTTCCTATGAAGACTGAGACTTGGCTTAGATGAAGTCTGATCTGATTCTGCCAAGATATAGTACAGGTAATCCTTGAATTTACAATCATTTGTTGTGACCATTTGAAGTTACAATGACATTGAAAAAAGTGACTTATGATCAGTTTTCACACTTACGACCATTGCAGCATCCCCATGGTCATGTGATCAAAATCCAGGCACTTGGCAACTGGCATATGTTTAGAACAGCTACAGCAGTAGTGGGTTTCAATTTAGTTTGCTATCAGTTCGCTCATACGCGCAACGCTTCTGCGCATGCGCAGAAGCGATTGGGCAGGTGGGCGGAGCCTCTTGCCACCGGTGCTGCCGGTTCGCCCGATCCGGGATGTACTGGTAGCAACCCACCACTGAACTGCAGCATCCTGGGATCATGTGATTACCATATATAATCTTCCCAGCTGGTTTCTGACATGCAAAGTCAATGGGGGAAGTCAGATTCACTTAACAACTGTGTGATTCACTTACAAATTGCAGTAATTCACTTAACACTTCTGGCAAAAAAAGGTCATAAAATGAGGCACAACAACTGTCAATGGAATGGAAATTTGGGGCTCCATTGAGGTTGTAGTAGAGGACTACTTATATTTGTCTCATTTGAAGACAAATTTTGAATTACACTCATTTGTTCTGTATTAATGATCCAATCTGATGTGTTGTGTTAATGGACTAGTTTTAAAAATGCAGCTAATAGCAGGTGTGCAAAGGATTATAAGGATTGCTGTTATAATAGGAATATATATATATATAATTAAGTTTTCCTTTCCTCCCGTTAGAAAAAATTATACTGCTGAACTTTCCAACCATAATTATTAATATCTAATTAATATCATTTTAATTCAGGATCACTGATTGCAGTGTAACGTGCATTGCATTTGTATAATTAGGTGGGTTTCTCTTTCAGAAATGATCCTGGATAGCCAGAAATCCTGTGATGAAGCCACACGTAAAAAATTCTGGGAAACCCTCTTGAAAAAGCACCATCATCAGCATGAAAAGAAGAGGAACATCCTTCCAATGGTCCGTTCTTTTGGAGAAAGTAGCCAGAGAAAGTCTGATCCTCACTCAATAGATAAAACAGGTAAAGGATCTATGTAATCTGCTATTCTGGTCCAATTTCCTCATTACATTAGGAATTATAAACCAAATGTTGAGAAATCATTGGGAATAGATAACAACTTACGATTTACAACAACCACTAGTTCAGTCGCACAACACCCAAATCCAAACCACAAATGTTTGTGTACGCGTCTAGTGAACGGAGTATCCCTTCCTAATTTGTCAGTGCCTCTGCTTGTTTTCTGGATTGTACGTACTTCAAACTAGCAGAGGAATATGAAGAACAAACATTATTTTGGCAAATGCTTGCTCCATCTGACAAAATTTACTCAATCTATTTTTATTACCAAATTTATATGCAGTTTAAATTTATCTCCACTCAGAGTCACTCTGAATATGGACATGACTAATTGCATGCAGCTTGTCCTTTCTCTTTGCTATACTGCTTCAGCAATTTGGAAGGCAAACTGGCTGCATTCACCTAATAAAGTGAATGATAATCTCTAGTGAAACCAACCAAAGCTACTCTGTTTGTGTAATAGGCTATCTCCAAATAAGTTAATCATATTGAATTGATGGCCTAGTTCACACATTATATTAAGGTATAGTATAATTTGTTGGCCTTTACCGTAACTATTTAGCCTAAATAAATTTATGGTTTATCATGGGTGAGCACAGACGTTGTCTGATTGTCTGGTTTGAGCATCAGGTACATATATATGATCCAATTTGTATTTTACTAGGTTTTAGTCAAACAATCTCCCCGAAGTGTAGGATTATAAGAATAATTATGCTGGCCCAGGTAAAAGTCCATTTTCCAATGTTTTTTTTGACATACTAAGTGTGTTAATCATTTTTTATATAAGCATTTTAATTGTAAATTTCCAAAAGCCTCTAATAGTCAGTGGTATTGATTTATTATGTTATGTTAATTTGGTGTTGACCGTTAGCAATCATATAGATAGATTCTCCCCCAAGATCAACTGTCCCAGCATGGACCTTTTTCATTATATTCCTTGACTTTAATTACCAGAGATGGCATATCATTTATGTGTTCAACTATAAAAAATGCTGCCAAAGGCATAGTGCAAGTTTCTGATGTTTCGGCCTCCAATTTTAAAATCATACTTATTTTCTTTCAATCCAGCTTCGTTCGTGCTTGGAAATCCCACATTAGTCTGTCCTCACACTTATACACAGAGCAGGGTGTCACCATCCAGAGAGAGAAAATGAACATATAGATTGAGTAAATGAAGGGACAGTATGCAACCTTATTTTTATCTTACTCTTTTACTGACTTGGAGCCATTCTGTTTTACTATGCCCTGCCTGGATTGTGACATCTTGCCCGGTGTATAAATTTCATATGAGGAAAGACAAATGTACTGGGATTTCCATTTTCCAAGAACATTCCATAACTTGAAATTGTTGAGATAAATAAAATATTTTCTATAATCAGGGAAGCGCATGGTGGTTTCTTTTTCATAATCTCTGGCTTTCTCAATAATCCACCATGCATAAGTAATAATATCTTTTGTTCTACAACTTTTCCTGAAGTTAGTTTAAGCATGTGGCATCTCCCTTTCCATGTGTGATTCTAATTGTTGTGTTAACTTTTGTGAATTTTTGTGAACAAAGAGAGAAGCAACCTGGAATTCAGGAGAAATTTCCTAACAGTAAGGACAATTAACCAGCTTGCTTTCAAAAATCAAGGGTGTTCCATCACTGGAGGTTTTTAAGAAGTGACTGGACAGTCATTGGCTGAGACTGTATAGGTTCTCCTGCTTGAGCAGGGGGCTGGACTAGAAGACCTCCAAGGTCCCTTCCAGTTCTGTTTACAGATTAACAGAGTTGGAAGGGACCTTGTAGGTCATCTACTCCAACCCCCCGCCCAAGCAGGAGACCCTACACTATTTCTGACAGATGGCAGTCCAATCTCTTCTTGAAAGCCTCCAGTGATGAAGCTCCCACAACTTCCGAAGGCAAGCTGTTCCATTGGTTGATTGTTTTCACTGACAGAAAATTTCTCCTTATTTTTAGGTTGAATCTCTCCTTGGTCAGTTTCCATCGATTATTCCTTGTCTGGCCTTCAGGTGCCTTGGAAAATAGCTTGACTCCTTCCTGTCTGTGGCAGCCCCTCAAATATTGGAACACTGCTATCATGTCTCCCCTGGTCCATCTCTTCACTAGACTGGCCATGCCCAGTTCCTGTAACCGTTCTTCGTATGTTTTAGTTTCCAGTACCCTAATCATCCTGGTTCCTCTTTGCATTTTTTCTAGAGTCTCAACATATTTTTTTATAATGTGGTGACCAAAACTGGATGCAAAATTCTGTTCTATTCTATTCTAAATCAAAGGTTACATTCTGTTAAGTCTCCTTTCTGTAGTATTGCTATAAAGATTGACCTTTTCTAATTTCTTGGACATTGTGTCATTCTCCAGATTTGCTGGTAGAGTTTGGATATAGTTTCTACAGATTCTTCTTTCTATTGCTTGCCCTGTTTCCATAGATATTCCATCAATTCCTGTGGTTTCTGACTAAGATCTTCTAATACTAAGAGGGCTTGTAAGTAGGAGAATATCTTCTCAACTATCTTGGATGTTGACATATCTACTGTACAGAATTTTAGTATATTCTTGCACTTATATTTCATCTTCTTTACTATTTGCCCATGGTGCTGTTTAACAGACCAATGTGAGTTTGGAACCCCTTGCTGAGTTTGGAGGTCTCTTGGAAGATTTTCCTTGTTTTTCCTCTATCTGTTTCCATATTCATTTTCCTTACAGATGTTGTAATTCTATTTCTAGTTTCTTTTACTAGCTCTCTGAAATTCTTTGTTATGTTACTTCCTAAGATCTTTGTCTTTCTTAGCTTTGGCTTCTCTTTTCTTCTTGGTAATTTCTACCATTTTTTCTGATATCCAGTTTGCTTTCTTTTGTTTCTTGATCCTTGACAGTCTGTTTTCATATTCACACTTAACAACATTTATTTCGTTCTACAGTTCATTTGGTTCCCTATCAGTGAAGTTCAGGACTTCTAATCAGCTTCTGATATTTTTCATTAAAATAATAGGTATCTGCTCAAGATTGTCTTGTGACTTTAATCCTTTTTCATCTCTGGATATAATTATTATTATTATTATTATTATTATTATTATTATTATTATTATTATTATTATTACTATTACTATTACTATTATTATTATTATTATTACTATTATTATTTTATTTCTATACCGTCCTTCTCCCGAAGGACTCAGGGCGCTGTACAGCTTATTAAAAACACAAAGACAGACATCAATTTAAAAATAATTAAAATTATTAAATAATTTTGGCTCAAATTTAAAACTCCAAATTTAAAACACCCAATTTAAAATCATTACATTGATAGCCCGGCCTGGTGGAACAGCAGGGTCTTGAGGGCACAGCGAAATACACAGAGGTCGGAGATCTTACGCATTTCTGGGGCAGTTCATTCCACAGGGCAGGGGCTCCCACAGAGAAGGCCCTTCCCCTGGGTGTCGCCAGCTGACATAACTTGGCCGATGGCACCCTGAGGAGACCCTCTCTGTGGGAGCGAACTGGCCGGTGGGAGGCTATTGGTGACTGAACTCGGTCTCGAAGGTACCCGGGTCCTATGCCATGGAGCGCTTTAAAGGTGGTGACCAGTACCTTGAATCGCACCCGGAAGACCACTGGGAGCCAGTGCAGCTCGTGCAGGAGGGGTGTCATGTGGGCACGAGTTGCGTCCATAACCACGCGCGGCCGCATTCTGGACCAGTTGGAGCCTCCAAGTGCTCTTCAAGGGGAGCCCCATGTAGAGAGCATTACAATAGTCCAGCCGGGAAGTGACAAGGGCGTGAGTGACCGTGCGCGAGGTCCAGAAAGGGCTGCAACTGGCGAATCAGGCGAACCTGACAAAAGGTCCCCCTGGTTACAGCCGTCAGATGTTCCTCCAAGGACAGCTGCATATCCAGGAGGACACCCAGATTGCGAGCCCTCTCTGTGGGGGGTAGAGATTCACCCCCAATAGTCAGCGATGGTACCAGCTGACTATATGGGGACGCCAGAAGCCACAGCCACTCGGTCTTGGTATTTCTCCCCATCCAGACCCGCACGGCCTCCAGGCAGCAAGACATCACATCAAGGGCATCGTTGGGGTGGTCTGGGGTGGAGATGTACAGCTGAGTGTCATCAGCGTACTGATGGACTCTCACCCCAAAACCACGGATGATCTCCCCCAGCGGCTTCACATAAATGTTGAACAGAAGGGGCGAGAGGACCGACCCTTGCGGCACTCCCCATGCGAGGTGCCTCAAGGTTGACCTCTGCCCCCCTGCCAACACAAACTGTGAACGGTCAGAGAGGAAGGAGGAGAACCACCGCAGAACGGTGCCCCCTGTTCCTAACCCCCTCAACTGCTGCAGCATACCATGGTCGATGGTATCAAAAGCCACTGAGAAATCTAATAGGACCAGGACAGAGGAGCAACCCCTGTCCCGAGCACTCCAGAGATCATCTACCAACGCGACCAATGCCGTTTCTGTGCTGTACCCCTGCCTGAAGCCCGACTGGTACGGGTCCAGATAGATAGCTTCATTCAGATGCTGGGGAAGCTGTCGTGCCACCACACTCTCAACAACCTTCGCCACAAAACGACGGTAGTTAGCTAATTTAGCCGGGTCCAGGGAAGGCTTCTTGAGGAGGGGCCTCACCACCGCCTCTTTCAAGGCAGCTGGAAAGGCACTCTCACTCAAAGAAGCACTTATAATCCCCTGGAGCCAGCCTCGTGTAACCTCCCGGGAGGCCAGTATCAACCAGGAGGGACATGGGTCCAATAAACACGTGGCGGCACTAACCTTACCCAGAACCTGTCCACATCCTCTGGAGCCACAGGATCAAACTCCTCCCAGATAACATTCTCAAGACCTACCCTCATCTCCTCCCCTGGACTCATCCAGTCGGAGTCCAATGATTCTTTCCAAATGTTGGTTTTTCTAAAATCTCTGTGGGCACTGTTGGTGTCAAGGGGGGCTGACAGTTGGGGGCTTTCAAAATTATAATAGCTGCAAGGGGATAAGGTCATGTAACAATGAAACAAGCTAGAGATGGAATGTCCGATCTCTAAACTATGTTCAGCACACAACCAGTGTTTACATTTTCCCAAAGTTCAGCAGTGGCAATTTCTAATTCCAATTTTTGAATGCTGTTGATAATGACAGCATTAGATACTTTGTTTTCCAGGAAAAATTTCCCAAGTAATGGAAGTCTTTTCTAACAGTCCATAGATAGAAGCAGCTAGGATTTCATTATAGGGAGTCGATCTACCACTTTCATTGCTACTATTAAGGAAGAATATAGTCAGCAAATTCATACAATGTTTTTTTGCTTGTTTTCTAAAACTAAATGTTGGTTTTGGGGATGAAGTTTTTATTTTCATAAGGTATAATCACTTCTTTAGGATGTGACCTTATCACATCCTCCATTTGTTTAGTTCAATAATAAAAAAATAAATTGGAGGGAGCAAGGAAACGCTTGTCATTTTGTTCAAGTTGCTCTTTTAAAAGAACTGTGTCATTTGCTTGCAGTGAAAATTGTTATGAGCTGACCATGTTAAAAATTTGTTTCACCGAAGTATGAGTTCATGAAAATTGTTTTCTTTTTGTATGTGCCATTCACATAAGTAAAATAATCCATGGGCAGATGGACATTATAAGTGAAATCAAGCAATCTACATGTGTTTATTATTGATAAGGGTTTGTAAAATATATTTTTTTTCAAAATTGTATGTTCAATGTATGATGTACAATGTAATAATTAATACAAAAAATTATCGAGATTTTTCCTCTCTGTTTCTATTTAGGAATGCCTTCACTGTCCCTTCATCCTCCTTCTAACACACTAGATGTTAGAAATGGATTGACTCATGATACTACCCCAACAGATGTGTGCAAAGTGAGTTAATGTAATTGTTTATCACTAATTGTAAGAGCATCTTACAGCCAGTCAGATTTGACTCCATCAAAGTTAAACGAAAGCAACTGGCATTGCTTTTATTCTGAATTGGCATCTTCAGCCAAACTGACTTTGTGAATAATGTCACTGTCAATGGGAAAAGAGTTGGGTTCCTTTGAGTTTTACCATAGGTCAATATTGCTTTCATAAGTAGCAGCCGTGGTATATCAGCATCTCATCTGAATATGAACATCTCTGTATAATGTCTATTTTTAAAAACTGAAAAACCCAAAAGGAGGAGGTTCTCTGGAATTTATACAGGTAGTCCCTGATCACAACTGGGACTGGCACTAAGTACAACATTGTTAAGTGAAATGTCCATGCTGACTTACATTGGTTCCAGCTGCAGGTGTTAAGCAAATCACCATGAGTCAGTAACCATGGTGTCATGTGACTTCGACTTGCGAATTCCTTGCTGACTTCCTCATTGACTTTGCTTGTTGGATGTCAGCTGTGGACATTGCAAATGGTGGTTGCATGACCCCAGGATGCTACTTCTGTTGTAAATGCACGCTGATTGTCAAGCACTCAAATTACAATAGAGATGCTGTGACAGCCACAACTTCAAGGACTGGTCATAAATCTTCTTGTTCAGTGCTGTTATAACTTTGAACAGTTGCTGAAAGAGTGTATTACCCGTATTTATTAAATTATCTGTATTCCATTACCTGTATTTATTAAATGCATCATAATATCTGTATTTATTAAATGCATCATAATATGAGTTCTGCCTTAAAAATTAAGCTTTTTTCTTTGTAATTAGACAGACCTTCATTTTATGAAGAAGATTCCTATTGGAGCAGAAGCTGCAAATGTTTTAATTGGAGAAGCAGATTTCATGAAACAACCTATTGTTGCTTTCTTACGCTTATCGCCAGCTGTTCTTCTTCCAGGCATGACGGAGGTTCCACTCCCTACCAGGTAAAATGTGGTAGTAATGATGGGAGTGTTTGGGGATAGCTAATAGTACTGATGTCCTGCAGCTATGCAGTTTTCTTGGCAGTGTTACAGAAGTGGTGGTTTGCCATTTGCGCCTTTGGGATTTTATTTTTTACCTTCTCCATCTACCCAACAGTAATTAGTGCTAATTTCATACTGATTGTCTACTGCTATGCATAATAATGTATATGCATATTTATTTATTTATTTATTTATTTATTTATTTATTTATTTATTTATGTATATTAGAGGTGGAGACCCTTTGAGAGATGTATGCAATGAAATTTCATTTTAATGTATGCCGATTAGGGTACATTCAAAGTGACAATAAAGTTTTCTAAGTCTAAATCTAAGTCTACTACTATTATTTGTCACCTTGATTATTACATTTGAGTTTATACTTTAAATGTCCATGCCATTAAAAATTATGTTTGTTGCAAACTCTGGAATGTTGTCTCCCCTCTACAGCCCCATTGAGTTAAAAAAATATTTAATCATCCATTTTCATAATTTTGTAATTTAGACTGAAGCTTTTTAAAAAAGATATTTCTACGATTTTAAGCTCTTCGCTGAAATAAAAACCCAACTTTTTCAGTGGACTCAAGAGAAATTTAAACATTTATTTAGATGGCTGTGGATAGTTCCTATTCTTACACTATTTAATTCTTTTAAAAAAGCTGTGTCTACGAAAGAGGCATTCACCGTGCATCCGTGCGCGCCTCCCGCCGGCCAGCTGATTTTCAAGTGTCTGTCGCAGGGATGGGGTGCATGCAGGAGATGCATGTGCATGCACAGGGGGGGTCTTGCGTGCATGCGCAGGGGCGAGAGGAGGTCGAGCGCATGTGCGGGGTTGGGAATATGGGGTGAGAGGTGCACCCCCATGCCCAAATGGGCCGTGGTGGGTGTCCCCCCCCCGTGGCCCGTTTTTGGTCCCAGGAGGATTCAGGGAGGCCTGCCAGGCTCAAAATGGGCCGCGGGGGCTCGGCTGTGCATGCGTGGGGGGAGGGCAGGGGGACCGTGGGAGGGTGGGGGTCATGCGGGGGGTCACGCGTGCATGCATGGGGGGTGGGGGTCGCGTTGTGGTCATGTGCACATGTGCAGGGGCGGGGCATGCGGGGGGCATTGCATTATGGGTGTAGCCAGATGTGCGACACCCCCCTCCCCCCGCTTTTGGCACACAACGGCAAAAAGGTTAGCCATCACTGTATTAGAGGATCCATAAATATTCATACTTCAGTATTAGATACAGGTAATCCTCAAGGTACAACAGGCCATTTAACTAATGTTTGAAATTACAAGTGACAACTCCCAAAAGCTACTTATGACCTCATTTCAAAATTAGGACAGCTGCAGTGGGCCTGCCGTTGTTCAGCCTAATGACCCACTACAAGGTTGCTGCAGTGCCCTCCTGTCTCTCTCCCCCATCCCACTCCACTAGAAACCTGCAGGACTTGGGCATCCTCCTCACACCCCCATCCCGCCCCACATTTAACTTCTGAAGCTCTCCAGACCCCATGTTATGGAGGGAGAGCAGGACATGTGTTCCTGGGCCATGCTGTGGAGACCCAAATACAGACAGGTATGGGGACAAAATGATGGCCACCAGACAAACTGTTTTGTTTTGCTACCTTGGTCTCCACAGTGCTGACTGTGCAGGGCTTGTTAAGGCAGCAAAACGAAACAGTTTGTCCCATGTGGCAGCGACCCGAATGCATCCGCCATTTTGTCCCTGCCCACAAATCAGAGGGGACAAAATGATGACCGCCAGACAAACTGCTTCTTTTTGCTGCCTCAGAGAGGTCTCCACAGTGCTGAAGAAGCTTCTGAATGCTTCTGCAGCATTGTGCAGAGCTTATTAAGGCAGCACAATGAAGCAGTTTGTCCCCAGGCAGTGCAGCAGCAGCGATCCAAATGTGGCCACCATTTTGTCAATGGGACAAAATGGTGGGCGCTTTTAGAACTGTGCCATGTGGCTGGGCAATGAAGAAAGTCATCCCGGCTCTCTGGAAGGCCTCGGAGGTCTTCAAAAGATAAGTGGTGAGAAGGGCGTTTTGCTTGGGGAGGTGGGAATCAGGCCTAAGGCCTGGGAGATACTCAGTAGAAGTAGGGAAAAGCCTATTGGGACCCAAGAGATGGGATGTGAAGCATGAAGCATCTTGGGGTGGGGGAAGCCTTGGGAGAGTGTATTACATTAATGTACTTTAATGTTTGCCTACATATACTGTATAATCCAAAGTTTTACTATTTTTCATAGATGTCATCAATATTTAATAATTTCTTGTCTGTGGAGGAGATATGTAGCAAGACACTAACAGGCATAGGAAAGGCACGTGTGTGCATGCAGAATGTCTATACAGAGGAAAGTGAAAATGTCACGTAAATGCACATACATTGGGCACAACCAGGGGCGGGTTTCAAAACCCGTCGCTACCGGTTTGCTTGTGGGCATGCGCAGAAGTGTCCGGCTGGGTGGGCGGAGCCTCCCGCCGCCGCCGCTACCAGTTCACCTGATCCGGAGCGAACCAGTAGCAACCCACCACTGGGCACAACCTTTGTGTACTTTTCAGAAAACAATGTGCAGTGATATACAGGAAAGAAAGCATGCGTTTGTTTCTTGAAATTTGCTAGGAGTGCTGTCCCAAATAAATAATACAGAATCCTCCAGATCAACTAGTGACCAATCAGAAAGGCCCTTCCTTTTTGTTCCTATTCTGTTGAGGATTTTGTTTTGCATTGACTGAATCCAGAAAGGTATATGATCTGAATGGAAAGGAGATATGTTTACCTCCTACTTTTTTTCCCTAAAGTTGAAGATGACTCTAGGGACAAGAGGCTGCAAGTAGGCAAGGCTTTAATGTAAACAACACAGAGCTGAACAGAGCCTGATGGGTTCAGTAGGGAGTAAATACTGAGGCAAGGGAATGTGGAGGAGTAATTTCACCTTCAGAGATTTTTAAAGCTGCATACCTGGAGAAAAGTTTCACTGTTCTGGAAGATCATGGAAAGGTCTTTTGAAAACTTTTTCTTTTCCTTAATTGGACAGGGTCCGTCTCATTTAAATGAGACTTACCAGTAGTTTCCAAATGGGTTTAAAATGTTTGACTTATATTGCAATCATTTTTTTTCTTCTATTTCTCTTTTAATGACTAGGTTCTTGTTTGTCTTGGTGGGTCCAATAGGGAAAGGACCTCAATATCATGAGATTGGAAGGTCAATGGCTACCCTCATGACTGATGAGGTAAGTGAAGTATGCATCTTTTCACTATGTACAGCATTGTTTCTTAACCTTTGCATGGCCGCCTGGGGGATTCTGGGAGTTGAAGTCCAGGTTTCTTAAAAGTCGTTAAGGTTGAGAAGCACTGTGGGCCTACGCCATTTACATTTCTTTGGATGAGCTATACATAAAAGAACACCAACAGAGTCATAAAAGAGCTATAAAAGTCAGAAATAATGACCCCACACACTCCAAATAAAGCATTAGTAAACACATGGTAGAATTGTTTTTCGTGACGCATACTCCCCTTTTAATATTTACATGACTTGGTTCATTGTAAATTGTAGTAACCCGTAATATGTGTTACTTTCCATTCATATACTGTATAATCACAGCCTGCTCTGTTCTGTTTTTAATGAGCCATGGTTAGGCAGCTGTGGTTTAGGGTGACTGGTACACTTAACTAAGTGAAAAAGTGTTTGATTCTGGTGGGAACTTATGCAAGGATGCTGTTTCACTACCTGGCAAAATACTGTGTATCAGAGGTGGGTTTTAGCAGGTTCTGACCAGTTCTGGAGAATGATAGCAGAAATTTTGAGTAGTTCAGAGAACTGGTAAATACCACCTCTGACTGGCCCCGCCCCCATCTATTCTCTGCCTCCCAAGTCCCAGCTGATCGGGAGGAAATGGGGATTTTGCAGTAACCTTCCCCTGCCACACCCACCAAGCCACACCCACAGAACTGGTATAAAAAATTTTTGAAACCCACCACTGCTATGTATCTATATATTGTTCCACATTCAAGGTAGATGATTTTAAAGTTTTGCTTGTTTAACCAGAATAGTTGTCCAGAGAAAGATTCTGTTTGAGAGAATATAAGGGGAAATTAGAATTGATTTAGCTATTATGTGTGTAAGTAAATGTCTCTCTCCTGTCTGTATAGGTTTTCCACGATGTTGCTTATAAAGCCAAGGATCGAAGTGACCTTTTAGCTGGCATTGATGAGTTTCTAGATCAGGTGACTGTGCTGCCACCTGGGGAATGGGACCCATCAATCAGAATTGAGCCACCTAAAAGCGTTCCTTCTCAGGTAAACTGTGGTACTTCTCTAACTCAATAAAACAAAATAGTAGTGATATTTTTAAAGTATCAAGTCTAATATGGGAGATACTGCCTATAAATTAGATGGGTAGAATCATAGCACAATATATATTTGTCATTTCTTGGCTAAGGTTCCCTAGAGAGCTGTCTCAACTTTTTGGCCTGTTGTAATTGCAAGGAAAGCAAAACGATCCTGCTTGCTTATTGTAATCTACATCAACACTAAGGCAATTGTGTGCAAATGAAGTCGCAGGTAGTCCTCAACCTATGACCATAATTGAGCTCAAAATTTCTATTGCTAAGTGAGAGACAGTGTTAAGTGAGTTTTGTCCCATTTTATGACCTTAAACTAGTTAGTCATGTTAGGACCTTAAACGAGCTAGTTATTTTATGTTGCAAAAGAATCACATGACCCTGGGACAGTGCAACCATCATAAATGTGAATTGGTTGCCAAATGTCCAGATTTTGATCATGTGACCACGGGGATGCTGCAACAGTTATAAGTGTGAAAAATGGTTACAAGTCACTTTTTTCAATGCTGTTGTAACTTTCAGCAGTCACCAAATGAATGATTGTAAATCGAGGACTACCTGTATGACATTTATACGGCTTTTGATATACAGTAGTGTTGCAACTATATGTTGTGGCCCATATGCGGTCTGTGCAGCTAGTAGCTGATTCAGACAGCGAGGAGGCTGATGTGGTGCTGCACCAGTAGCCTGTGCAACTGGCATTTGAGTCAGACAATGAGGAGGCTGGAGAAGATGTGGTGCCAGAGGCGGGGATTCAGCCAGGGCCTTCAGAACCTCCAGAAGCTCCCTTAAGTGAAGAGGATGAAGAGGAGGAGCCTCTTCTCGATGCATGAGCATGCAGAGCTGCCAAAAGGCAGGAGTGGCTCCTCAGGAGGAGGTTTCCTCGAGAGTAAGGCTTGGGGCTAATTGGCCACTCCCTTAGCTTATTTAAGGAGGAACGCCGACTGAAGCAATTTGCAGGGAACAACTTTGTTCACATACCTTTGTGTCTTGTCTTGCTTATCTTATCAGCTTCCTGCAAATTGCTTCTGGGTATTCTGCCAACCACAGTAAGCTTTCAGTATTATTCTTTGAATTCTTGGCGGCTGTTAATGCAGTTAATTAACAGCCATTGTTGTAAAAAACTGGTTTATTTAGTAAACTGAGGTTTGAACGGACTTTGTGTGTGCTTCGTTCTTTGGGGTCCGTAGCTGGGGCAGAACACTATAAGATTAGGTTTAGCCTCCAATTTGATATTGTTGGGTTTTTTTTGGGGGGGGGGAAGGCCACTCTGCCTTGGACTGATTCAAAAGCCAGCAGAATCAAGTTAATTTGTCAAACTTCCTTTTTTTATTAGGATAAGAGGAAGATGCCAGGAATGTTCTATAATGGAAAGATTTGTGATGATGAGATGGAGGATCACACTGGGCCAGAGCTCCAGAGAACAGGAAAGTGAGTTCTGGGAGTCTTGCGGTGGCTTCTTCAGAAGCAGCGATAAATAATCTTTTTTACTAGTTAGTACTGCATTTTAAAAGGTATTTGACCTCTTTGGCCTGCAGGGGACATGGCCAGTGACATCCTGGCATCAGTGCAATGGAGAGGTTCAAATTATTGACTTACTTTGGGAGTGCTTTAAGAGGTTAAATATCTCTATCTTAAGATGCTGATTTTTCTCTTCAGAATAAAAAAAAAAAACCCTATTGACACAGTTCAATCATTTTGCCTAGTACTACTACAAGAGTTTTTGCATGGTTGTAGAAGTAGTGTTTGTGGGCCGTATACTATCCAAATTTTTACTAAAGAAAATTTTCCCATCTTTCATTACAAGGGCTCTATAAACTCAGGGGCACCTTATGAACTAGATACATGTAGTCCTCGACTTACGACCACAAATGGGACTAGAATCTCTGTTGTTAATCAAGATAGTTGTTGTGAATCACACCCACTTTTACAAGCTATTTTGCCATGCTTGCTAAGTTAAGTGAATTAAGCTGTTAAGCAAATTTGGCCTCCCCCATTAACTTTGCTTGTCAAAAGCCACCTGAGAAGGTTGCAGATGGGGATCAAATGGCACTGGAACGCTATACCCATTATAAATACATGCCAGTTACAAAGTGCCCAAATTTTTATCACATAACCATGGGAATGCTGTGTGAGTTGTAGTGTAGTTTTCAGTACCATTGTAACTTTGAACTGTTGGATGGTTGTAAGTCTAGGAGTACTTGTAGTACTGGTAGATTTAGGATGATGTCATCTGGGCAACTTTTGAAGAATTGGTCCAGGTCACTTTTGCTAGCACTAAGGACTATAATGAGAAAGGAAGTATCTGGTAATATGGAACAGAGGAATTTCAGGTTTTTTTTTATTAGAATTTGTCAAACAAAAATGAGAACAAGAATAAAAGAAAAAAGATGACAGGGATGATAGGCACATTAGTGCACTTAAGCACGCCCCCTCTACTGACCACTAAAGTATGAAGCAAGGTCCACGGAAGTCAATTTGTGACTGAAACTGTGAAAATTTGTAGCTAAGACAATTGGATCAGGTAGAGCATTTCAGACTTTGACAACTTTATTACAGAAATCATATTTTTTACAGTCAGGTTTAGAACGATTTACATTGAGTTTAAAGCGGTTGTTTGCACGTGTATTATTGCGATTAAAACAGAAAAAGTCATTTACAGGTAAAGCATTACTACATATAATTTTGTATGCAATACCTAGGTCTGACCACAAGCGACACAGTTCTCAGTTATCCAAACCGAGAATTTTGAGCCTAGTAGCATAAGGAATTCTATTGTGTACAGAAGGGTGCAAAACTTTTCGCATGAGGTACTTCTGAACCCGCTCGATTGTACTAATGTCAGATATATGGTGGAGATTCCAAACAGTTGATCAATACTCTGAGATTGGTCTAGCATAAGATTTATAAGCTCTAATTAGCAATACAATGTTTTCAGAAAAAAATCTTCGCAAAATTAAATTTATAACTCTTAATGCTTTTTTTAGTAACGCTGTTACAGTGAACTTTGGAGCATAGGTCGTCAGAGATAAGTACACTAGGTCCTTGACAAAGTGAAGGTCATCTGCTAGCTCAATGCCACCTAGCTTATACTTGACATTCTAATTACGTTTACCAATATGTAAGACAGAGCATTTAATAATCGAAATTTGAAGTTGCCAGATAAATGACCATTCAGACACATAGTCGAGATCACTTTGCAAAAACAACAGAATTATCTGCAGTATTGAATAATTTTACGTCATTGGCAAAAAGGACGCAATTGCTTTTAAGTTGATCACATAAATTGTTGATATAGAGCAAGAAAAGTGTGGGACCTAAAACAGTGCCTTGCAGTGAGTTCCCTATTTTGACTTTCTGCAGTCTATTAGACAGAAAAGCAGCAATCCATTTATGCAAAGGTTCAGAAATGCCATAAGAGTTTAATTTCAACAGCATCATGTTCTACATACAAAAATCTATGTAAATTGCATCTACAGCTTTACCTTGATCAAGACATGTAGTCCAGATGTTTTTCAGTGCAAAAGTTGTAAATTACAATGAGTTTTTTCTAAAGCCAAACTGTTTGTCGGATAGCAAGTTGTTTGTCTCTAAGTGGTGTTTGTCTCTAAATGGTGAACGATGGATTGGTTTATAATTGATTCTATAACTTTGCATGTAACACAGCACAGTTTGAATCAGATGCGAGCCTATAAACAAGAATTGTGGACAATTAATGAGATGAATATGTCAAAGCTAAAGAGTTGCCACTCCACTTTCAATATTATGTGTTTGGAAATTGTTTACCTCCAGCCATGTTGTTGTTATTGTATTTAACCCATCACTGTGAATCCACCATATTTTACAAATTTCTGTCTTTGCTTTGCAGGCTCTTTGGTGGCTTGATCTTGGATATAAAACGGAAAGCTCCTTGGTATTGGAGCGACTATAAAGATGCTTTGAATTTGCAGTGTTTAGCTTCCTTTCTCTTCCTGTATTGTGCCAGCATGTCTCCTGTGATCACCTTTGGAGGCCTGCTTGGAGAAGCAACAGAGGGAGAAATAGTAAGAACTTTTCTCCCTCCTTCCTTTTATGTGTTGTGAATAATTGTCAAGGTAGGTGACAATAAAACCAGGGTTACAAAAACAGTGGACATATAACCTCACCACTACTGGTCTGGATACGATTTTGCATTATTAGATCACAGTTCTAAACTATTAGTGGGTTTTTTTTTTCATCAAGGTTTTAAGTGGGTGGTGATTCATCCACATACACAGAATTTTACAAGGGCCTCAGAACTTTCTAGACTTCCTATATTTTCCATCTTCCCTTTTTTTCTCACAGAAAGACATTGATGAAGTAGCTTCAGCATGTCTTCTGTAGTACAAGGCACTATTGATGCAAAATTACCCCATTCATTTTTTGTGTCCTGCTAATAGAATCTTAAACCTGCACCCCTGCAAAAAAATATATTCATTTTTCTTCAGATATTCATTTCTAATAGAAGGCACAGACTATGATTACTTTTTGGGAAGAGAAGATTAAAATTAGTTATCTGGATATATTTCAACCAATCTTTCATATTCACAGTTATATTCTGGACAGTTTTATTCATCCATCCATTCATCCATCCATCCATCTATCTAACCATCCATTCATCTCTAGAATGTTTATGGGTGAATTGCAGTTTTTAGGGGGAATTAACCTTCATGAACATAAATGAAAGAAGGGAAGCTATTTAGAAAATTAATCTTCAGTAGAAGTTAATTTGAGAAGCACCTTCCATTTCAGAAGATAAGAAGCTGAATTTGCCAACGTTGTCATTTTTTTCAATATGGATATGTGACATATGGCAAAAGTGCTGCTTTTCCCACATCACAACAGGTCTGTCTCCTGAATTAAAATAAATGTGTGAAGGGAGGGAGAATGTTAGTTGAGATGCCTCTAATTAGAGTTCAACTCCTGCCCACTGGTCACCTTGACCTGTGTTTAGTGATAATTCATAGAGAGAGGAAATTAAAGCAGTTGAATTAAGTAGCCTGTTTTCTGTTCTCTGAATCCTAAAGAGGGAGTGGTTGCAGGTACTGTCAGTCTGACCCATTATGACAGCCCTTCTTTTCTTCTGTTTGTGCTTAAACCTGCAGAGTGCTATAGAATCTTTGCTTGGAGCTTCGATCACTGGAGTGGTCTACTCTCTCTTTGCTGGCCAGCCTCTCACCATCTTGGGAAGTACCGGACCAGTACTGGTTTTCGAGAAAATTTTATTCAAGTTCTGCAAGTAAGGTTATGTACTTTTACAAGGGATGATGGTGATGATGAATCTAACAGAGATAAGTTAACTAACCCATTTCTAACTGCTGACCTCTCAATCCTCTTTTATAAAACAAAACAAAACATGTGTACAGTTAGGCAGCAGTATTGTAAGCTGGGACTCATTTGAATGCTTAGGAAGCCTGAAATGCTAGTAGAGCAGAAAATAGAGATTTTGCAGTATCCTTCCCCTGCCACACCTACCAAGCTATGCCCACCAAGCCACACCATGCCCACCAAGCCACGTTCACAGTATCAGTAGTAAAAAAATTTGGATTTCACCACTGCCTTAAACATTCTAAAATTTCCACCTTAGAATCATCACAAAGCTAGTTTCAAATTCAAAACTGGATAAATTATAAAGAAGCAGTTCATTTCTTCTCTTCATTCAGCCTATTTCTCACAAGCCACAAAACCTTGTGATTAAATCCACAATGATTTAAGCAGGAATTGGAGTTCACAGAATGAGTGGAATAATCCATTGAAGAAATAATGAGGGAACTCCCAGGCAACGTGGCACATTTTAAAAGTCTGTAATATTTTTTGGCCATATACGTTTTTGATAGGAATGTGCCAGCATTCCAGATTAGATTAACTCTGTCTACTATTCTGGATTTGGAGTTGTTTTTAGCAATCAGAGCCAGGGTTTGAATCTGAAGGGAGGAGAGAAATAACTGCTCACAATTAGTACCTGGGTTGGGAATACTAACCATAACTATTTCTAGGAATTGGAAGGGGATAGAACACCTACTTCTCTTCAGATACACTATAATATATCCATGCATGCATCAAAATCGTATCAGAATTTCACATTCCCACCCCACTCGGGCCAGCCAGAGGTGGTATTTGCTGGTTCTCCAAACTACTCAAAATTTCCACTACCAGTTCTCCAAACTGCTCAAAATTTCCGCTACCGGTTCTCCAAACTGCTCAAAATTTCCACTACCGGTTCTCCAAACTGCTCAAAATTTCCGCTACCGGTTCTCCAAACTGCTCAAAATTTCCGCTACTGGTTCTCCAAACTGCTCAAAATTTCCGCTATTGGTTCTCCAAACTGCTCAAAATTTCCACTACTGGTTCTCCAAACTGCTCAAAATTTCCGCTACTGGTTCTCCAGAACCTGTCAGAACCTGCTGGATTTCACCCCTGGTTTAAGGTATTGTAGATGGCAATCATTTATCAGTAACCAACCCATATCAATGTACATAGTTTTCAGCCATTACAGGCAGGGGTGGGTTCTACTTACCTTTACTACCGGTTCGCAACGGGGTCGCCATGCAATGTTACATTTAATGATGGGTGATTAGCTTAATGGCCACAGCCAGAACTGATGAGCTGATGTTGTAAGTCGAGCGTGGCCATCATAAATATGGGTCAGTTGCCAAGCATCTGAATTTTGATCATGTAATCAGGGAGATGCTGTAATGGTTGTAAGTATGAAAAATGGTCATAAGTCACTTTTTTCAATGCCAATGTAAATTCCAACGGTCACTAATGAACTGTTGTAAGTCAAGGACTACCTGTATTGCCACTTTCTATAGAAAGAATAGGAGTGGAGAAAAGATCCATTAATGGACAACTTAGTGAAGCTTAACGATTATTGCATTTCAATACTTTTACAATTTTATGATCAGAATTATATCAGCATGTAATGTTCCTTGTTTCTTATCTTTGGCACATCTTTGCAGAGACTATAAGCTTTCTTATCTTGCTCTGCGAACCTGCATTGGCCTGTGGACAACATTCATGTGCCTTGTGCTTGTGGCCACCGATGCGAGCTCTCTGGTCTGCTACATCACTCGATTTACAGAAGAAGCTTTTGCCTCTCTGATCTGCCTCATTTTCATTTTTGAGGCCATAGAGAAGCTGTTTAAGTTGGGAAGGACTTACCCATTTTTCATGGATAGCAATCTGGACCATCTGACCTTCTATTAGTGAGTTGGTGTTGTTTTTTTCTATTTCGAACAAGAAATGGCTTACTGCACTTTAATTGCTTTGCTTCAATATATTTAAATTCATCAACTGGCATAAGATTCCTAATTGTGCAGAAATAGCAATAACACTTAGACTTATATATCCCCCCACACTGCTTTACAGCACTCCCTGGGAGGTTTACAATGTCAGCATATTGCCCCCAACAATCTGAGTCCTCATTTTACCGATCTCAGAAGCTGGAAGGCAGAGTCAACCGTGAGCCCTGTCAGGATTGAACTCCAGGCTGTGGGCAGAATTAGCCTGCAATACTGTATTCTAACCACTGCGCCACCAGGACTTCCTAAATAAGAAACAAAGAAGGCAACTATCACCTACCGGTAACAATAATTAGATAAGAGCTTGTGTATTCACTGGAGCAGATATAGAATCTCTAGTTAGGACCTTGCAATGAAAGCTTGAGATAATATATAGCATGAATGGGCAATTTATAGCTCTAGGCTGACACTCCAAAAGTGAGAGGCCTGCACAGGTTGTCCTGTATTGGTGATACCTTCTTGCCTCACTCCTTGTCCTTCTTGAACTCTAGTGGCGGAGGAGATCTGGTGATAACTTTTTTGCATTTGCTTGACTAAGATATAGCTTTTTCTGTATCATACATTATAGCAAGAATGCTCTTTGGGTCTCAGCAAAGATAAGCTGAGCTCTTTTTAAGAAAGCACTGAGGAGAGCAGCAGCACAGTACATGTAGTTAGTATGTACAGTATGGTTCTATTGTTCACACAATTTATCTTATAATTTGTGCAAGCCTGAGCAATGATTCTCCAGATTCCTTGATCCATTGAAAGAGGCTCAATATTTCCTTTGATAGTAGGGGGATGACTTATGGAGAAAATGATTTAAATTTGGACAGTACTGATTTGGTCAAAAAAACAGACAATTCAGACAATTCATATATTATTATTAAAATTATTATTATTCCTGTATTATTAAAATGAAATTGTGCTTTCATATAATTGTTGATTAGTTTCGTCTTGGATTAATAAAGATTGAGATACTTTTTAAAAGTCTGCGGTGACATTAGTAAATGTGTGCAAAATGTTTTGAATCCAATTGCCTCAGATGGGTCCCCCATCCTTTTGATCCTGGTACAGACATGGTGGCTCAGTGGCTAAGACGCTGAGCTTGTCAATTGAAAGGTCGGCAGTTCAGTGGTTTGAATCCCTAGTGCCGTGTAATGGGATGAGTTCCCGTTACTTGTCCCAGCTTCTGTCAACCTAGCAGTTTGAAAGCACGTAAAAAATGCAAGTAGTAAAATAGGGACCACCTTTAGTCATGCCGGCCACATGACCACGGAGATGTCTTTGGACAGCGCTGGCTCTTGGGCTTTGAACTGGAGATGAGTACCACCCCCTAGAATCAGGAACGACTAGCACATTTTTGTGAGGGGAACCTTTACCTTTACCTTACAGTTGTTATAAAACAACTGTTTTACATTGACACAGGTTATGGCCATCACTTTGGTAGTGTTTTGAACTCTGAAATGAAATCATCCAAAGGCAAACAACTTCACAAGTATATGTGGCCAAGTGATTTCTTTGCTATTTCATCCATCTTCAATTGAGCCAAATGGTAATTTATCATGTGATTTGTAAACTCATTCAAAAGTGTTCAAGGTTTTTAAAGTTTTGTTTCTACATTGGCTCCTTATTACCTTTGGCTCAGTTTAGACAAATAATTGACGGCTAGTTTGGATAAAGGATTAAAGACATTGGACTAGAAGCAGGGAAACCTGAATTATAGTCCTGCCTTAGGCATGGAAGCTAGCTGAATGACTTCGGGCCAGTTCCTCTCTCAGTCCAACCCATCTCATCCAGGTGGTTGTTGTAGGGAAAATAGGAGGAAACATGACTATGCTGAATTTATTAAATAATGGCAAAATCCCAATCACAACAAGCCAATAGAAACTTTCAAAACTTGTTGGACCAGAGACTTGGGCTTTCAGAAGTAAACATGGTTTTATGTGTGATGCTCATTAACCCTTTTCTGTGCCCACTAGCTGCAGATGTGCAGCTCCTACCCATCCCAGTAATGAAACCCTGATGTACTGGAACAACCACAGTATCAACCCTTCCAAAGTTTCCTGGGCTAATCTCACTGTCTCTGTAAGTATATGAGCTTGACCCTCTATGCATGGTTGACAAAAAGATTTCTGTGATAACATTATTCATTGATTAGAATGGAACGTTAGTCTTTGTAAAAGGGATGAAGAATTACATGTTTCCTTTCCACAAAACCAGTGATGGAGGGAAGGAAAGTGTAATTTTTGATGGGAAGACCTGTATATACACTGCTCAAAAAAATAAAGGGAACACAAGCAGAAGACATCTGAGATCTGAATGAATGAAATAGCCTTATTAAATACTTTGTTTGTTACATACAGTAGTTTTGTGTTCCCTTTAGTTGTTTGAGCAGTGCATAAACTACTGTATGTAAAGAACAAAGTATTTAATAAGGCTATTTCATTCATTCAGATCTCGGATCTGAAGTCTTCTGCTTGTGTTCCCTTTATTTTTTTGAGCAGTATATTAGGAATTGGTAACAGGAATATTTTCTTAAGTTCCTCTTGAGGCTTCTTTTCTTTAAAATGAAAGCTGGCATATTGAGTAGTCTATTTAAAAAGCATCAAGCTTTTACCCCCATAGGTTAGATTGTGAGCCTGATTGGATGTCAGAAATGGGATAGTGTAGAATTATGACGGTGGCTGTTAGCTAGAAGTCTCTGTAATGAGTCCTGTTATTGCAAATCACTAGGAATAGACATGTGATGTTGACTATACTTTACTTGATTGGCTTCAATATATTTAAAATTTAAAAGCAAGTAAATGCATTCATGGAATAATTATCTAGGTACCTGCTACATTTGCCAAAGGAAACCGTAAAGCAGGGGTGTCAAACTTGATCCCATTGCAGGCCATATCAGGATTTTGTTTGTCCTTGAGGGGGGCGGTGGGGGCATGGCCTAGTCGTCACAGTCAACTGGGTGGGTCTGGCTGGAGTGGCACGGGGCTGGGGTGGCACAGACTGGTCCCTCGCCATCTCTGGGATGGCACTGCGGGACAACTCTGGGCCTATCTGGGCTCCGTGTTTGACACATCTGCCATAAAGTAACCAGATCCTTGGCCTAAATTCAGCATGTTTCTCCTTTTCTTCCTGCTTATTTTGATAACTGAAGATCTAAGCCAGGGCTGTCAAACTCCCTGCTCACGGGCCAGATGTGTCACGTGCTGGCTACACTCACGCCCGGTTTAGTGAAGGGGAAAAAGTCCCGATACGTCACGTGACGCCACGGTGACGACGTGAGTTTGATACCCCTGATCTAAGCCATTAATGCTTTTTTTAAAAAAGTCTTGAGTCAATGAAAACATTTGTAGACATTTGAAAAGTAATAATTATCCTTTTAAATAATTATTGGTTAATTTTGACAAAACTAAGTTTTGAATTAAAACTGAAAACAGCTCATCTTAAATTGGCTGGGCATATATGTATTCTATTCTGCATATGTTTGTCAATTGCTATGCTGCTGATTAACTGAACAATAATTAAGCAATTACTTATAAAATGATTGGATTAGTGATATTTCATGCTTTTAATAACTATCACTGCATAATGTTTGTTAAATTATATAAGCTTCTGTGCAGGGGTGAAATCTACTTACTTTCCTTACCGGTTCAGAAGTGCACACGCTCGTGTGCATCATGTGTGCACGCACACCTTCTGTGCATGCGCAGAAGGCAAAAAAAATTACTTCCTGGTTAAAACCAGGAAGTAATGACACCCGGGCGGTGATTGCTACCAGATCGCTGAACCACAGGGAAACATTGCTACCGGATCAGGCGATCCGGTCCGATCCGGGAGCATTTCACCCCTGCTTCTGTGCTCTTATATTTGTTTCACTTTGACCTAATTAGGACTAATAAATCAGACAAATTCAATATGTCTACATGTACCTTTAAGTGGGAAAGATTTTTTGTGAAGGATACTTTCAGATTAATCAATTCTTCTTTTGTTTTTAATGGAGAGGGTATGAATATACCATATTTCATTTTAATTTCATTTTGATTTACACCCCTGATGTGTTTTACTCTGATACTAAAATTTAAACACTTCTTTTATGCACTCATTGATAACATTCTGGATTGTAAAAGTTAATATTTCCCCCAAAGCATTATTAAACGTGCACAATTGCATCTAAAAGTTCTTGTTGCTTGGGAACAGAACACTATATTTAACTACAATTGAGATCTAATTTAGGTTCTTGCATGACGTTTTCTTCATATTTTTTTTTTAATTTGATTTATATGCTGCCCTTCTCCGGAGACTCAGGGCGGCTTACAATGCGTTAAGCAATAGCCTTCATACTTTTGTATATTTATACAAAGTCAGCTTATTGCCCCCACAAACTGGGTCCTCAATTTACCTACCTTAGAAAGGATGGAAGGCTGAGTCAACCTTGAGCCTGGTGTGGTCGACAGGTAAATCCCATTATCGTTTTAAAGAAACAAAGACCAAAATAATCCTGGAACAAAGTTTATTCTTTGCAAAGGGCCTTTCTCTCTAAAGTAGAGAAAGACGAAAATAAAACAATTTACACAAGTTTTTATAGTCTTCAGGACATTCAGAATACACGTCAATAAAGTACCTTGGGAATCAGTTTCAGATCTTACATAACATCTTATATAACATATGCAGTACATAATTCCACCCTGGAAATTCCCCAATTCCCAACAGAAATACCCCTCAAAAACATCAATTGCGTACTTCCTTTAATTAATAAGGGCAAGTTAACCCAAAAGCATATTTCCTGCAAGACAAACATCCTCTAAAAAACACAGGAATTACACATTTCCTTTCTCATGTTCTTAAATGTCAGCTAAATTATATAATCAGGTTATACAAGGTAAAACAAAACCTTAACATGATTTCAAAATGGCGTAACTCAGGTTATGGTTTTACAGGAATAATTCCTATTTTTCTCACAATCCCCAATTCTCCTCTTCATTATCTTTTATTCCTGTAAACTATGAATATCCTGTAACAGTATAGAAACTCTTCTCCATACAATAGGTAATTTGGTCAATGCCATGTTACCACATAAAAACATTAACTTGGAGGGAACTTGTATCCTTAGACATAGAAAATGTAACCCTTCCTCCAAAATCCGAAACTTCTTGATGAAGGTATATAATTACCAAATAGCTCAGTGCATTGCTTATATAAAAATTCCATCCTATTTGTAAGGCCAATGTATTGAGGAACTATCTCATATGTACGTTTGCACTTGGCACACACCATCTTCAAAAGATGACTTAATACATATCTCAGCTTCCTCAGTGGTGTCCATTAGGGTTAGTGGTGCTTCTATAAAAGAATATCGGTGCTCGAATTCAGTATGGAAACATATCTGCTACCATGTTATAGGGTAACTAGGCAACACAGCCAAAATCCCCATTCCTATCCACACCTGTAGAATAACAAACATTACCACAAAAAACCCCATTATTCCTAGTGAACTAGCTCCCCCAACATTAATCAATCAAGGAGAACTTACATCCACTGGATATCAAAACATAGATTTACACCAATCAATAATATCTTTTCTTAATACAATCAAAAACACAACAAGAATTATTACCACTCCTAGCCAAATACAAATCTCTTCATAAAACTCTTCTTCCATCCATTGGTCCCAATCGTCTAAGGTTTGTCATCAAAAAGTCAATTTAAGAGGGTTTGCAGGTTCCGTAGCAACTGTCCTTCCATAAGGCAAAGCCACCAGTCCCTTGACTCTGGAATAACATACCCAACCTTGTTCCTTAGTCCTTACAGCCAATTCAGTAGTCAGTAAAACTTGGAACGGTCCCTTCCACACCAGCTGCAACTTCTTCTCAGTAATGGCTTTTATCGGACCCAGTCTCCACTTTTGTATTCATGTGCTTGGAAATCAAGAGGTGGATTCTGTCCTTTTTACCTTAAATGAGAAAAACACTGGGACAGTCTCTGTATATATATTTTCAGAAAAAACATCCTTCAATTCTATCCTAGGCATCTCAACTTTCCCCACATATGGCAATCCAAACATCATTTCATATGTAGATATCCCAGATCTTTCCTAGGACTAGTTCCTATTCTTAATAGAGGCAAAGGCAAACACTTCATTCAAAGTAGTTGAAACTCTAACATTAATTTTTATAACATAGATTTACTTATCTGATTAGCACATTCACAACACCCTATAGAACTTTGCATAAACAATAAATGTAATTGCCAATCAATTCCTAATTGTTCCATAAGCTTCATCACCTTGGACAATGAAATGTATACCCCTATCACTATATTTGGGTACTATTCGCTCTAATATGATTTAACAATCTTCTGAGCACCTATCTTTACACAAAGAAAGGCTTCAACCTATCCAATAAAATAATCCCTATTATTATTACATATATCAATGGTCACACCACCAGCATTTCAATGTAATCTACTTAGATTCACTGAAAAGGCCAAATGGTCAAATCTCTACATATTTTTTACATACACAATGTATTCATTTCCGTACCATTTGTTATAACTATTGTATACACACCCTTAGACACATATATGCATATACATGTAATAAAATCAATAAGTGCTTGCGTTCCCCAATAGGTTCCCTCATGCACTCATTCAATCACATTCCACATCACTACTTTAGTAAAAATTCTCACTCCATCTTAGTAATCCATTTCCCATTCACTTACACACCCCTTCATCCACTATTTATATAATATCAAGTTTAGAAGGATCCCCAGCTGCCTTTAAAACAGCTGTGATAAGTTCCACCTATCGCAATTCCTTTTACTAAATATCAACCCCTTTCAATCCAGATTATCCCAAAAGTATGTAAGATACCATAAGCATAGTTTAAATCAGCATAAATATTCCCTACCTCATTAATTAATATGTGCAATGCTCACAATAAAGCAAAAACCTCACTATCACGCACTGACCATTCAAACAGTAACTTTCCACCTTCCAATATCTCAATAGTGTCTCCATTCACAACTGCATCTCATCCAGTCTCATCCCATTCTCAATTCATTTATTCATAACCACACAATTTCATTCCACATCTTCCCATCTCTCTCTCCTATTGGTCAAGAGAACCAAACTCTCTTGAGACAATTTTACACCACCTTTTAGTTCCCAGTTCACATGCGAACCAACACTCCTTTGGCTATACCATCTTCCACTACTACAAACAAGTGGAAATTTTTCCTTAAACCAGGCAAACATAACACTGGAGCAACACTATATTATTACTTTCTTCAACTCTTCAACCTTTCTTCCAAACAACTTAGTTTAAAATTAACTATCAATAAATCAATAGAGTCTCAATAAATACTCAACTCTCCCCACTTCAGAGGAATCACACCACACTTCTATCAAAAATTAGCTAAACTATTTCCACAAGCTTCAAAGAAATGCAAAGCTTAATCTAAATTCACTAGTCTATACAGACTAACTTACAAGTAACTTCCTAGCTAACCAGACCAAAAGTCCATCTTTACCTTCTACCAGTAATTCTTCCTCAAGGAAACATCCTTTACCTAGACAACACTAAGCTAAAATAACATAGTCAACTATTCCCAGACTACCCAGTATCTAGTATCTAGAAATCTCCTTCTCAGCATTCAAAATCATTTAAAATACACAGACAGAAAAACATAAAAGAGGGTAATAAAAAACTTCAAAAAGCAAAAGAAAATCACCTAATAGAGGTATTCCGGGTCTCTACTCCCAAAAACTTTTCAAACTTTCAATGTCACTTCTCTAAAGCAGGACAGGAAATACATCTGCATAGCTGCCAATGCAGTCAGAAACAATGCAGGATCAAATCACCCATTCGCCCTCCTTTCTCTCAGACAAACTCAACAAAGGAAAAAAAATGTGTAAAAGGGGAAAACAAACCGCACCTTCCCTCCCCCTTTCTTACTTCTCTTATTCAGAACAAAAAGACGGGGGAAATATAGAGAAGAAAAAAACTACTCCTGTCTCTAATTAACATCGCAAATACCTCTACCTAATCCTACTTCTCCATAGGATCTCTCTCATCTCTCACTTGCTCATTCACACACTTGCTATTACAACATAACAACAACTACAACAACAAACTCTTGCCACTCACTATTTCAATATACAAAAGGAAATTTCTCAGGGGTTCAATGCACAGGCATTCACAAATATCAGGATCACCTTACCACCCCCATTTAAGGGCTTACCACATACACTCATATTTATTCTGCAATCAGACCTTTTAGTGTATTCCAAACACACACATGCCTTTTCCCTACCAACTAGTCAGCATAAATACTTCAGGAAGCTTTATTATCATTCTCATTATTATTTTTTTTCAAGACAATGAGCTCTATTGCCTAAACAACTCTCATTACACACACATACCATTTAACAACATTTGCAAACCTGGAATAAAACCTGGAAAGGTTCCATCCCTTCAGATACCCATTTCAGTTTTATCCTTGACATCTTGTAGCCCATTCCTCAAGCAGTGGAAAACTTCAGGATGCGGTTTTTAATCAAAAACTTGATTTCGGGCCCTAACCACACCTGTCCTCCACAGCTCCAGACTTAAGCCAAGAAGGTCACTTAATTAGCCGGCACACACATATCACCATCACATCACATTAATCAAAGACAAAATATTCGCATTCAACCTCAGGTAAGAAGAACAATAAACCTTCCTTACCACATTCCTACAGAGTTTTCTGCCTCATCCAAGAACAATAAAGATTTGTATACCAAACTCACATCCCAGAAGAGACAATGCATCTCTCCCAAGCAGATTAAGACCTACTTCTAGAACAAATATCACATCCAAACGTATAATACACTTTCCACAACTTAATTTCACATTCTTCACTTTTTGCTTTCCAATCCACCAACACTAGACTTTTTTCCACTGGGTGTAATCCTCTCCCAATTCCAGGACACTGTCGCCACATTGCAACCAAAGTTTCACAAAACCTTTTCCTCTTCTACCTAACTCCTTTCCCTCTCCTGTCTGTTGCAACACAGACACCATCATTCATCATTTCTTTCCTTCCTTTTTCTCTTCTAGTCTTGGCCTCGTCCCTATTCACATAGACCTTTTTAGCTTCTTTCAACAGAGCAGCAATACCAGTAGTAGCTTCTGTATGTCTGGCCATGATTTCGTCACAAATTTCATTTTCATTAAGGACTCATAAGCTGGCGTTTCAGGAGAAAGACCAGTGTGCTTATTCAAATTGTCCTTAATATTTTCCAGAAACACAGACGGTGTTTCTTCCCACAACTGTTCCACCTCAAAAACTTTTGTTTCTTCCTTGAGGTACAGCTGTCTTAACTCCCTCCATTTGTTCCCGATCAGCTAAATTATTATTGTTCCAACCAGGATCAACTAATGGAGACTTAACATCTGCAGCAACGGGCTGAACAGCCCCCACTTGGGTTTTTATCCCAAAAAAAAACCATAGCTGCCTTTCGAATTTGTGACCTCTCCTCAGGGGAGAACAAACAACCCAATATACGCTGTAACTCTGCAAAAGTATACAGATTGGGTCTCAGGAATAAATCCAATGACTCAGACAACTTAATCAGATCCGCTTAGAAAGACGGCATATTCTTTTATAATCTTCCAGATCAGAAGATGTCAAAGACACATTCACAAAAGCCACAATACCATTCAGCATTCCTCTTAAAGGAAACATTCCTTTAGTTTGTGAACATGTAACATGAGGAGAAGTGGATGGATTCTGTTTCACAGTTACTAACAATTCACCCAACTCCTTCTCCAGCTACCTATATTACTGCCCTGCTGAAGTCTCTTCCTTTCGGCTCCCAGCAACAACATCAACTTCACCCACAACTTGGATTATACGAAGGAGGGGGAGGTGGGCATGTAGCATAAGCTAAAGGATCCCAACCTTCCTCTTCTTCTTCCTTCCCATACAAAACTCTAGAACTTCTCGGGGAAGAGGAGTTAAACTACTGAACATGGAACTGAGGTTCAACATATAACAATTGAACTTTCAACTTCTTTTTTCACCAAAACTTTCTTCAAAGCATTGATCCAATATGGATCTGACTCCCCAAACTCTCTCCACCTATAATTAGGCTGTATCAACACAAACGTCAGCCAAACCTCCTTACAATAATTAATCATAATCACCTTATCTAATACCTTTGTACAAGCTTCCAACCAATCCTCTAACCACTGTACTAACAATTTCCCTAATGGAGATATGGGGGATAGAGGATATTTCAGTCTCAGCAGCACTTTTCCCTTGTAAAGTCCCCATACTTTCCCCAACCTGTATTACACTAATTATACACACAAATCATACAGGCCATACACACACAAACATACACAAATCCAAACCACCAAAGAGAAAACATATACTCACTCCTGGTGCACCGAAGTCTTCAGGAACGTTCCTCTCTGTCCAGGCATTCAGGTCTCTGCCTCAAGGTTCATAGAAAAGCAATTCCGGCTGGAAAGGAAATAACCCCATCTCACTGAAATCAGTGTTATGTGCGCACGCAGGGAAATCCCTTCCAGACAGAATGTTTTCAGTCCCTGTTCGGGCGCCAATTGTGGTCGACAGGTAAATCCCATTATCGTTTTAAAGAAACAAAGACCAAAATAATCCTGGAACAAAGTTTATTCTTTGCAAAGGGCCTTTCTCTCTAAAGTAGAGAAAGACGAAAATAAAACAATTTACACAAGTTTTTATAGTCTTCAGGACATTCAGAATACACGTCAATAAAGTACCTTGGGAATCAGTTTCAGATCTTACATAACATCTTATATAACATATGCAGTACATAATTCCACCCTGGAAATTCCCCAATTCCCAACAGAAATACCCCTCAAAAACATCAATTGCGTACTTCCTTTAATTAATAAGGGCAAGTTAACCCAAAAGCATATTTCCTGCAAGACAAACATCCTCTAAAAAACACAGGAATTACACATTTCCTTTCTCATGTTCTTAAATGTCAGCTAAATTATATAATCAGGTTATACAAGGTAAAACAAAACCTTAACATGATTTCAAAATGGCGTAACTCAGGTTATGCTTTTACAGGAATAATTCCTATTTTTCTCACACCTGGTGAGATTCGAACTTGCAGTAATTGCAGGCAGCTGAATGTTAATAACAGGCTGCTGCGCCACCAGGCTCTTAATTTGAGAATTAAGGACCCTTAATGTATTTAGATGCTTATTATAGTTTATCCACCGTTAGCCCCATATCTTCTCTGAAGTCACTGTACTTTTTTGCTACTGTTCCTTTTTAATTCTTTTGTCCAATCAGGAATGTCAGGAGATGCATGGAGAATTCATAGGATCTACATGTGGAGACCAAGGGCCTCTTACTCCTGACGTTCTTTTGTGGTGCTGCATCTTGTTCTTTACTACCTATATTTTGTCAAGCACACTGAAGAGATTTAGGAGCACTAGCTATTTTCCCACAAAAGTAAGTAGATTCCAGCAGCTTAACACTAGTTTTGAAACCCTAACTAACTCCTGTTGTCTGTTTTTCTCTATAATGGTGATTAGCCAGATGGATTTCCTCAAATGCATAATTACCTCTAAAAGAGATGGGTGGCATAAACAGTAAATTTTAATAAATAAATAATAAATACCATTGTTGGAAATTGAAAGGAATCCCTCCCTTCATTTCTAGGCACTGGAACCAATCTGCATTCAGATGGAAGTCTAGTTCTCTTTGTTTTTCTGTTTTTCTTGTCTTACCTGCAGATTGTGGTTTGAAAGTCAGTGTTATCCCTGGGTTGGGAACAGGATATCTTCATATACCAATTTCAGGGGAACAGTGGTGGTAGGAGAATATGTTTCTGCCTTCTCCTTTCAGGTACTCCAGAGGCAATTGTTGGTCACTGTAAGAAGCAAAAGGCTGGGCTAAGAAGGGCATTGACCAGATTTATTTAACGCGTTTATATAGCTGCCCATCTTAAAAACAACTAAGTGGCTCGCAATCAATAAAATAATATGCAGTATAAAACTAAAATAATATAAACACAACAATAAAACTAAAAACAGGAAAACCTGGTGCTACATCCACACTTCTTTGATGCAGCCACATTTCTAGTCCCACCCTAACCCCATCCTGTCCCAATGTCTGAGGGAAGAGCCAGGTTTTAAATGCTCTCTGGAAGGATAGAGGGATAAGAACCTGTCAGTTCTCAAGGGGGAGACTGTGTTCCAGAGGGCAGAGTTTGTAATGGAAAAAAGACATGCTTGCCAGAATCCATTAGCTGGCAGGGTTTAAGAAAAGGAGTCCCAGAGTATTTCCATCTGGTGGGATGCACAGTTGTCGTCAGGGATTCTGTAGATAACTTGGTTCCATGCCATGTAGGGCTTTAAAAATAAAACAATAACCAACACCTGAAATTGCACTTGGAAATAAAACTGGGAGTTAGTACTGCTCACATAACAGGGGTATAATATGGATGAACCTAGGAATGTCCAACACTCTGAGTTCCATTGCATTCTGGACCAGTTGTAACTTCTAGGTGGTCTTCAAGGGCAGCCTTATATAGAGCATGTTGTAATAATCCGAACCGGAAGTGACCAAGGGATGAGTAATCATGGGCTAAGCCCGGGAAAGAGCACAGTTGGGCAGCAGATGAATCTGTGGAAAGCCCGCCCCTCTCTGCCAACAGTTACCACCCTCTCATCAAGCAGTAGCCACGAGTCCAGGAGAATCCCCAAATTATGCACCAGCTTTGTCCAATGAGTCAAAGATGATGTATCTCCGGGCCCAAAAAGGCCAAAAACCAAAAGCCACTCCATCTTACCAGGATGGAGTCAAAGTCAATTCCTCTCCATCCATACCCCAATAGCTTCAAGGCACTAGGTCTATACCTCAATAGCATCACCCGCTCAACCCAGAGTGAAGATATACAAGAGCATACTGAAGATGTTGCAATCCATGCTGGCAAATTACCTCAATAAACAGTTTGATGCAGATGTTGGAAAGAGGATTGGAAAGAGCCCTAAATGGATTGGAAAGAGCCCTAAATCCTGATGCAGGGACCTCCTGCTCCCAGTCCCTGAAGCTGGTTTCAGAAGGATACCATGGTTGATCATACTGAAGATCTCTGAAAGATCCAGGAGTGCCAGAATGGTTGAATCTCCCTTGTCCCAAGTCTTCCAAGGTAATCAGCAAACATAACAATATCATATTGGTACTTTACCCGGGTCTGAACTCAGGCTAAAAATGGTCCAGATAACCAACTTCATTCATGGCCGCCTATAGCTGAGCACTAATCCTTAACAAGGTATTGGGAAAGGGAAGGTTGAAGACTGGATGAAAGTTGTCATGAGCCGTTGGTCCAAGGATAGCCTCTTGAGAAAGAAATACCACTACTTCCCATAAAGAGGCATTGATCACCGCTTAGACCCAACTGCATGCCACCTCCCAGGAGACCTTAACCAACCAAGAAGGGCATGGGGCCAGAACACAGATGGCAAACTCACATCCAGGAGGATCCTTTCCACTTCCTCAAGACCACCTGATTCAAACTCCTCACAGATAATAGGACCTGTCTCAGTCACTTCCAACAGATACGCTCTGGTTAGACTTTGGCTGAGAAGTATATGTCTCTTTGGCTCTAAGAAGAGTGTTCTTCTAAGTGGTCCTGCAAGAACTCTTGCTCCTCTCTACCAAGGAAGGACTTGATCACCCACAACAGGGCCACTGATAGGGTATTTGCAGAACAATAAGAATGGAGAAGTAAATATCTTTCACAGCTCTTATTGCCTTAGGGCAGGGGTGTCAAACTCGATTTCATTGAGGGCCGCATCAGGGTTGTGTTTGACCTTGGTGGGCCAGGGTGGATGTCACTCGTGTCGGGCACTCGTGGTGGCCTGAGTGCTCTGCCAGCAAAAACGGGCTCCCGAGCTCCGTTTTTGGCTGCAACGGCCTCCTGCAACCCTCTGCCAGCGAAAACGAGCTCCGTTTTCGCTGGCAGAGGCACCGTGGGCTAGTCCTTCGCTATTTCCAGGGCGGCCCCACAGACCAGATTTAAGCACCCTGCAGGCCAGATCCCCCAGGCCTTGAGTTTGACGCCCCTGCCTTAGGGGAAGTCCTAATGAAGTTTCTCAACCTGTGGTCGATTGACATTTTGCCTTTCTCCAATGAAACTCTAGGTATCTTTTGATAGCTGCTTGGTCATCTCTTGGAGCTGCTTGGTAATCCAAAGTGCTCTATGAGATCCACACCTACAGAGAGTCTGCACAGGTGCAATTAAGTCCAGCACCCTCCTCACCTATTCATTCCAAGCCACAGCAAGGGCCTTGGCGAAAACACATACCAGATCTTTGGGAAAAAAACCCAAGCTCCCTCTAAAACCACACTAGGTCCATCAGATGCCTGGGATAGGCACATCCCTATACTTATGTTCTTAAACCTTGAGACAGACTTTTTGATTAAAGCCAATTATTATACAAATAAAAGGATATTATTATTGGCTTCAAATCAAACAATAACTGTGTTTGATAAATAGACTTACCATCCATTTTGGCACTAACCCAAAATCGAAAATTAACTTCACAACTTCGAATTCTATATGAGCTTAACAAATTGAAAATATTAGACACCTGCAATTGCTGAGATGAATCAGTGTCATGCCCTCTCTACTAAATCTTCCCTTCAGCAATGGGTGGGAAAAGGTTGGAAGAGCAGAACAGATGATGTTTGACTAGACTTGTTTGAGAGCTGGCTCCTTTTGAATAATGAAAACACAAGGTAGAATTTTTAGAAATAACGTTTCTAGAATGTTTTCCTGCCTTTTCCTGTATTCCAAATTTTTCAAAACAGCTTATTTGATGTCCGAGTTGTATAGAAGATCTTTTTTTTTTTTAATTTGATTTATATGCCGCCCTTCTCCGGAGACTCAGGGCGGCTTACAATGTGTTAAGCAATAGCTTTCATACTTTTGTATATTTTATACAAAGTCAGCTTATTGCCCCCACAAACTGGGTCCTCATTTCACCTACCTTAGAAAGGATGGAAGGCTGAGTCAACCTTGAGCCTTGGAGAGATTCGAACCAGCAGAAATTGCAGGCAGCTGTGTTAATAACAGGGTGCATTAAACCTCTTGTACAAGGAGTTCAAAGCCATTTTTTATTACCTTGCACAAGCACTGAAATTTTGTGAAATTTATTTTCAGATTTGGGGAGCAATTTATTCATCAGATGGACAGTGCATCTATTCAATATCCAGCAGGTGTCCTGGTTGGCAATATGAATATCATACATCCAAAATTTGGTTTATCTGGAACTGATTATTTAGGTACATAGATCAAGTCTTATGTATCCTAACCCTAACCCTGTAGAGACTTGTCTGTTTTTTTCCCTCTTTAGATACGCTACATGGTAGGTGATTTTGCTATTTTTATAACCATTGTTACCATGGTCCTAATTGACTACTTCATTGGAATCCCATCACCAAAACTGAATGTCCCAGGTGTCTTCAAGGTAGGTACTTCACCTCACCTTCTTGAATTCCTCTAAGTGCAGGTAGTGATATGTGGAAAATATCCCTTGCCTGAGTAGCTAGAACAAGAGAGTCCAAGGCCTGCCCTATATGATTTCTTGTATCCTTTAGGGAGGAAGGGAGGATGTCACACTTTGTGCCTAATTGTGTGTGGGTGAAGGACATTGAGGCTGCATGTATGGCTGAGTGGGAACTGAGATGCTCTTTGTAACATTTGGGATACGCTGTACTTTGTTTCTGAAGTGGGAAAAGTACTTTAGAGTGGGTGGGAATATAAATAGGATACAAACCTGAGATTCTTGAGTTGCATTTAGCGCCTGAAAGGCTTGAATGCCCAAAAAGTGCCCCAAAGTGGCATAAAATTGTAATTTTAAATGTGGTAATAGGAGAAAAAGGCTAACTTTAGAGGGAATGATTGAAGTAAGGATATTTAATGAGTTTAAATTAAATTAAATTTAACTTTTATTAGCCAGCCTCAGAGGTGGGTTTCAGCAGGTTCTGACCAGTTCTGGAGAACCGGTAGCGGAAATTTTGAGTAGTTCGGAGAACCGGCAGTAAAAATTCTGACTGGAGAACCGGCAGTAAAAATTCTGACTGGCCCCACCCCCATCTATTCTCTGCCTCCCAATTCCCAGCTGATCGAGAGGAAATGGGGATTTTGCAGTAGCCTTCCCTTGGAGTAGGGTGGGAATGGAGATTTTACAGTATCCTTCCCTTGCCACGCACACCAAGCCATGCCCACCAACCCATGCCCCGCCCACTAAGCCACACCCACAGAACCGGTATTAAAATTTTTTGAAACCCACCACTGGTCAGCCTCCTTTTATTTCATTCCTTTAACTCTTACTTTTTACAGTGAAATCTCTACCCTGTTTCCTCCAAAATAAGACATCCCCTGATAATAAGCCCAATCGGGCTTTTGAGCACATGGCGATAAGGCCAAGTGGTTATTTCAGGGTTCAAAAAAATATAAGACAAGGTCTTATTTTCAGGGAAACACGGTAGCATGTTACTCAAAAGGTTCTGTGGGTTTGGTCCTAGAAAACATGCATAACCAACATTTTAATTCCCTATCAAAGAGGAATCATAGGTTTACATTCACAATTGAGTGGCCATAGCAAGGTCCATGTTCATCATCCAATGAAATGCTAACCAGTGACATTCCTATATGATTGTCTACATATAGCTAAAACAAGGGTGGGTGGAGGGCATACAAACATGGCACAGTTCATTGTTGTATCTCTGTATATTTTTTCCCCTGCAGCCAACAAATGATGACCGTGGATGGCTCATTAGCCCAATAGGCCCCAATCCCTCATGGACTGTGGTAGCAGCTATCATCCCAGCATTACTCTGCACTATACTTATATTTATGGACCAACAAATCACAGCAGTTATTGTGAACAGGAAAGAACATAAACTTAAGGTAATAGAGCAGCAAGTCCAGGATAATTTGCCAAGCTTTTTCACATGAGAAGTAAAATCACAGTGGAACAGCAGCATAATCCAGACTATATGGAACTTTCGTTTCAGTAAAATCAGCAGATTGTGCTATTTCAAACAGGTTTTTATACGAGTGACATAATAAAATGTATCCCATTACAGCTATAATCCAGTGTACACATACTCTACAGAGGGGAGGTAGAGGGGTGGAAACCCATAGCATATGGTAGAGATTAAAACTTTAAATCTGTTCTTGAAATGGCAATCTAAAGTTTCTGTGGAATAACTTTATTTCCAGTTTTTGGAAATCGGGCGAGCCTGATTTCCATTTCAAGTGACAAATAAGGCTGCAATCCTATTTTGCTTGTGTGAAAATATCTTAGGGTCTGATGCATTTTTCAGATTGCTCTGATCTCGGAGGGAGGAATTAGTGTTGAAACGTTCCCAAATTCAAAAGTAATTTTGAAGATTTTATACAGGAACGTTGCTGTGCACGTGGAAGAGATATGGCTCTGCTTACTTAACATTCGTTTATCTTCCAGGCTAACAAAAAAGCAGAGTGAAAAATTTAAGCAGCCTAGAGCAGTGATGGCTAACCTTTTTGCCATTGTGTGCCAAAAGCGTGGGGAACGTGGGGGGGGAGTCATACGCATGCGTGCCCACATCCATAATTCTATGCACCTCGTCCCCCGTGCTCCCCCCGCTTTTGGCACGTGATGGCACGGTGGGCCCGGTAGGCCCGTTTTTCGCTCTCCCCAGGCTCCAGAGCCTTTCTAGGAGTCTGGGGAGGGCGAAAACAGCCTTCCCTAACCTGGAGGCCGGAAACAGTTTCCTGACTTCTGGTGGGCCCAGAAGGCCCGAAAATCAGCTGGCCGGTGCACACATATGTGCCAGAGCTGAGCTTGCGTGCCCAGCGATATGGCTCCACGTGCCACCTGTGGCACCCGTGCCATAGGTTCGACATCACGGGCCTAGAGCTTGGCATAAAAGGAAAATTAAATAATAAAAGTACCTCTCTCCTGCTCTTCCAGACTCCCATATCAGAACCTCTTAAGTTGATAGGAGACTTGGTGTACCAGCATGCCAATCTGCTGCTTTAAATAAATCCCTGTGGTTTATGCACTGTAGTCTGTTTTGTTCGCCTCTTCCACTTTTGGCAAATGTGCAGTATATATGCAAGGATCAGCATAGGAAGCAACAGAGCCAGAGTCAAATCAAACCCTGAAGGAAAAAAGAATAAGAAATGACAATACGGATTCATGTTGGTGATTGTTTAGTAATGTCAAAGATGGACTATTAGAACAAAGGGAGAATTTCTGGCTCTATCCCTAACCATTCCATATATGAGGGAAATATTCCTGCCTAATTTCTGGAGAGCTCAAGCTAGTCCTGAGAATATTGAATTCCAAAGATTTACCAATATGATGCAGCTGCCAGTAGTGCATAATTGTCACTATTTATTGAGCTGCACTTCTGCTCATCACAAATGCACAATTTTAAAACATGCCCCATAGTCGGAGTTAAAGTGGGACAATAATTAAATCAGGAAAGAGATCTCATAAAGACCCTGTTAACAAACCTAAAAAGCCTTGGAAACAGCAATTAGCTTTCACTGCTAGTTAAATGTGTGTGAAGCCAGAGATGCTGAAATAGCTTTCCTCCGTCACAAAGGATAGTATTTTAGCAAAAAGTCCTTATTCTATACCATGATTCCCTAGTTCTCAACCATATGAAGAAAGATTGAGCAACACATGTCAAGGGAAGTTGAGTCATAGCAAAGTGTTCCTAACCAATTTCAGTGCAGATGAACATATTTTCAAACATGAAAGATTTTTAATTATAACAGATATGGGTAAGTTACTTTTCTCCCTTATCGCCATCCAGAAATAAGGCACCGTACAGACCTTTTCTAACTTTTTCTCTATACGTATCCAATGATTCACAGTGAATGATAACAGGGTTTCAGTTGACCTCTGCTAATGATTTCTATTTTCACAGAAAGGAGGTGGCTACCATCTGGACCTTCTCATGGTGGGCCTCATGCTTGGTGTGTGTTCAGTGATGGGGTTGCCTTGGTATGTTGCTGCCACCGTCCTTTCCATCAGTCACGTGAACAGTCTTAGACTTGAATCTACTGTAGCAGCTCCTGGGGAGCAACCTAAATTCCTGGGCATAATTGAACAAAGAGCAACTGGAGTGATGATCTTTATACTAATGGGCCTCTCAGTCTTCATCACTAGTGTGTTAAAGGTAAAAGCATGGAAGAACATTCAAGGGTATGTTAGGGCAACCTCCTCTCCCTCTTTTAAATAGTCTTGGCTTTAATGGAGTTGTGTTGGCTTGAGATGTCAACCTTGTCCCGTTCTGAAAGTGCATATCTTTAGTAGCATTTATTGAAAACAACAACAACAACTTCGGCTTTTGCAAATCAAAGACAGGAGAAGATTTGAAGCCTATTTAAAGAAGTGGGCCTTAGTCCTTTTGAAACCCCACCCCCGAAGATATTTCCTCTCCCCGCCATTCAAGTTGGTATCTGATATTCCTTGTATATACAAAAAGTAAAGATATATCTCTCTGCATCATTTCCCAGATCAGTGAGCAAATTCTGCCCATGGAGTTGCAAGACAATAGAGTTAATAATCCACATCTGGGTTTAAAGAAGGGTTAAAGAAAGGAGCAGGAAGTAAGTGGTGGGATGATTACATTTCAGGTTAGGCCACACTAGCTATAACTTACGGTCTGAGCACAATTTTCTTATTAGAATTTTTTTTAGCCCACCCTTATTATTTTATAAGTAACTCAAAGCAGCGAACCTACATAATACTTCTTTCTGTTCCTATTTTCTTCACAACTGCCGCCCTGTGAGGTGGTTTGGCTGAGAAAGAATGATCGGCCCAAAGCCACCTAGCCGACTCATGCCTAAGGTGGGACTAGAACCCACAGTCTCCTTGTTGCTAGGCCATCACCTTCACCAGTGGTGGGTTCCTCCCGGTTTGGCCCGATTCTGCCGAGCCGTTAGCAGTGATGATATGACATCACCGAACCGGTTCTCCCCCGTCCCCACCCCCCACGTTATTCTTACCTTTTATTTGGCCCCACCCGCAATCTATTGCTACCTCCTGAGTCCCAGCTGATGGCTAGAGGGAAAAAAACTGTTTAAACTCTTGCCGCTGGGCTTCAAAGGGCCGCCCTACAGCTGATCAGTGTTAAAAGAAAACAAATGAGTAGACCGGTGCCTGCAAAAATAAATGGGTAGACTAGTGCCTGCAAAAATACATGAGTAGACCGGTGCCTGCAAAAATAAATGGGTAGATCGGTACAGCTCTGCAAGCAGTTAAAAGCCTGGTAGACCAGTATCTCTGCTAAATCGTAAATAATTGTCACATGACCATCAAGCCACGCCCACAAAATAAGCCACACCCACAGAACGGTAGTAAAAAATTGTAGAACCCACCCCTGACCTTCACCACTACACGAAACCAGTTTTGCTATGTACAGCCATGGTATCCCAATGCCATAGAGATAGTCCTTGGCTTACAACCATTCATTTGGTGACCGTTCAAAGTTATAGCGGCTCTGGAAAAAAAGGTGTCGTGGAAATGGCCATATTTACGATTGTTGCAGCGTCTCTGCGGGCAGTTGATCATGATTCAGGTGCTTGGCAACCGTTATGCATTTATGACAGCATCTCCTGGACACGTGATCACAATTTGCTATTTTCCCGGCCCGCTTCCGACAAGCAAAGTCACTGGGGACTGAGCTTTCCAAGCAAACCGTGTGTACCTGGAAAATGCCTGGGTTACTTTGAAATGTTCAAAAAGGGGTGTTTCCTTATGTGCTCCTTAAGAGCCGCGGTGGCACAGTGGTTAGAGTGCAGTACTGCAGGCTACTTCTGCTGATAGCCGGCTGCCAGCAGTTCGGCAGTTCAAATCTCACCAGGCTCAAGGTTGACTCAGCCTTCCATCCTCCCAAGGTGGATAAAATGAGGACCCAGATTTGTTGAGGGCAATATGCTGACTCTGTAAACTGCTTAGAGAGGGCTGTAAAAGCACTATATATAAGTCTAAGGGCTATTATTACTATTGCTCCTGCATATTCTGAAATGTCTTGTTCAGCGGATTTGCGCCATGCATGCATAGACATGTACGTTTATATAAAGGCCTAGGCATTGTGAGGAGGAAAGAAGGGCAAATGTGCGATACACAATCTGCTATTTATGTATTTGCATCAGATATCAGGACGGCATCAAGGCAGATGTTGCATCCTAAAGTTGCTGCTTAGGTTGTCATTTTGACCCAGTCTGTCAGACATGCCTATCTGTGTATACACTTATACATACATGAGGTAGAGAAAAAAATACACAATGAAATCAATTGCGGGTGAAATGCAAAAAGCGGTTGAAGTCTATGTGACTTCCCAACAGCAGTGACTGGCATTATCAGTAGTCATATTCAGTGAAGTAACGTAGTGAAACAGAAAAGCAATGCTGTGCTTATGTCTAAGTAGGTTAGACTAAAATGGTTTAGTGCAGCAATTTTATCTGATCTTAAGCCTCCCCTTAAAATCATTCTCTTGTTCATTTTATTTAGAAGCATATCCACTGATACCTTCCACAGGACAAGTAGTCCTCAGTTTATGACCACAATTATAACTTATATATACCTCAGCTGATGACCACTGTTGCTAGGCGAGGTGGTTGTTGAGTGAGCTGTGCCCGATTTTATGACCATTCTGCCACAATTGTTAAGCAAATCATTGCAGTTGTTAAGTGAATCATGTCATTAAGTGACACCAGCTCCCCCCTTGACTTTGCTTATTGTAAACAGCTGGGAAAGTCTCCAATGGTTGATCACAAAACCCTAGTACCCTGCAAGCATTGTAAATACATACCAGTTGCCAAGCGCCTGAATTTTGATTGTGGGAATGTTGTGACGGTTATAGGTATGAAGACTGATTATAATTCACTTTTTTAACGCTGTTGTAATTTCGAATGGTCACTAAACAAATGGTTGTAAATTGAGGACTATCTGTACTTCTCAGTAAACCTCCACGGCCAGAGAAACCTGCAACTTGTTAATGTGTGATTTTCTGCACTCAATTCCAAAATAAACCGTGTAAATGCAACACTGTATCCTGTGGCACAGATAAAAGACAGATTTGATACTAAAATTAACTTTAATAACTCCTTGGATGTAAAGATCAAGAGTGACTATTATTTTCCTCATTCAAAATAAAAGCTATCATAACTGTTCATAAACATGACCTTTGGTTTTTAAACATAATACCTTATTCCGTACGTTCGGAATGCTAACATGAAGAGTAAATCAGATCTCTTTTTCTCCTTTTTTTTTTTTAAATTTGATTTATATGCTGCCCTGCTCCGGAGACTCAGGGCGGCTTACAATGCGTTAAGCAATAGTCTTCATACTTTTGTATATTTTATACAAAGTCAGTTTATTGCCCCCACAAACTGGGTCCTCATTTTACCCACCTTAGAAAGGAAGGAAGGCTGAGTCAACCTTGAGCCTAGTGAGATTTGAACTTGCAGTAATTGCAGGCAGCTGGTGTTAATAACAGTGCTTTAGTCTGCTGCGCTACCAGGGCTCTTAGTCCTTCTCTGAAAACTGTTTCAGAACTCTGTGATTCAAGAGTGCAAAAATCTACTAAACCAGCCCCCCCCACCTTTTAGGTGCCAGGGACCTATTCCGTGGAGGGAGGTTTTTCCCCAGACCAGGGAGGGAGGGGTGTGATTTTGCACACTGCTTGCATCCCATGTGTGTGGGGATGGGGCTTCACTCGGTTGTGCAGACTGGTTCCTGGCGGGTTAGGAACCCCTGTACCAGTGATGCTATTTGGCAGGGTCTGATAGGTTCTGGAGAACAGTAGCAGAAATTTTGAGTAGTTCAGAGAACCGGCAAATACCACCTCTGGCTGGCCCCAGAGTGGGATGGGAATGAAGATTTTGCAAGATCCTTCCCCTGGAATGGGGAGGGAATTGGGATTTTGCAGTATTCTTCCCATGGAGTGGGGTGGGAATGGAGATTTTGCAGTATGCTTCCCCTGCCATGCCCACCAAGCCACACCATGCCCACCAAGCCACGCCCACAGAACCAGTAGTAAAAAAATTTGAATTCCACCACTGCCCTGTACTAAACTACCCCTGATAGGTACCCATCAAGCTCCTGTCTAAAACCCTCAAGAAAGGACAGTACACTGTTGTTCTTGACCTTTGTGGGACCCTGACAGTCACCACTCAACTGAACAACCACAGTAAATTAGAGTTGCCTTGGGTGGTCGTGCCTCTTTTCACCAAGTAGAAAGGTTACATTTCCATGTGGTATTTCAAAGGCCAAAAGGAATAACTGTGGTTGCCGAAACATACTAATTTTCCCCAGTATGTTTAACAGTGATTGAATAGTTGTTGCTTTTTTAAGAAAAGATGTCATATTGGTGAGAAGCTATACAGGTGGTCCTCAACTTATGACCCTAATTTCTGTTGCTAAATGAGACAGTTGTTAAATGAATTTTGCCCTATTTTATTACCTTTCTTGCCACAGTTAAGTTGGTAATATGGTTGTTAAGTGAATCTGGCTTCCCCATTGACTTTGCTTGTCAGAAAAATACAAGAGGTGATCAAATTTATTATTTATTTATTTATTTATTTATTTGTTTGTTTGTTTGTTTGTTTGTTTGTTCAATTTATATGCCACCCTTCTCCAGAGACTCAGGGCGGCTTACAATGCGTTAAGCAATAGCCTTCATAGTTTTGTATATACCTGCTTAGTAGGGCTTTCGCCCGCCACCCCCAAGCGGTGTTCTTTTTTATACAAAGTTAGTTTATTGCCCTCACAATCCGGGTCCTCATTTTACCTACCTCGAAAGGATGGAAGGCTGAGTCAACCTTGAACCTGGTGAGATTCAAACTTGCACTAATTGCAGGCAGCTGGTGCTAGTTAACAGCACTTTAGTCTGCTGCGCCACCAAGGCTCTTGTCAAATGACCTTGGGACACTGCAACTGTCATAAATATGAGTCAGTTGCCAAGTGGCTGAATTTTTGTCATGTGACCATGGGAATTCTATAACAGTTGTAAGTGTGAAAAATAGTCATAAGTCACTTTTTTCAGTGCCATTGTAACTTCGAACGGTCACTAAACTGTTATAAATTGAGGACTACCTGTATTTTTAAACAATATAATATTATTTTTTTTAGTTATAAAGAATTTAGTGATATACCTAAACTCCATCTCATGTAGTACTTATGTTCTTTTTCTTTTTAGTTTATACCTATGCCTGTTCTCTATGGAGTATTTTTATACATGGGTGTTTCTTCTCTGAACGGAATACAGGTATTTATATATTTTCACGTAAGCACAGCAAGGATGTCTGGGCTTTTGAATGGTTAATGTTTGTGATGAGACTTTGTAAGTGGCAGGGACATCAGAAAATTGAGAAAAGCACTTCACATTGTCAACAGAGAAAACATGTATTCTATCAGATTTGCCATAGTAAAAAAGTAGTCAGTCATGTCTGACTCTAAGGCCCAATACTCATCTCAGTTTCTTGGCTGAGGGGGCCAGCATGATCTGAAGACAATTTCCGACAATAATTTCAACATTGTTGAACATGGTTCAGTCCATAAAATGCTTCCATAAGATGAGTCATTGAACTGTTGGGCTTTGATATTGTAATTCTGGCCCAGACGTCACTAAGCTGGACAAAAGAGGTTTGGATTTTTGTTACATACTAGGGCCTGGATCTCTGAAATGTTTGCCTCTTAATGGATCAGAGCACATAACCTTCACTTCTTCCCCATCACACTCTGAGTTGGACATCATAAAACCCTGAGATTTGGACCATTTTTCAAGTTTTTAATTTTTAATAATTGACAATACACTATCATCTGTCTATCTATCTATCTATCTATCTATCTATCTATCTATCTATCTATCTATCTATCTATCTATCCCTATCTATCTATCTATTGCTTATTGCCTATATATATATATCTGTCTATCTATATCTATATCTATATCTATATCTATATCTATATCTATATCTATATCTATATCTATATCTATATCTACCTACCTACCTACCTACCTACCTACCTACCTACCTACCTACCTACCTATCTATCTATCTATCTATCTATCTATCTATCTATCTATCTATCTATCTCTTTAGTTTATTGCCAATGTCCTTGCTACAATCCTGGTGTAATGCCATCTCATGAAAAAATTGGTGACCTCCATGTTAAAAGGATGCAGGTATGCTTTGTATGACACCTACTGAGAAGAGAGGATTCATTGGAAAGATTGATGACAAAAGGAGAACGGGAGGGCAGAGGATGAGATGATTAGATAGTGTCATTAACACATTGAACATGAATTTGGGAAAACAGAGAGACGGGGGAGGAGAGGGGAGCTGGTATACTATGGTCCATGGGACCACAAAGAGTTGGACATGACTAGTGACTGAACAATAACATACTTTGTATATTCTGTTCTATACCAGAATATGACACAATATGTTTATTTCATGGTTGCTTGTGACCCCCAAAATCTGTGCACTTTTGTTGTACTGTAAACCTTTTCTATCAAGCACCACATTCCACCTTTCAACAGAAGATACTAGGGGCTGAAGTTTTGATCATAGAATGCAAAGCGTATGCCTTACATTGAGCTGGGCTGTTTCATAAGAATTATAACATTTCGAAGTTTGAGTAACTGCTTTCAATTATAAGTTGTGAGGATATGTCATCGTTTAAGAGCAGTGTTTCTTAACCTTGACAACTTCAAAATGTGTGGATTTTCAGAATTCCCCAGCCAGTTGAAGTCTATACATCTTAACATTGCGAGGTTGAGAAATATACTGTTTAAAAGTATATTACCATATATAAGATAAAGATAAGATAATTATTTGTTTAGCAAATAATTCCCTTGTGAAAAAACTGTTCTTGTGTTTAGTTGTTCTGGTGTGCAGTGCTCTATAGCATCGTTTTGAAGGTAGGCGTTGAAACAGTTTTATGGCAGCACATCCATAAAACTGTTAGTTGTACAACTCTCTGCCTTGCCTTCCCAGCCATCATGAACAATTCCAGGATGCTTGGTTGGAGCAATACGATTTCTAGAATGCCTACCCTATCAATTGCATCTTTTTCAACAACATGCTCTGTTTTTGTTGTATGGCTTTCCTAGTTTTTTGATCGCCTGAAGTTAATGGGAATGCCCACCAAACATCAGCCTGATTTCATTTACCTGCGACATGTTCCTCTGAGGAAAGTGCATCTCTTCACGATGATCCAGCTGACCTGCCTGATCATTCTGTGGGTTGTCAAGACGTCTCCTGCAGCCATTATCTTTCCCATGATGGTAAAAACACTTAAGCTGAAGCGTCCACCTCTGTCATAAGGGCATGGGGGAGGAGAATCAGAGTTACATCTCGAAGGCATTAACCTGGGATCTGGTATGGCATTTCCCAATTTTGAGAAGACCTGATTTTGCTGAGAATCCTTAGTTGTAAGGCTTAAGAAATGGGTCGTTAGTTATATATTATTCATATGTCGGAGAACAGGTGAGTGACAATTGTTTGTGTGTTTATTCGTATCCAGTGGTGGGATTCAAGTAATTTTAACAACCGGTTCTCTGCCCTAATGACTTCTTCCAATAACCAGTTTGCCAAACTGCTCAGAAAGTTAATAGCCGGTTCTCCCGAATTGGTGCAAACCGGCTGAATCCCACCACTGTTTGTATCCTGCCTTTATTATTTTTTACAAATAACTCAAGGCAGCAAACATACCCAACACACCTTCCTCTTCCTCTTTTCTCCACAACAACCATCCTGTGAGTGAGTTGAGGTGAGAGAAAGTGATGGCCCAAGGACACCCAGTCTGGCTTTCATAGCTAAGATGGGTCTTGAATTTGCAGCCTCCTGCTTTATAGCCTGCTCCCAACTACTATATACTATTAGCTATTGCTGCTGGCTTAAGAGGAAATCATTAACAGTGGAACCATTTACAAACTGGAAATTAGGATAAAGAAGGATTTTGTAGACTGGACAGAATTTGTCATTTCTCAGTTCCATGTACAATAGACAGAACAGGTCAATACCATCCATTAACTCTTCCTAAATTTCAGTGTTAGTTAATCGAAATCTTGCTTGTATGTTTAATGGCTATGATGGAGGTTCTCTTAAGTGGGCTGTACAGGGAGTCCTCACTGACCTCAACTAGGACTGGAAATCACTAAGCACCATGGTCGTTAAACGAGCTATCACATGACCACAACTTGTGATTTCATTTCTGCATTCTCCCAATTACGGTAATTCTGCTTGTTGGAAGCTGGCTGTGAAGTCCATTAAAGATGATCACATGGCTGCAGGATGCTGTGATGGTCACAAATGAAAAGGATTGGTTGCAACTTTGAAAGGTTGCTAAATGAGGCAGTTGGTAAGTGAGGACTACCCATAGTGTGCTTGCTGACATGAGCCTTTTTTTTAAACCAGAGGAGTTGTGGTTTTAATCAAGTGCTGGGAGTTAAAATATCTTATTTTCTCTCAGTGTGATCATTTCAGAATAGAATAGAATAGAATAGAATAGAATAGAATAGAATAGAATAGAATAGAATAGAATAGAATAGAATAGAATAGAATAGAATAGAATAGTTGGAAGGGACCTTGGAGGTCTTCTAGTCCAACCCACTGCTTAGGCAGGAAACCCTACACCACTTCAGACAAGTGGTTATCCAATATCTTTTTTAAAACCTCCAGTGTTGGAGCATTCACAACTTCTGGAGGCAAGTTGTCCCACTGATTAATTGTTCCAAGTGTCAGGAAATTTCTCCTTAGTTCTAGGTTGCTTCTCTCCTTGATTAGTTTCCACTCATTGCTTCTTGTCCTGCCCTCAGGTACTTTGGAGAATAGCTTGACTCCCTCCCCTGAGATATTGGAACGCTGCTATTATGTCTCCCCAAGTCCTTCTTTTCATTAAACTAGACATATCCAGTTCCTGCAACCGTTCTTCATATGTTTTAGCCTCCGGTCCCCTAATCATCTTTGTTGCTCTTTTCTGCACTTTTTCTAGAGTCTTCGCATCTTTTTTACATCGCGGCGACCAAAACTGAATGCAGTATTCCAAGTGTGGCCTTACCAAGGGCATTATAAAGTGGCATTAACACTTCTATGTTAATAGAATGTCTATCAAATAGTTCCAAGATAATGAAATCCACTTTTTTTTTGTATCCATTGTCCCTAATGAATTCTATATTGTTTGTTGCCTTTTCCTATTGGTTTCAGCAGTATCACAAAAGACCCATTGTTGTGTTTATTTAACAATGGGAGAACAAGAGCCCCAGAATTAGCAGAAAAGCAAATTATTTGCCATAATGAAAACTTTTGGAAAAAGAGACCTTGATGATGCATGACTTACTCTCTGGTTCTCTCTTTTTCAATTTATTTTCTCTGGTGTTTGTTATCTACTTTGCTTATTTCCAGTGAATCCTGTTGTTATCTCAGGAATGTTACTCTTTTTTTCCCCTTTCTCTTTTCTCCCTTCCAAAGGTTTTAGCACTGGTCTTTGTTCGGAAGGTCATGGATTTATGCTTTTCAAAGCGGGAACTCAGCTGGCTTGATGACCTCATGCCAGAAAGCAAGAAGAAAAAATTAGATGATGCTATCCAAATGGCAAAAAAGGAAGATGTGAGTAGGTTTAAGTACACATACAGATAGTCCTCAACTTGCAACAGTTAGTTTAGTGACTGTTCAAAATTATAAAAGTACTGAAAAAAATGACTTATAACCAGGGGTGAAGTTCAGCAGGTTCTGACAGGTTCTGGAGAACTGGTAGCGGAAATTTTGAGTAGTTTGGAGAACTGGCAAATACCACCTCTGGCTGGCCCCCGAGTGGGATGGGAATGGAGATTTTGCAATATCCTTCCCCTGCCATGCCCACCAAGCCACGCCCACCAAGCCACGCCCACCAAGCCACACCACGCCCACCAAGCCATGCCCACAGAACCGGTAGTAAAAAAAAATTTGAATTCCACCATTGCTTATAACCGTTTTTCACGTTTACGGCCATTGCAGCATCCCTGTGATCATGTGATAAAAATTCACTTAACTGTCTCTCTTGGCAACATAAATTTTAGGCTCAGTTGTAGCCATATGTTGAGGACTACCTGTACTTAGTACCAAGATATGTGTGTGCGCGTGTCTGTGTTGTGTGTGTATGTTTGAAATTAAGTGTGCTTCAGCAGAATTGAAAGGACGAGTCTTTAGTGAGCTCTTTTTAAAGTTTCCCTCTGCTTAGGGGCTAAATGATTTTCCTACCTCTTCTCACTGATCTTTGTAAACATCTTTTATCCCTTTTGGATAAAGTTGAATAGTTTGTTGTCTTTACACAGTCTGGAATTCTGAAGAAAAAAAAAGATACTATTTATTTTTTATCCTGCCTTTATTATTTTCCTAAATAACTCAAGACAGTGAGCATACCTAATATCCCTTTCTCCTATTTTCTCCATAACGATGACCCTGGGAGATGGGCTGGATGAGAAAGAGAGAGAGATTGGCCCAAGGTCATTCAGCTGGCCTAAGACAGGACTAGAAGTCCCAATGTCCCAGTTTGTAGTATGGTGCTTTAACCACTACACCAAATTGGTTCTCCTAATTTTTCAACATAAATATGTGGTCCATTCAGTTCTTTACATAAATGCAGGTAGAATAGGCATGGCAATTGTAGGTCTAATCCAGGGGTGAAATCCAGCAGGTTCTGACAGGTTCTGGAGAACTGGTAGTGGAAATTTTGAATAGTTCGGAGAACCGGCAAATACCACCTCTGGCTGGCCCCAGAGTGGGGTGGGAATGGAGATTTTGCGGTATCCTTCCCCTGCCTCGCCCACCAAACCACGCCCACAGAACTGGTAGTAAAAAAATTTGGATTTCACCACTGGTCTAATCCTGATTCTCCCTTCCAAGGGTTCATCCACACGTTCCCCTAACTTCAACTTGCTTTGTCCTCATGATATTGTTTCCATCTCATCCTCAGTCCATAACTGACTTTTTCCATTTTTCCATGACACAGTCGTGGCTGTATGTGTGTTCTGGCCCTTTACCAGGAACTGCGTTGAATGATGATATAATCAGAGGCAGAAAATTGTCCAACATTCACATCATTTGCTTTCTGGCCTCTGGACACTGTACTCCTGTGTCCTGTGTCCTGCTGATCTGATGTGACCGCTGGCTTCTGCAGGCAGCTGTCCAGTGCTTTTGGGAGAGTAAGTCAGATCTTATCCAGGCACCTTACTAACAAAATCACCACTATCGCAAGGATGCTTTCCTGCCTTGCTTCTATGCTCTCATGAGTGACCACTAGAGGGGAGCATTAGATCTTTCTTTAAAAACAAGGCTGGCTTTCTCTCCAGAAATTTCACCAGAAAAACAGTTTTTAGCAGAAAAGGTTCTTCAGCTAACAAAGCTAAAAACCTACTGTTTTTAATTTGTTTGTTTTTACCTAGTTATTTCAGTCCTTTTTTCTTATGTTTCCATATCTTTTTTCTTATCTGCTGTATTGAGGTCCGGGACTTTTATTTAACTGAGGTTACTTGTTCCCTAGCCTCTATGGATATGATATTTTGCAATTGTCTCTCTTTCTCTCTCCCCCTCTCGTTCTCCCTCCCTCCCTCTCTCTCTCCCCTCTCTGTCTCTCTCATCTTTCTTTCTTTCTTTCTTTCTCTCTCTCTCTCCCCCCCGTCTGTCTCGCTCTCTCATTTTTCTTTCTTTCTCTCATCTCTCTTTCTCTCTCTCATCTCTCTCCCTCCCCCGTCTGTCTCTCTCTCTCACATCTCTCTTTCATTCTGATTCTCCGTCGCTCTCTGGTTCTCGCGGGTGCTTCTTCAGCGTTTGTTGGTGCTGGACGCACCTTGATCACTTGGGGAGATGCACTACCTGCTCTCTGCCTCGAGACACTTGCTCAACCCAGCTGCAGCTGATGCTTCTCCAGAAGGAGAAGGGGACACAATTTCCCCCCTCTCATCTCTCTCTCTCTCTCATCTCTCTCTCTCTCTCCCCCATCTCTTCCTGTCTCTTATGGGTGGCAATTGCTGTGGTTATTGTGGGCCCTTAGGTCAGAATGGGCATAACTTTCTGGCTCTGGAGGTAATGTCCAGGAAAGAGATACATATCTTGGGCCATCATGGATAGAACTTCACTTCTTCCAGGCATGGACTGTGTAGATGCTAAATAAACTGGAACACTTTAATATAGTAATGATGGAATTCAGATAAAATAATATGTTCAGGGCATAATACAGATCGGGCTACTTCGGTTGAAACTTGTTTATTTATTTATTTAGAAAATTTATATTGCCGCCTATTTTAGACACAAGAACAGTTTTCTCCCCGAATGCCATCACTCTGCTAAACAAATAATTCCCTCAACAAACTATTCACTAAGTCTGCATATCTATTACTATTAATCTTCTCATCTTTCCTATCACCCATCTCCTCCCACTTATGACTGTATGACTGTAACTTGTTGCTGTATCCTTACGATTTATATTGATTGTTTCCTAGTATGATTGCTTATTTGTACCCTATGATGACTATCATTAAGTGCTGTACCTTATGATTATTGATGAATGACCCCAGTGACAACACATCACACATGCCATTTAATGGGCTCCATCCCGCTCTGGGTTCCCCAGGCCCTCTGGCAGAACCAGATCTTCAGCGCTTTCCTAAAAAGTGTTAGAGTCGGGGCCATTCTAATCTCTGGGGGAATGATGTTCCAGAGAGAGGGAGCCACCATGGGGAAGGCCCTTCTGAGTCCTACCAGGTGTATCTCCCTAGGTGATGGGAACCATAACATAACATGCCTCCCCGCTCTAGTGGGTCGGGTAGATGTGACCGTCAAGAGATGGTCTCTCAGGTAACCTGGTCCCAAGCCTTGAAGGTCTTTAAAGGTGACAACTAGTGCCTTGAATTGCACCTGGAAGCAAATCGGCAACCAATGCAGCTCCCGCAGGAGAGGTGATGCACGTGCATACTGAGGTTATTATCAGCAAATGTCATGAAAGTTGATAAATTACGCTAAATATAATGGTGAAAATGTTATCCAAAGGGTAACCATTATCAATTTGGTCACAGAACCAAATTGGTTGGTCTATGTGCAGATTATTTTATCACAATCTAAACCAGAATTTCTCTGTGTTAAAAAGGAATCTCAGAAGATGATGGAAGATGGTACCTCGGCTGTAATTGAAATGTCTCCAATAACTTCAACTTATTTGACAGTTCCAGGAAGCTCAAAAAATGTACCAAAAATTGACATTAGGTAAAAAAAAGAAAAGAAAAAAGAAAAAAAGCTAAAGGCAATTATCACATTGTTGTTGTTTGTGCTGCTGCTGTTGTTGCTGCTGCTATTTTAATTCTTCCAGTAACCTTTTTGGGAAGAAAAAAGCGGAATACCCTTTGGCACATCATTTGAGTGGTATCAACCACTTTTACAACTGTGCTCGTATGCAGACCCTCATGGCTCCATCGCTGGCATTTTTTTAAAAGTAGCACCTTAAATAATTTCCAGCTTTGTAAATATATATAGGGCCTAGTTAGCTGTGTCCCACCTGCATGGGAAATGATATAGATTGTACCTGCTGGAATTTCTATTTTCAGAACTGAGTCCTTAACCCCCATCCCCAAGATTTTTAAAAATGTGGCCTTATTGTTGTTCGACAGTGTAGCACCACCCGCACCAGTTAACATCACAATAGCATTCCTCGTGTGTGTGTGTGTGTGTGTGTGGCAGGGGTGAAATTCGCTTACCTTTCCCTACCGGCTCGCAGATGTGAGCGCACACTCAGAGGGTAAAAAACGGGACGTGATGACGTCTGGACAGGTGGGCGGAGCCTCCAGCCACCGGCGCTAAAAGATCGCACGATCCGGATAGATCTGGCTGAATTTCATCCCTGGTGTGAGGCTTCTCCTTCCATTTAAGAATGCCTCGCATACTAGCATCAGCCACAATTCTGCCCTCTTCTTTTTTTAGGTTTTTAATTACTTAGCTGGAGGAAGAATTTCAACTCAAAAGCTTGCAACTGTTTTAAAGCATTGTCCTGTTAAAGGAACTATTTCTGTAGATTGTTCTTATTCAGGTTATTCCCCCCCCACATGAATAATGCAGTTATTATCATAATATATATATATATATATGAGAATGAATGGGTACCTGCAGAACAAACAAGTAATTTTGATTATCTATCTATCTATCTATCTATCTATCTATCTATCTATCTATCTATCCCCTTTCCTGACCCTTTCTTGAAGCTGTACTGAAAACATGTTTCTAGAAACAGATCTAACAAAGGATTGAATTTTTCCTACTCTTTCCCAGACACACATTTCCACCAGTAGTAGGTTTCAAAACCCGGCGCTACCGGTTCATTATCGGTAGCGCGCGGCACTTCTGCACATGTGCAGACCGTTTTTGAGGGAGTCTGGGTGGGTGGGCGGAGCCTCCCGCCGCCGCCACTACCGGTTCACCCAAACCGGGGCAAACCGGAAGAAACCCACCACTGATTCCCACATTTAAAAGAAAAAATGAGTCCCTTCATTCATGCCTAGTTGACTATTGTATTGTATTATGCTAGAATTTCCAGTGTGTTCTGGGACAAGATATTTTGCCCATAGAAGGACTCAATAATCTCCAATTATTGTTGAAAGAAAAAAAAACTGTTTTTCATTTCAAGGCCATTTTAAAAGATTTTACTTAAACTATAATTAAGTTCCCTACACTATCACCCGTGCTTTCTTATTCCTTTCTTATTCCTTTCTTATTTATTTATTAAATGTATATGACGCCCATCTCACTCTAAAAAGAGACTCTTTGGAGTTTGGAGTACTATTGAAGAAAGTAAGGCTTGTATTGAACTAACTGAACTTTCTATTCCAAAGTGGATACAGATAGTCCTCGACTTACAACCATTTGTTTAGTGACCGTCTGAAGTTACAACATCACTGAAAAAGTGACAGTTGATGACGGTTTTTCACACTTATGACCATTTCAGCATCCCCATGGTTATGTGATCAAAATTCAGACACTTGGCAACTGACTCATATTTATGACTGGTTGCAGAGTCTCAGAGTCATGTGATCCCCTTTTGCAACCTGCTGATAAGCATAGTCAATGCGGAAACCCGATTCACTCAACAACCGTGTTACTAATTTAAGAACTGCAATGATTCTCTTAACAACTGTGGCAAGAAAGGTTGTAAAATGGGACAAAACTCACCTAACATCTGTCTCACTTAGCAACATAAATTTTGGCCTTAATTATGGTCATAAGTCAAGGACTACCTATATCTAATGAGGGCAGTATACAACTAAGAAAAGGATAACAATATTAGAAAAATTGATGTGGTATTCCTTGCTTCCACTTCCACTACAAGGACATGAATAAACTGTATTTGTTAATTGACAGTCGCTTTTAATATCTAAAAATTCTGGCATTCCACACTTCTGGCTTTATAATTAGTATAATCATGGCTTCGTTCATGTAGTCAGGGAAAAGGACAATTTTTCTAATCGTAAAATATAATTTAGAGTTTTGAAAGCAACTGAATTATATGTGTTGTATTTGGAAATAGTCCGTGAATAATTCCTATCTCATTTAAGGCAGGGGAATCAACTCTAAATGATGAAAATAATTTTGTAAAATAATAAATTATCTTAATGGAAATGTTATTATAGGCCTGATCCTGCAGATATTAATATCTCAGAAGAAATGGCTAAAACGACTGTGTGGAAGACCCTCATGATGAACCCAGAAAAACTCTGAAGTTAAAAGGAATAGGTATGGAAATTGTCCATAGGGAAGTCTCAAATCACCACATGCAGTCTTCAAGAAATGATAATGTCACCTAGATTGGCAATGAAACATCTGCAAGAAAACCACCAAGCTCAGAGAGCCCCAAGAGCCCCACAATCTTCAAGGAAGATTATATAAAGGGGATAGTTTTAAAAATGGCATGCTGAAAATTATTATCCACGCCTCTCCATACTGTAGCTTTCCTACATCTGTTGCTGTGAACTGAATATAGTCATTGTATGCCCACAAAATCACCACACCATCTATGTGGCATGGGCGGTCAACAGTTGTATTATATATAGCTTATATAGGAAGACCAGTCATTTGACTAATGATAGAAACTTCTGGTCCAGAAGCAGATGTTTGCAAACAATTTCTGTATATTTTTTTCTTTTGACAATCTTGTAATCCTCCCCCCCCCCTTTTTTTTTTTTTTGCTTTAATTAAGCAAAATTGGCATTGGGATGGAGTCGGGGCGACTGAAAGGAGCTCAAGCCTTTACTAACTGGATGCCCTTCCTGATGCCTATGCAGAGTTCACAGCAGACAATTATTCATTGTGCCCAGAGAGAGAAATATCTGTCACTACCTAGGATTGAACTCACAGCCTCCTGATTGTGAGGCAATAATTCCACCTCTAGGCCACTGCGCTATTCTAAACAATTTCTGTATGCCAAGGATATAATTGGACAACCATGACAAGCACATTCTAAACCTTTTTCATTTGCTTAAAAGTTGGGGTGGGGGAAAATAAAAGATACGGGAAAATGTCTTCAGGGTATCTAGGACTAGTATCTCTAATGGCAATTTCTGATTTACAGCTTGGCCGTTTGGGACTTGGCTTAGGACAAGGAGCTTGCAGCACATGAAGATGACTCAGGGAAGAGCCAAGGTGTGCAGGCAAAGGAGAGAAAATACTTTTGCAATGGAAAAGGCACAGACTCACTAATTGCCCTGGTACTTCCTTCATACAAGTAACTGGGTTCATATTAAAGCCATTGAGAAGTGTTTGGATTATCCTTTGTGTGCTTCAGTGGGCATTCTAATTATCTTTTGACCAGCAAGGTAATAGAAATCTGATGTTAAAGCCTCTCTTGTGTGTGTATACACACGTTCATATTTGCTGTATTACAATTTCTTAGTAGTAGAAAGATTGCTGCCACTTTTTTTTTTTCTGGCCTTCCGGTGTGTGTTCAACAATTTCCACTTTGAATGTATAGCAACATTATGCCACAATTATTTTCTGTTTGGTTTTGCTTTATTGGGTGCTACTTAGAGATGTAGGTGTTATTTGCAAAAATCCAATAATTAAATATTACCGAGTTACCATGCAAGCAATTGATAAAAGGTAACCCAATATTACAAATAAGTGGGAGAAATATCTCTATGTTTCCCCTCCCCATTTTTATTTCCTAATCATGCTGCTTAAATTCTTTTTCGGTTCCTTGTTTATTTGGCAGCCAATCCTGTGAGGAGTTTTTTTTTAAAGGAAATGTGTATGTTACTTTGTTAATGTGATTTCATGTCTAGGTGAATTCAGCCAAGCCATTGATCTCAGCAGTGCAAATTACTTAAGGGGGGGGGGGGAAGGTGATTAACAGAAGAATTGTCAGTATCACTGTTTGCACTATTTTGAGGGTTACTAGCTGCCAAGATAATGTGTGAGCAAAAAAATAAAATAGATATTGGAGCTCAAGGTGTGTACAAACGAAGAGGTAGTGTAGTGAGTTTAAATGCAATGCAAACATCTATTATCTCTCTTCATCCATGTGATAAAATACATATTTGGCCTTGGGAATAGGAAGTAATGAGTGAACTGTAAAGGGTGGTCATTCACAAAATACTACTTAGATGTGGGAAATAAGGAAACACGAGAAAGGAAGTCAAAATAGCACACACATGCAAACTAACTTTGCTCGTTATAAGATGTAGTACAAAGAAACTCTGACAGTTTTCAAGATTCTGTTCTTATTCTCTAGAATAATAAAGATAATCTCAAGTGGTCCTCAGTCTCATTTCAAAAAAGTTAAAGTTATAATGTCATAAAATAATAAAATAATTTGGCAAAAGTGATTCCTCCCTTTCCACACAGCCTGCTTGGTTGACAGGAAAGAAGGGGAGAGACAGAAGGAGAGAGGAGATATCAAGAAGATAGAAATAAAACAGAAGGTCAGGGTTGCAGAGAAAATGGATGACTTTAATCCCACAGAGAGCTTGCTTCTATTCCATCCACTAGCATCATCTGGGCTCCATAGTTTAACCTCCCTGGAAGTATGCTTTGGACAGAAAAAAAATTGTTCTTGTTCATTCCTGCCCTATAGTTCATTCTAAACCAGGGTTGTCAAACTTGCAGGCTGGATGCGTCATGCGCTAGCCACGCCCGGTTTAGCAAAGGGAGGAAAAGTCGCAATATGTCAACGACAATGCTGTGAAGACACGAGTTTGACACTCCTGTTCTAAACCATTGCTTTTCCTTTTCTTGTTGTTGATGGTCATAGAATATTTAATCTCGCATTTCTAGCATTCAAAACAGCTTACAAAAAGAAGGACCAAAATGATAAATATGAAAGCACACTTTGCATACAATTCTAAGGAAAACTGCTTTAAAGTAACGCCACTGAACCCCTGTTGCAGGGGTAGACTCCTGGGGGTTCGGCAGGGTTCAGGCGATCCTCTACCCAAGGATCGCTGGGGTTCAGCAAATCCCCAAATGCCACCTCTGGCTGGCCCCTCCCACCCCTTCCAGGAGTCGCGGCCCATTCATCATTCCAGGTAAGTGCAAGCGGAGGGTCTGGGAGGGTGAAAAACAGGCTTCCCGAAGGTTCCGGAAGTCCGGAAACGGGCCTGTTTCCGGCCTCCAGAGGGCCTCCAGACCCTGGGGGAAATAGTTTTCGCCTTCCCGGAAGCTCGAGGAAAGACTCCGGAGCCTGGGGAGGGCGAAAACACCCCCCCACACTGTGGTGCAGGTAGCCGACTAGGCCACACCCACCATGGCCACACCCACCCAGCAGCGGGGCAGCGAACCTGTTGCTAAAGGATCTGAAGCTCACCCCTGCCCTGTTGTTTACGATTTCACTGTGTTTTGGAGTGTGGTCATCATATTGGAATGGGGATTTCTGTTTTTTGGAGAATAAGATAAATATTTTGCAGGCTTTTTAAAAAGTATAGATACATATCTATTTTTTTTAGTATACAGAAAATTGTACACATTGTAGTACAATTTCATTGAAGGCAATGCACTGTGTGTTACATGGATATTCTCACCTTTAAAACATTTAACCTCGTGTGTTAAAATTCATTTCCCAAAATCATTATCCGGTATCCTGGCATGTCAAATATTAAGGAAGATTGGTACACATGGTTGCCTGGGAGTAAGTCACTTGGATTCAGTATAGCATTTCTGAGCAGCTGAAGTTAAAGCTCCACTTGGAGCTTTGGACAGTTAAGTATGCAGTTATAATAATAACTACTTATATTTAGTTTATTTACTTTATGCACTTTAGCTCCAGTACTTAAAAACTAAACTGAAAAAAGCTACATTGATGAGCAATGTGATTGACAATGAACAATTGTTTCTCCTTATTTTCTCTAATAGCATAAATTTCTGCCTTTGTTAGGAACTGGGAGGCACACTTCCTGCGGACAACTCTTAGATGATCCACTTTGGTCTGCATGCTTGATGCAGCCAAATCAGTGGTGGGTTGCTACAGTTCGCACCGGATCGGGCGAACCAGTAGCGGTGGCAGTGGGAGGCTCCGCCCACCCGCCCGGATGCTTCTGCGCATGCGCAGAAGTGCCTAGCGCGCAGGTGCATGAGTGAACCAGTAGCGACGTGATTTGGAACCCGCCCCTGAGCCAAATGACTGTTGTGTCTTTTGTGATGCAGTGAGACTAGCAAGGAAGTGAAAGCAAAGTTACATACACTTACATCCTAGCCTTCCACGTGGGCTGCTATTTTTGGAAATCAAGGTGGCTCTGTGTTCTTTATGCTCTATGCCAGGAGTGTCAAACTCAAATTCATCAGGGTTGTGCTTGACCTTGGGGGGGGGGGTGAGGGTGGGTGTGGCCACCTTGACATCACTCTTTGAGCCTCTGTTTTTGGCCGTAACAACCTCCTGCAGCCCTCTGCTAGTGAAAATGGAGCCGGGGAGGGCTGCGCGTGGCCCTCCCAAGCTCCGTTTCTGCTGGCATAGGCACCGCAGGCTGGTCCTTTGCTGTTTCCAGGGCAGCCCCTTGGGCTGGATCTAAGCACCCTGCGGGCCGGATCCAGGCCATGGGCCTTGAGTTTGACACTCCTGCTCTATAATTTAGAATTGTGGGCCTTGTAAGCCATCTTGTAAGCTTGTCTCTTTGGTAGTTCATTTCTTGGGCTGCTCCACTATGGGATTTCAAATTCTTATAGTGTCATTACTAAATATAGAGAAGAATCAAGTAATTGGTTCTTGCTGATTATGCCATGGGTTTCCAATCTTTTGAAGCCAGTAGGCATTTTAACCTTCAGAAAGCATGTTGTGGGTGATTCACAAAATGGCCCATATGCAAATGTGGTTATTCATACAATGACCACTGCATGGAAATGACAAATCTTCCTCAAAAAAAAAATAAATAAATCTGCATCACAACACAAATTTTGAGGGTTTTTAAACAAAATCACTTAAATAATGTCACATATTAAAAATAAAGAAGATAATATTTAAAACAATACCGACTGTCCTGCCTACCTAATAATTACAGGAAATGATAAAATAATGGCAATTTGAACAAAACTAAGAGAATTAAACAGATTAAAAACTCATGCCTTATGTCTTATGCCTGTATGATGTCTGACACAGCATACCATCTGTAAGTTTCCCATAAATTAGTCGCAGGCAGTTCTTGATTTAATGACCATTCGAAGTTACAGTGGCACTGAAAAAAGTGACTTATGATCATTTTTCACATTTACAACCGTTGCAACATCTCTATGGTCATAGTATCAAAGTTTGGATGCTTGGCAACTGGTTCACACTTATGATAGCTGCAGTATCCCGGGTTCAAATTCATTTAACAACCATGTTACTAAATTAACAACTGCAGTCATTCATTTAACAACCATGGCAAGAAAGGTCATAAAATGGGACAAAAGGCACTTAACAATTGTCTTGCTTAGCAATAGAAATTTTGGGCTCAGCTGCAGTCATAAATCAAGGACTACCTGTATATATAAAGATACAGTACTTTTCAGACAATCATTCCAGTGTCTTTCAGTAAGACATTCAGTTTCTTTGATGGATTTTGTTGCTGAAAAAAGGAAGTCACAGAAATTTGAGCTTTGTAGCAGTGTCTCTCATCACCACCAGAATTCCAAAACTCTTCATGAGTTTAATTTGGGTGGTAATGAGAGACACTGCCACTGGTTTGCATTACTATGAATTTTCTTAAAGAGCAGTGTGAATGAAGCAGTGCTAAATATAAAGGCAGCGTTCCACAACTGTCAACTACAAATAAATATACATTATTATTTTATTCTGCCTAACTTAATAAAAGTTATAGGATTGCCAACATTATCACCAACATCCAATGACAGATATAGCACAAGAAGAAAAACTTAATATAAAATAAAAATTATCACCAATTTATGGATGAAACCCATTTCATTATCAGATACAGTATATTCAACCTGATAAAACAGTTTCAGTAGTTGGATAATTTGATGTCCCCATTGAGAAAGAACCCAGTAGTAATTAATCAGTTGGGAAGGAAATCCTTCAAAGGATTTGTTGATTTGAGAAGACAACTCTATCTCACCTCTCCTAGAATCAGGTCTGGTAAGAGAGTCCAAATCATTTGCATCTTAATTTTCATAAAGGAGTTTGTCTTAGTTTCAGGCTCATAAAAAGAAAATGCTCAGCTTTGTGTCCAAATGTTCTGAAGGGTTCTTTAGATAAATTGGTAGAACCTGAGTAGGAAATAGTAGAGCAATACCGGTAGTCCTTACGTATCCACCGCTCATTCAGCGATCATTCAAAGTTACAACAACACTGAAAAAAGAGACTTGCAACTGATCCTTGACGTAGCAGCCATGGTAGCATCCCTACAGTCAGGTGATTGTGATTCAGGCACTTGGCAACCAGCACAGATTTATGATGATTGCAATATCCCACAGTCACGTTCTTGTCATTTACAATCTTCACAGCAGGCTTCAAACAAGCAAGTCAATGGGGAAGCCATTAGAAAGTCGCAACTCGTGATATGATGTCATGCTTAATGATCCACATTGCATCTCTTCACCACCACTAAATTGGCTATGATCACATTTACTTTACATCTGATAGCAATAGAGTTGCCAATCCCAACTGCAGTTGATAAATGAGGGCTACTTGTATTAGGGGCTAAGAAGAGAAGGCTGAATTGAATGGGTTATGGACTATCATGATGGAATTCTGCAAGGGCACAGCTAAGGCAGAAAATACACTAATGTGTGGATTGTGGCAATTATTGGTTATTTACAGAACACTGCTATATTCGTTGGCCAAGTAAAACACCAACAACCTCACTTAACACATGGCTAGATTCATATCACAGAGCCAGTTTGGTATAGTAGATAAGGTATCAGCCTAGAAACCAAGAAACTGAATTCTAGTCCCACCTAAGGTACAAGCCAGCTGGTTGATCTTGGGCCAGTCATTTTCTCTCAGCCCTAGGAAGGAAGCAATGGCAAACCATTTCTGAAAAACCTCACCAAGAAAATTCCAGGTGGCTTTGAACACGATTGAATGGAAGAAATAAACTCATACCAAACAATCTGTTCTGGAATAATGTTGAAAGGTGCCACAGATGGATCTGTGGAGCTATGTATTATTCCAAGTACTTGGGATCATTCTGAATTAAAGCATAAACCTCAAGACTGGAAAAGGTCCAAGCCTATTGTGTCTTTCGCTTACATAATCTAGACCAGGGGTGTCAAACTCGATTTCATTGAGGGCTGCATCAAGATTATGTTTGATCTTGGGGGTGGGGTGGTGGAGTGGCCGTGGCCAGAGTGGGCAGGGCCAGCTCGACATCACTCATGTTGGGGGCACCTGTGGAGGTCCGAGAGCTCTGCCAGAGAAAACAGGCTCCCGAGCTCCGTTCTTGGCTGCGACGGCCTCCTACAACCCTCTGCCTGCGAAAACGGAGCTTGCGGCTCTTCCAAGCTCCGTTTTCGCTGACAGAGGCACTGCGGACCAGTCCTTCGCTGTTTCTAGGGTGGCCTTGGGATCTGGCCCCCGGGCCTTGAGTTTGACACCCCTAATCTAGACCATAGGCCTACTATTTATTGATGAATGAAATATTTTTTGAAAAACGGGAATAAATATTTGTTTGAGAAAGAGCATCCAAATGGATAGTTTTTTTTCAATTCATAGGGTTACCATTCATTTGGGGTAGCAGGAGGAAGGAGTCTAAAGTTCTGGAAACTGAAATAGAGCAGGATAGAGAAGAGGAGAGATTGCAAGGTGGCAAATTTATCTTTGTTACCTCTGAATGACTAACAGCATAGGTTTTTTTTTTTTAATTCCAAACTTTTGTAGAGTAGACCAAAAAAATACAATTAAAGGCTAGCGGGAGATAGGAGATCCATATCATTCATTGGGGACTAAGGGACTGTAGCCCTTGCTCCAGTTTCTTCCAGAACATTCATGAGACCTGCTCTTGATCCATTTTAGATTAATCTCCCACAAATTAGAAATCCTAGGACGGTGGAATTGCGAGGGAAAAATGATAACACACACTGGGTTAAGTTGTTCAAGCATGTTGGCGATTTTTGAAAATTATGAATAATTTCATAATCTTAACTGAAAAAGGAGGAGAATCCAAGAAAAGGTGCTGGCACATTTTTTCTAGTGTTTTTTCTTCCTCCTATGACAACTACATGTAGAAATAGAGAAACTATTTTCTTTTTAGATATAAAAGAAAACAATATTTTGTTGTAAGAAATGTAATTTTAAAAAACCCCACCCCATGTTGTAAATAAATGTAATAATGGGGAGTAGGACTCTTATTGGTTCTGTAGAAACCAAAATACATTTGCTAAAATTTTGCTCAAAAATGAGTTATCTAAATAAGTATAGTTTTGTTGTTTTACAGTTAAAAAAATCACTGATTCTGCTTCATACTTCATGTCTGTACAAACTCTGTCAGTAATGATAACTGATGATTGAGAATTGTACCCATTGTTGATCTATATGTTAAAGTTCAATATTAAAATATTATTCTAAGTGTGCTCTGTCTCATGTTATTTTCAGAAGACAGTGGTTTCCATTGAAACAGGTTTTAAAATTTTATAGTGCTTTCACAAACATTTTCTGATTTTTAAAAATTATTTTACTTGTATACTCAACATATTTTTAAGATACTTAATTTTTTAATCTGAGTGTATGCCATGAATAAAGGAAGCCTTCAATGACAAATAATGAGCTGATATGGAAAATATTCTCTGCTCTAATTGTTCTGTTCTCTGATTGGTGCATGTCATCTTTTTTTTTTAATTGTGTACAAGTCTCCAATGAAGTGGGCTTACTCCCTATTCAGGGTTATCATTCTGAAGGAAAAGCTGATCTAGACCAATAAGTACTTATGGATGGCTCATGTATATCAACATTTCCTATTTAATATTCTTTGGAGGAGGGAGGAGGAGGAGGAGGCAGTAGTGATGATGGCAGTGGAAAAAAGTGCACACATATATTGGGAGCCAGAAATGAGTGTGAAAGTCCACTCAAACTATTTGTGTAAGAAAATGAGAAAGAGAAACCAATGCATAGTAGTGACATGCTATAGATGGCCAAATCAGGCAAAAGGACTGGATAATGCCATCCCAGACAGACTACAGAAGTTTCAAGAAGGAAAGACATAGTAACTGAATCAACCAAGGTTGCAAGGTCTTAAAAGTTCCTCAGAGATTTTGCTGACAGTTTCATTTTCTGGCTGGTTGAAGAAGACACTATTCTTCCAGACCTGATCTTCACCAATAGGTAACAGCTATCTGAAGAGGTAGCAATAACTTCGGGACTGAGGCAGTGATTACTTCATCTTGAAGTTCAAATATTGCAGAATGAGAAATTGTTCCCGCATGTTAGTTCTCAGGAAAGTCAGTTTAAAACAAACAGAGAGAGGTACTAGGTGGAATCTCATGGGGATAAAACCTTAGGTTAAAGGGAGCACCGGATATATTTTCTCATTGAAAATTAATCTTTTTCAATACTGAGCAGCCTAATTGACTATAGGAATGCAGTTTTTTCAATATGGCCTTCAACTATGTCTCTATGGTTTGGAAAATGTTACTGTTAGGTAAATATAAAACTGTTAGAAAATACTCCAAAATGAGTGTCAACGCTGGAGAAGATTCTGATGGGCCATTGGCTTGATTCATCAGGGTTCATATTGCCTTCTGTTCATCTTTTTGCAAGATTACAATGATCCTTCATTCGCTATCTGTGAAAGAGAGCTCTCTTTCTTGTGAGTAACATTGGACTCTTCAAAAATGTAGTAAACCTGCTGTAAATCATTCTTCTCAATTCTTTAAGTATCCAGGATCAGGAATTGAAAATGAAAACAGACTCTGGAGTATTAGCAGTCCCAGCCAAGAATTAAAAAGTAAAATTTCAAAATAAGATATCAAACCAATGGAGAAAATGGGTTAGGGTACAGCAATTTGAGGCTTGTTAGCTTCCTACTGCACAAACAGATTCAGTGGGCATGCTAGCCTTGGCATAAAGTCTCCTCAGAAGTCATTGGCACTTTATTTTCTTTGAACAAAAGCTTTCCAATTAGAGGAAACAGCTCTTTTCTAGACCTGAAAAATGAGCAGGGTCCCAGCCAAACAGCATATCTAGAAGGTGGGAGTATTTACCTCTACCTCTACCTCTACCTCTTCTTCTACCTCTACCTCTACCTCTACCTCTACCTCTACCTCTACCTCTACCTCCCTCCCTACCTCCCTATCTATCTATCTATCTATCTATCTATCTATCTATCTATCATCTTATCTATCATCCATCCATCCACCCACCCACCCACCCACCCACCCACCCATCCATCCATCCATCCATCCATCCATCCATCCATCCATCCATCTATCTATCTATCTATCTATCTATCTATCTATCTATCTATCTGCCTTCAATAAGGGTATTTCCAGCTGGTACTTCCTCAGGCTTTGTTAGTCAACCTCCTTCACCTCCTCCTCCCTTTTGACAGAGCAACCTTTACGTTTAGTCAGCTCTACGTCTGCAGGAATATACAGCCAGCAGCTGTGACAAGAAGGCTGGTGTTTCTCTTTCACCACAAACTCTTCTTCTGGCATTTAAAAGGCAATTGTTTTTTTTTAAAAGAAAAGGCAGTTTCCAGTAATGGGTTTGATCCCTTAAATCCCTTTTCCCTACTTGCTTAACATCCAATACTCTCCTAAAATACATGGTAAATAAAAAAAGAAGCAGAGACTGAAATAAAACATGTTTAATATGACATTTACTGTAGATACATTAACGAACAAGGAAAAGGAGGGTCTGTAATTCACTGGGTTGGAAACAACAGAAAAAGAAGATCATCAAAGTATCAGCAAAAGTTCTCATTGCTGGATGTGTTTAAATGCTGCAGGTGGGAATGTCCAATTCCTATATTATCCTTTCAATTGTACCTGTAAAAGAGACAGAGTGAGGAAACAAGCTGAGTTTTGTGATCAGGGGGAGCTGAGACATTCCATAGAAATCGCTTTGATCTATTGGGTGCATTTTAGAAAAATTACAATAGTGATGAGAAATTATTATTCATTTGGCTTGGCCAAAACCATTTGGAACATTGTCTGTCCCTGTAATTACAGTATAAAATTGGTGATTTAGGAGATTTGAGTAATTTCTCTGCATGACAAGACTGGGACAATTGTATCAGCCCTACGCATAGTTCTTAATTAATGATAATTGGGACTGGAATTTCTGTTGCTAAGCAATGCGGTCATAAAGCAGGATGTCACATGACTGCACTGCTTAATGATGCCAGTTTTTGCAGACCTGGTTGCCATCTTTAAGCAAGGACTGTGTGGGTCATTAATTTAGTCATGTGACCATGACTTCTGACCAGCTTCCCCATTGGCTTTACTTTGTGGGAAGCTGGCAGGCAATGTTCGAACTTGAGGATATGCAATTGTAGCTCATTGCAATGTTCAAATGGTGTCCCAGACACCAAGCACCCAGAACTTTGAGGACCTGTCATAAGTAACACTCATTCATCCCACCACAAATTTGGTCACTGAATGAATGAATGAATGAACATAAACTGAGGACTACCTGCATTAGACTAAGGTAAGAAGGTAAGAAACTAAGAAAAAGACACTCTGCATAACTAATCCCCCTTTATTAGAACAGCTATAATAGCAGAATCTTGTAACCATTCTTGCCTCATTTATAGTATCTTCATGAGAATTGGGATTGGAAGGGGGGGTTGCTGTCTAAAGCATTTTTGGCCTGAGCTCACATTTTATTTGTCCGATTGTTCATAGCGTTTCTTCTTTCAGTCTTTAGCTTTTTACCTGCCTTCATTCCCAGGTAAGGGAAATGATATTAGAAGACAGGCAGGTAACCCTCGATTCATAACTGTAATGTAGCTTGCCCATTATGGTCTCGAGTCATGGCAGTCATTAAGTGAGATGGCTATGTGATTGCCTTGCTTAATGACTTCATCCCTGCGCTCCCTGAAGCAGTTGTTAAATGGATCGTGGGGTGGCTTATAGGTGGGGGAATCCCTGGGTGGCCTAGCACAAGCCTGCAGGGACCTGGTGAGGAGGGGGAAAGTAGGCCCAAAGCCTGCGGGGACCGGGTTGGGCAGGATGGGGCAAGAGATAGGTAGGGGAGGCTGCTGCAGTGCCTCTGCAGTTGGTCATAAGGGCAAATGACCGTAACTGAATGGTTGCTAAGCAACCAGTCATAAGTTGAGGACTACCCATATGGAAAGTGTTGTTTCTAAAGGCACTTTACAAAGATCCAGAAAGATTCATACATTTCTTGTATTTATTCTGATTTTTCCCCCCCCCCAAAGGAGGCGAAGGTGCCCACAGCTGACCTCCTGCCTCCGTTTCATTCTCACAACCATCCTAGGAAGGAAGTCTGGATGGAAGTATGTAACTGGCTTTGGCTACTAGCATTCAGTGAGCTTCAAAGCTAAGCAAAGAATTCACTGAGGACTTCTCAGTCTTAGTCCACTTTTCCAAACTTGCACTTCCATCCTTTCCCAGAAAGAGAGAGGCCTTCAGATAGAACAATGTTTCTCAACCTCAGCAACTTTAAGACGTCTGGATTTGAACCCCCCCCCCAAACTCCCAGAATTCTGAGGTTGCGAACACAGAGAAACATGAACCGAAGCATAAAGATGCAATAACATATTTTACATACTGTGTAGCAAGGGGTGGGCTTCAAAAATTTTAGCAAGGGGTTCTCTGCCGGATTGCTGGGTGGGTGTGGCCATGGTGGGTGTGGCCTAGTCAGCCTCCTGCACCACAGCGGGGACGGGGGGCAGCGTTTTTGCCCTCCTTGGGCTCTGGAGCAGTGGTGAAATCCAAATTTTTTTACTACCAGTTTTGTGGGCGTGGCTTGGTGGGCTTGGCATGGCTTGGTGGGCATGGCTTGGTGGGCGTGGCAGGGGAAGGATACTGCAAAATCTCCATTCCCACCCCACTCCAGGAGAAGGATATTGCAAAATCTCCATTCCCACCCCACTCTGGGGCCAGCCAGAGGTGATATTTGCCAGTTCTCCAAATTATTCAAAATTTCCGCTACCAGTTTTCCGAACTGCTCAAAATTTCCACTACCTGTCAGAACCTGCTGGATTTCATCCCGGCTCTGGAGGCTTTCGTCGAGCCTCCGGGAGGGCGAAAACGGCCTCCTCAGGCTCTGGAGGCCTGAAATGGGGCCATTTCCAGCCTTTCCAAACTTCCGGTAGGCCCGTTTTTCGCTCTCCCTGAGCCTCTGCATGTGCCCTGCACTTACCTGCATCCAAAATGGGCCGTGTTGGGTCTCCTGGGAGGGGCGGGGCAGGTTGGGCGGGGCCAGCCAGGAGTGGGATTTGGGGGTTCTCCGAACTGCACAGAATCTTAGCTAGTGGTTCTCCCGAACCCCTGCGAATCCCCAGCAGTCCACCCTTGTGCGTAGCCTTACCTCAGCCAGAAAGAGCCAGGTGGATAGCCTAAGAAGATGGGTTTTTCTTTAATGAACCGCTTTGTAGAGCTGTAAAAAGAATGAGGCAAAGGCTATGAGAGCCACAAAAATGTTGTGCTCTTAAGCAGGTCTACTCTGAAGTAAGTCACACTACATTCAGTGGAACTTAATTCCAGGTGGAAGTTCAGAGAATTGCCTGCTGAAATTGCTACATCTACTCTGAATAGCCAAAATAGAAAGGCTGATCCATGGTTATACATATTGTCCTCAAAAGGATATTCAGGATATTATATCTTGAAGAGCTGTTAGGAGGTCAGTATTCATTTTTGAGGCTGGTTTCCTTAATGGGAAGGTTTATCTAGACAAGAGTCTATTAAAAGATAAAGTCTTTTATCTTTTAGATTTATTTATTTATTTATTTATTTATTTATTTATTTGATTTGTATACCGCCCTACTCTCGAAGGACTCAGGGCGGTGAACAGCCAAACAATAAAATACATAGATACAAAAAATTTAAAAAACCAGATAAAATCAAATTAAATAGTTTTGGCCCTGACAAATTAAAACACCCCAATAATTTAAAACAAATTAAAATTTACATATTAAAAAGATCTAGAGATCTGTTATCTATTCTGCCTTTTGCAGAATAAGCTATGGATGTCTATCAATGTCAACCTTGAAAAGCAGACCAGAGAGGAAGCATGGCCAGGTGAGCTAATCCTACATTATTGTAATATATTAATTAATAATAATTAATATTATTGTCCCAAAGGTGCTTTTTCGAGAGGCAACTGGACTTTCTGATTTTTCTTTGAAGAAAAATCTTTGCTTCTCATCCAAGACGACTCACACTCTGGTCAGCCCTTCTTTATTCTCCTACCATCTGGAAAGAGATATAGAAGCATAGGCAGCCGGACAAACAGGCTGAAGAACAGTTTTTATCCGTGGGCTGTCAGACTCCTGAATGAAAAATAACTCTACAACAACATAGTACAATTGGCTTGTGGGGCCAGCGCAATGTGCAATAAGTTCACTGGTGCAATAGGACTGGGTGTTCGTTAGTAGGATTCACTGGGCTAGGGATTTTTTTTTTGTTGTCTTTCACTTGTGAGTTGTATTGTGTTGGGGGGGTGCATGAAGGGAGGCTCAGCCAATCTCATTGTACACATGTTGTACTCTGACAATAAAGGTTTGAATTGAATTTGAAGCTTCTTCAGCTGTTGTTAATATTATATTATTATATTAATATTATATTATGGACATAAACTGTTTCAACTCCTACCCTCAAAACGACGCTATAGAACACTGGACACCAAGACAACTAGATACAATAATAGTTTTTTCCCGAACGCCATTATTCTGCTAAACAAATAATTCCCTCAACACTGTCAAACTAGTTATTAAGTCTGCATTACTATTAATCTTCTTGGAGTTCCCATCACCCATCTCCTCCTGCTTATGACTGTATGACTGTAACCTTGTTGCTGGTATCCTTAAGATTTAGATTGACTGTTTCCCTATGACTATCATTAAGTGTTGTACATTATGATTCTTGACGAATGTATCTTTTCTTTTATGTACACCGAGAGAGTATACACCAAGACAAATTCCTTGTGTGACCAATCACACTTGGCCAATAAAGAATTCTCTCTATCTTAACAGAATCTTGCAAGTCTGAAAGTATATTTCTCCCCCACCCCCACCCCAATCCCCTTTACTGCTAAAGATACTAGGGAGAGTTTCCACATTCTTTTTTGCAGGCTCTTTATATCTGACCTTTTCTTAGCCAGTGTCTTTTTGCCCTGTCTCTCAAAGTCATTTCCACATACCTTTACACATGGGGGAGAGGGGGAATATCTTATTAGTATAGATTTGCATATATAAGCCCATATACATTATACCCACATATGTCCTCCTTTTTGGTTATGCATTTCTGTCTTATTTGGGTTTTTCCTGAGGTATTAGGATTAATCAAATCAATCCTGGGAAACTGGAGACTAGTCTGAGAGGTTTGAATAAATCAGCCTTTGATTAAACTTTCTCAAATCTGAAGATTTTGTGGTGTGCTTGACTGTGGCTCCCATTATTTTACACAAGAATCAGGAAGACTTGGCAGGAATGATGTAGTTTGTAGACTGGCACGCTGCATACACAGATAAAAATAATGTGGTGAGCAAAAGAAGAGAAGGGAAGTAGATTGTACTGAAGAGTGACCTGCATCTACAAATACAATCTAACAGATATCTAACTTAATACAGATAAGGATCCCAATGAACCAATTGCAGCGAGGAAAAACTTTTTCATGTTGCTATTAAACAACAAGCAGTCAGAAATCACTTATAATTTTATCACAAGCCATCCATTGACCAATCATTAGAACTGATCATTATCTGCAGTATTCAATCATCATCTGCTTAAACATAAAAGATGATTTTCAATAATTATTTTGCTTTGGGCTCTATAACCTTCCTTCTTAGACACATTAGTTCTTATTCTGAAATGCACAGCAATTTAAAGGACATCCCTCACCGTCTTTTTAAATTGCCCATCTTAACTCTGTTGAATGTGTGTTGAATCACTTCTGACAAACAAAAAGTATAGTCATTGATGAAACTGAATTCTTATTAAAAACTCAGAAGATGGTTGTCCCATGAAGGCTAGCAGTTTTGTTCAAGCTGCAGCTGATTGTCATAAAGAGCTCCTTCATAGAGTCATTAAATTTAGTTACTTTTATCTTTTTAATGTAATTTTTGAATGGCTATTCATTTAATTTTATATAATTTTTAACATTAGCTTCTTCGTTTACTGTTTTAATTGCTGACCTGATATCTGAAGATTGTGTTATACACTATGGGTTGGAATAATAGGTTAAATAACTATACTATTATGGAAAATGGATATTTTTCTTAGGTTAAAAAAAAGAGGTTCAACTCAGGCACAAAAAATCAGGACCATGAGTTAAGGTCCAGTTAAACTGATTTATTATTTGCGCCTATATTCAAAAATCTAGTCTACTAATAGTCAGTACTAATTTGGTCCTACACAAGAGTTAACAGAATTCAAGAGGTTGGACTTAGACTGCTTGGAACATAAGGACTCAAGGCTAATTACTCTCTTGACTCCACCCTCGGGCTCTGCCTGTTCTTCTATAGTTCACCATCTTCTACCTGTAACGTTTGGCATTGATGAGCCAATGCACGAAATCTCTGGCCTTCATGTTGTCCAAATGTTCAGTAAAATCACTGGTAAAGGTCCCTTCAGAATGGCGTTTGATGTCAGAAGTAAAGCTGTGGGCGCTTTTCATGTTGTAAGACTGCTGCCATCTGAGTGAAAGCCAAGGATTAGATAGATAGATAGATAGATAGATAGATAGATAGATAGATAGATAGATAGATAGATAGATAGAATAACTTGTCACTTTGAATGTACACTAATCGACATACATTAAAATGAAATTTTGTTGGTTACAGCTCTCAAAGTTGGTTCCACCTCCAATATACACTACATAAATATGGCTAAATAAATAAATAAATACAAAATTATGCATATACCAATATGAATTATATGACACAGAAAAACAACATAGTATTCTCCCTCAAGGAAGAGTATTGTCATTGCTTGCAGTGGTACACCAATGACATGTTTCTAATACTAGCTATACTATACTTCTATAATACTAGCTATACTATACTAATACTACGCAAGCGATATATAATCAATGCTGTGTTTTCAGTGGTTAGATGGCCTAGACAGGTATCTGAACATTGATCTTTGTATCATTTACATTTTGTGTTTTACTAATCTAGGTAAAATGTAAGCATATATGCTTAATAATAATTAGCCAAATTTCAAGAAGCTATATATATATATTTAAAAAACCCAAGCCCTTGCATGGCTGGGAAATTCTGGGAGCTGGCAATCCACAGATCTTAAAGTTGCCAAGGTTGAACATTCCTGTTCTAGCTTCAAAGCATCTGACAGTAATTTTTTGTACATAGAATAAAACCATGAAGTAATATGATATAACTGATAATCCAGCAATGACACTGATATATCCCGTTTCCCCCAAATAAGACATCCCCTGATAATAAGCCCAATTGGGCTTTTGAGCGCATGGCAATAAGGCCAAGCGCTTATTTCAGGGTTCAAAAAATATATAAGATAGGGTCTTATTTTCAGGGAAACATGGTCATTTGAGGTTGTCTATGGATGTCATAGTGTCTGCTGTACTCTTGATTGTGCCCACCAAGGACATTCATAGGGTGGATATGTGTGTTAAACGGTAAAGTTGGTAGCTGTGTCAGCATGATCAAAGCCCTGCCTCTTTTTTATAGGTGCAAAATAATACCTTTTGAAAATGAAAAAAAAAATGCATATTGGCCAGTTCTGATATGATCTCACTAGATATCATGACTCTGAATTCCTAGTTATTTCATTGCCCTGAATTTTCCAGTTTTAGTTCTGAATTTTGGGATTGCATTCTCTTGGACATAAATGGTATGCAGTTGGGGGATTTTTCTAGACTGGCAGCTCATCCTCAAGTGAATATGGCAGCAATGGCCAGGAGGGTCGCAACTCAGATTCATCTGATACACTAATTGAACCTCTTCCTGAACCAGGAATGCCTCCTCAATGTTACCCAGTGGACTATTGCAATATGCCCTACATGGGGCTGCCCTTGAAGACCACTCAGAAGCTGCATTTGGTCCAGAATATGGTGATGCAGATAGTGATGGGTATGCCTCATGTAATACATCTGTTTTTGGGATACATGGAACCCAGGAAATGTGCCTTCTCTAGCTCCGTGTCTTCCCTTTGAAATAGTATCCCCCAGAAGTTTGGGTACCCCAACCTTACAAGCCTTTAAAAGGACCTTTTTTGCCAGGCTCTGGGTTGGGTAGAGTATATGTTCCCTAAGTGGTATTGAGTCCATGGATTGGTGTATGCTCTTTTCCTTGCATTAAGCGTTGTTTTTAACGTATACATCACCTAGAGTTATCATCATTTGAGTGGTCTTGTAAAACTGATGAATTAAACAAACAAGCACTTTAACTTAGCATTTTTTGCTTTGTATTTTTAAAAATATTTGTTTCTTTCCACCAAATTATCTGAAATTACCCTATGATCCAACCCTTCTCCAAAAGAGTCATGGGTCTGTAACAAGACCAAAGTTACCTTAGATAGCATAATTCTTGATCATCCCTTTCATTTTCACATTTTCCTTCACTTCTTGTCTCATCCAATGGACTGTAGAACATCTCAGCAACCTTCTTTCCACTCCCTTCTCTGCCTCTGTGCTTTCCTCAGATTTTCTTTCCCCCAAATTTAGTTTGGGGAAGATTGTGGTAGGAAATTGGCAAACTCGGACCCTCTGCAATTCTTCCCTCTCCCCATACACCCCCAACTCAAATCAAATATATTAAAATTTTTCTTCATACCTAGACTCATCTGTTGAATCCTTCAGGATCATTTGCCAACTAACAGGGAGTAAAGCTGCAATGATCATTCCACAAATACAAATCCAGCATGTTTTCTTCATCAGATCTTCTGAAGCAAGGCAAACAAAGGCATGAAAAAAAATTGGACCACATTTTAAACTTTCCTACCAGTTTAGGACTGAAAACACAGTTCAAGCTTTTCATTACCCCGGAGATGAGTTGAAATGGTTCTCGCAGGCATTAAGCTAACAATCCCAGTTTTGTATACTCAAGTTTTTTCAAAGCTATGCAAATGAATCAAAAATAGATAAACTGAAGCAGTTGGTCAGAAGTTGATTCATGTTTGCCTTATTTAGAGGCATTGGCAATTTCTAACACAGGAAGAACAATAATAAAGTTCATTCTCCACAAAGAATGAAGGTGATCAGATAAGATAGGAATCATTAATCAGTGTACTCTCATCTCCCTTTTGGTCTTCTTTTACTATTTTTTTATTAAAAAAATATGGGACTGCAGAAGACACTGAAGCAGATTTGTCTTCTAAACACAGAGAGCTTTGAATTACGTTAACTTGTGAACAAAAACTGGTGGTTTTTTCCCCAAGTGGTTCCATTTAATATGATTGATCGATTTGGAAAAAAGGCACTCAATCGAACAAGCTGTGTATCTGTATAACATGAGAAATGCCTTTCTCATACTACTTCCAGTACATGAAACAGATAAAACATCATTCCTCAAGCTTAGTAAGACTATTCTTCACAAATCTGTGTTTAAACAGAATTAAGCAATGCAAAGGATTTCCAGTTAAACTGATAAATACAATAACATCTCAGAAATAGCTCATGTTTCTTATGTTATTCCTTTAACAGAACAGCTATCCCATCTAAGACAACCTCAATGGACAACAAACAACATTCTTTCGTTCTTGACTTAGTAGGAAAATAGAATATGGTGGGAATAAGAGATTCTCTTCCAACTGTGTTTGAAAAATAGATTTTTTTTGACAATGATAATGCATACTTTCATGCTACAGGTAGTATAGAATGGGATGGGATGAAGCATATAGTGCTTACCTTCCAAAAGATGAAAGCTTCTCCTTAAATCCGGTGTTCCTTTTCTTTGTATGAGCTGTTTTGTGTCCTAAGGCTATTCTTACCAGTGCTTTTAAGCTTGTTAGTAGAATGTTAAGGGATGACAGGTAGGTCATTAGCGTTCCAGATTTTGGCTGGATAGGTCAGTTATGAATCATTACCGGATCTTTCCTTGCTTTCTTCTTCTTCTAGAAAGCTTTATTAGTGGTTCCACAGAGAAGATGAAGCCAACCAACTTCTTCAAAATGTCTTGAGCAATTGATGGAGAAAGAACGCCATGCGTTTTTTTGTATTGTCCTGCTAAAAAGTCTACCATCTTCAGATATTAACTGAGCATAGAAAAAATATAGGCCTGTCTTACTCTATCTTACATTCAGTATATGTGGGATTTGCATTAAAAAGTAACTGTTAGATAGTTAGGCTCCACCATTTGTTTATATTCACCCTGTGCTCTATTAAACTGTATACAGGTAGTCCTCCACTTACAACAGTTCATTTAGTGACCATTTAACCTTACAACAGCACTGAAAAATGTGGTTTACAACCATTTTTCATAGTTACGATCTTTGCAGCATCCCCGTGGTCAGGTGATCAAAATTCAGATGCCCGACAACTGGGTCATATTTATGACTGTTGCTGTGTCCCAAGATCATCCCCTGGATCCCCTTTTGTGACCTTCTGACAAACAGTCAGTGGGGAAGCCAGATTCACTTAACAACCGTGTTACTAACTTAACAACTGCAGAGATTCACTTAACAAATGTGGCGAGAAAAGTCGTAAAATGGGGCAAAACTCACTTAAGAATGACTCACTTAACAACAGAAATGTGGGGCTCAATTTTGGTCGTAAGTCGAGGACTACCTGTACTCCTATGAACAATAAAAGGTGTCATTCAGCATACATTTGATGAAATAACTTCTAATCCCTAAAACCTTATCTTGTAAAAACAGGGCTGATATTGTTACAATAACATGAAAAATATTTTCATCAGAATTATTCCCCCCCACCCCCACCCCCATATAGCCTTTATATTGTCTGGGAAAAAAGACCAACTGATCTTCCAGTTAATGAGGCATAGGTTCACCTCCTACTTCTTCAAATGGACCCCTATTCATCATTTTTTTGGCCCCAAATATCTTTATGCAACCATAGACAAAGAGCTAAAATGTTGAACAAAAATCTTCTGAAATCTGCTGAGACTGCTGAAGTCTTGTGAGTGAATTTCAGCAAAGTTGGCCCAAATCGTGTAGAATTTCATGAAGAAGACTGTGGAATTGTTGTAAGATTTTGTGCAAGGACACTAAAATAGCCTGAGCTCTATCTGAAAGTGTCCTGTGTTTGAAGGATCGTCCTCTGCAAATCTGGTTGAAAGATGCAGGAAGAAAAGCAATTAAAACTTGAATGGCAATTTCTTCCTTTGCTTCTTGTCCAGTTGTGATTGGACATTGAGCTGCGGTGGTGCAGTGGTTAGAATGCAGTACTGCAGGGTACTTCTGCTGACTGCTGGCTGCCTGCAATTTGGCAGTTCAAACCTCACCAGGCTCAAGGTTGACTCAGCCTTCCATCCTTCTGAGGTGGGTAAAATGAGGACCCAGATTGTTGGGGGCAATATGCTGACTCTGTAAACTGCTTAGAGAGGGCTGTAAAGCACTATGAAGTGGTATATAAGTCTAAATGCTATTGCTATTGCTATTGCCATGTGGATTTTACCAGTCCTGGTCTTGTAACAGGGATAACTCTTCTTCTCATTCTGAATCAGAGGTGGGTTTCAGCAGGTTCTGACCAGTTCTGGAGAACTGGTAGTGGAAATTTTGAGTAGTTCGGAGAACCGGTAAATACCACCTCTGATTGGCTCTGCCCCCATCTATTCTCTGCCTCCCAAGTCCCAGCTGATCAGGAGGGAATGGGGATTTTGCAGTAACCTTCCCCTGGAGTGGGGAGGGAATGGAGATTTTACAGCATTCTTCCCCTGCCACGCCCACCAAGCCATGCCCACAGAACCAGTAGTAAAATTTTTTGAAACCCACCACTGTTCTGAATGCAACTGATATTCATAGTCTGTATTTTTCACTTCAGACTTTTCTCCACCACTGAGTTTGTTCTAATATCATTTGAAAAGTATCTGTTGGAGAACAAGAGACTCTTACTAATTAGACACCTTCTAGGGTACAAGTAAACTGACCTTCACATATACAGATTCATTAGTGCAACCTTTGATGAACCGAACTCCCTATTAAGCTAATATTTTAGTGCATCATTGGGTGCCTCTGTTATGATTGCTGTCAAATTAAGTTGCAGTGTGATAACTTGGTTCTTGCAAATGTTAGGCATAATAGATATTAGAAGCTAATAAGTAATTCTGGACAGACTATACTTTTTCAGGGTAGAAATATGGAGAAGAGAATATTAGAAGCTAATAAGTAATTCTGTACTGACTATACTTTTTTGCAAAATAGAAATATGGAGAAGAAATAGGGAAGTAATTACCCCCAAGTGGGGATGGGTGAATCAATAAACATTTGTCTGTCCATGTAAATAAGGAATAGTCATCTTATCCCCCAGCCCTGCTGCCATGCATAAGCAGAATAAAATGGGTCTCTTCTGGAAGATTTTTTTCAATTCGTTTTGAAAGGTCTTTGGAATTGTTTAAATACCATTCCAGTTCTAAATTAATGCTGAATTTTGTTTTTATTATTTGTATTAATTATACACTGCTCAAAAAAATAAAAGGAACACAAGCAGAAGACATCCGAGATCTGAATGAATGAAATAGCCTTATTAAATACTTTGTTCGTTACATACAGTCGTTTCGTGTTCCCTTTAGTTGTTTGAGCAGTGTATAAACTACTGTATGTAAAGAACAAAGTATTTAATAAGGCTATTTCATTCATTCAGATCTCGGATGTCTTCTGCTTGTGTTCCCTTTATTTGTGTTCCCTTTATTTTTAATTGGACCTTGGACATGTATTTTTTAGCTGTCAAAGTTAATGACTGAAGTGGTCTAAAATAGGGGTCCCCAACCTGTGGTTTGTGGCCCACTACTGGGCCTATTTGCAACTGGGCCACGTGAGTGGTCGGTTGGTGCACATGTTTGCACGTCCGTCGAGCTCGTGGCGGCTCATCAGTGGTGGGTTACCCCTGGTTTGGACCGGTTCTATAGAACCGGTAATAAAACTGGTGGGAGGCTCCGCCCACTGACTCTGATGTCATGAGAAGCGATCTGCGCATGCACAGAAGTTTCTGCGCATGCGCAGAAGCAAGGCGTGTGTGCGAGCGATCCCATTGCGAACCGGTAGTAAAAGTAAGTAGAACCCACCCGTGGGGCTCATGGCCCCACTTGCATGAGTGTCATGGGCACTTGGGGCCTCACTCGCTCGAGTGTTGCGGGTGTCCTCAGTCCCACTCACGTGAGTGTTGCAAGTGCTCATGGCCCCACTTGCGTGAGCAACAGGTGCTCATGTGCATGCACACATGCGCACTTGCACCTGCTCCTCTCACAAAACCATCCCCTCCCCCACCTCGCACTGCTCCGGGCCACCAACCCAGAAAGGTTGGGGAACTCTGGTCTAAAAATCAATACATTAATTAAAAAAAATATACAATAACATCCCAAACTGGTGCTTTTAAAAATATATACAAGTATCTATGTCTGTGTTTGTCTGTAGGATCTCCATTCCTGCAGAGCCTTTTTATTTTCTGCTAAATTAAAAAATACAAATCCTCTGACCAAATCTACACCGAATAGAATCTAGGGCAGGATTCTTTCTCTTTATCCCCATGGGTTTTTAAAATTTATTCTTTTACTGCTTTCAAAATAATGACAGAGAAACAGAAAAAACAGCAACAACCCTATACTAACTAAACTAAGATACTAGATAAACTAACTAAAGAAATTAAGGGAAAAGAAGAATCAAAATACTATAAGGTATGGAGTAGATGGTATGAATGGTTGAAAAATAAGGAAATAAGATAAATGAATGAAGAAAGGAGGAGGGAAATGTGTTCGATTA